TACTTAATACTTTAGAATACTCTTTTATTTGAGTTTATAAAAGAATTATTCTTTTTCTAATTTTTTAAAGGAAAAATATTTATTACTATTTTTTAATATAAGTTCTACTTTAAATTTAATTTTAATAAATCTAATACTAATAGGGGGACGTTATACCGGGTAATATATATAGTTGCTAATTATATACCCGCTAATTCTATAATGGAAATAGAGATTTGAAGTATAGCGCTTGTCTCTTTCGTCCTAGGAGACTTATTTAGTACGCTTAATATCCTTATTATTAGGGTTGCCCTTTATTTTAATATAACCTATTGTAATATTACCGTCTATATCCTTAAAGTATTTAAAAATAGGGGTAGGGTTGTGCTAGGAAAAGGAATTTTAATAACGATTACTATATTTTTTATTATTACCCCTAATATTATAGAAAGTTTTATTAATGTTAAATTTCTATGCAATATCCTTTAATTATTTAATATAGAGGTTATAAGTTTCGGGTATACGGATTAAAATTAATTAGTCATAGAGAACGTTGAATATAGAAGTTTCTAACTAAGTTAATTTAGAATTATTTTCTTAAATAGAATTTTTAATTTTCGTAAAACTCTTTTCAAACGTAAGGAACTAATTTAATAGGGATTAATTTTTTCTCTATTGTATAGTACGTAAGTAGGTTAAAGTTAATTTCTTTTTGTTCTTATTATTAAAAATTAATTCGAAGTAGTTGAAGAAATCCTTAGGTCTATAGGTACCGTTAATATTACTATAGCGCTAAAAGGCTTCTACCTTAATTATTTTACCGGCTAGGAAAGCGTTCAATAGTATTAACCAGCCCGATTTATCGCTAATAATAATTCCCGCTGACCTTTTTTCTTCGTATATAAAGTGTAGTTAGGTAATATAAAAATTAAATGTAGAGGGGGTTCCGTCCTACTTCGGCTAACGAATATTCTTACGCTTAGAATTATAGTAGGGAGTAACTTTTTATATAATACCGATTGTAGTATTTAAAGTAATAATAATTATTGCAGTACTTATATTAATATTAAGGGGGTTCTATTAATTTTAAGTAGTAGGCTATATATTAAGCGCTATTCTTATTATTTGGGCGAATGCGTTGCTAATAAATAGCGTCCTAGTGAAATCTTCCTTCTCTCGTACGAAGCGTACGGCTTCTCTCTTTACAACTTCTTCTTATTTTACGGCTACGGCGGCTATAGCGGCGGAAAATTCTATAGGAATTCTAACTACGGTTATTTAAGTAAGTAAACTTTACTCCTACTATTATAGCGGCTACTCATCCTATTCTATTAGGTTCATTATAATAGAACCTAATATAACGGGGATAGTATAGTTAATATAAGTACTAGTCGTATAGTTTAATTGAGGTTCTATAAAGAAGGAAAGTTCTATTTAAGAGGCGGCTCCACTGGATATACGAGGTTTTGATGGGGGCTGCATAGGCACAGCCACGGCGCCTTATAACAGCTCTGGTTGATGACCAGAGCGCTACAGCCCGGGCCTTAGCCCTATGACAATAATAAATATATTGAAGAAAAAGAAGCCCAGGATGGTGAATTCAATAAATAGACCCTATTGAAAAAAAGGATTATATTTACCAATATTATTATATGAGCTCTTTAATTTATTAATTAAAAGAACCTTAATTTAGTAGCTAAGTCCTTTATTAATTATAATTTTTCTATATAGCTTAATGGGAAGGAAGACTATAAAATTAAAATTAAAGGTATTAATTAGGAGAATATCGACTTTATTAGATTCAAGGAAGCTAATAATACTATTATTATTAATAATACCTAATATTTGGAACTTAATAAAGAGGCTACCCTTAACGAATTATAAATGAATTATTTGGATTATACTATTAATTAGCTGCGGTCCCTCTATAGATAATAGCGGATTTTTGGCTTTAATAAATTTAAGAAGCTTGAATTCGTTTTTATATTTCGATAGGCTAATTATCATACTATTATCGAACTATCTAACAGTTTAGACAATATAATATTAGATATTAAAGAGGAGGAAGGAAGCTTAACAGTACTGATTTTATTAGACTAGTATTATTACTAGTATTAATCTTCGTTTTTATTTTTAATAACAATATACTCTTTTACCTATATAAATACTTTACCTTCTTACTACTCTCTCTTAATACCCTATATATTGTTTTTTCGTTATCGCCTCCCTTTCGATTTTATAAAATATTTAATTAAATAATTCTTATTCAAAATATACTTTTTAATGATATTCCTTTACTATTTTCGAACTTAACTAAAATAATAGCCACCGCTTTTAAAGGATAAACTAGTAATATATGTAAACTCAGAGGAGGAAGGTTGCCGGTAAATAATATTATATTTGTTATTAACGGTAAAAACTTTAGTATTCTTAAAGTCTTTGTTTGCTGCGGTGCCCTGACTGGCCTATAATGATAGCACCAGTACAAGGTTGCTACAGTGAACGATGCACTTGTAGCAGAGCGGAGCGGAAGCGGTAGGAAGTACGACAGCAATGCTGAAGGAAGCAGCGTAGTTGCAAGTACAATAAAAGGATGTTGTAAAAGAGGTCTTAGAGAGGACTCTGCTCTCAAGACAGAAGATTACAGTGGACTCTGCACTGTGAGAAAAGACTATATTGTATTGCTTGACTTGTGCTTACTTGCTTAAGGAGTGACGAACTGAAGGAGAGGAGAGGTCTCTATATACATGGACACTAAGCATCTAGAAGCTTCTGTTGAATCCTGTGATGACAAATCAGTCTGGAAGAAATGCTAGCTAAGTTATAAGACTCTAGAATACAGTGGCAAAACCTCTTGTATTCTAGTACATTCTGTGGGGACTGAGTCAACTGATTCCGTAGAAGGAATAGTTCAACTAGCCTTCTATACTACAAGGTAGTACAAGGCAGTTACAAGGCACAGTACTAGCCACACGTTAACAGTCTTTTATTACGTTTGTAAAACGAAATTAAATTTAGTCAACAATATAAATTATATAGCTATTTATATATAAACAACATCAATAGTCCTAAGGTTAATACGAAGTATGGTTTTATATAGAAGGATTGAAAATATTATCGTTTTTATAGCTAGTATTGTTAATTAATGTATAAAAAGGATAAAAACGATGAAATTAATAGGAATTAGAAGGTTAGTAGTTTCTAAAAGCTCCTCTTTTACCAAGCAGCCACGCTAGTAGGGGAGGCTACTTTTTTCCCCTATATAAACCAGTTAAACCCCCTTATACGGCTACGTTAGTTACCCTGGTTGCAGGCGCCCACCTGGCTGCACTAAACTACAAGGAGGTTAGATAAATCCTATTTGAATGAGAAAAAGCGGTAGAGCGACTGTGTAACTGCCTAGCGCGACTGTGTGGAGCTATACAAATTTGAAGGCCGTACGGGTCTCACCTCCAAAGTTGGCATCAAATTTGCGTAGCCAAAATTATAACAACCATTACCGGAAGTCCTTATTCTAAACGACAACAATTAAAGCTCAAAACCACATCTTTTCGAGCGCCGAATTCACATTCATACGCGGGAGCCTCTTACCGGCCCCCTGCACCCCCGGAACTAACCCTAACTAACCCTAACACCTCACCCTAACACTAACCTTGGGGTCTTTGGGTATGACTTACACCTTGTCTCCACACAGTCGCGCTAGACAGTTACACAGTCGCTCTAGTCACCTCGTTCGTAAGCTTCTCCTCTCATGTCACAGATTTTGTTGGCCGTGTCAGCTATCTCCGAGGAGGGACCCGAGCGAGGGACGGCGTCTGTCAGTGCAGTCTCCGCTGCCACAACGAACCCGCCAGGGTTGTCACCGTTTCAAGCCGGCAGTCCTGACATGAATGTGCATTGCTTGGCGCCTATGAGACACTGCACTTCCAGTGTTCGATTTAGCGCCGTGAGCGCCTATCAAACGTTCTGGATGCTTGTCTCAGGTGCCGATCTCGCTGGGACAATTGTAGAATTTTTTGGAAAACGAAACTTCAACCACTGTCATCGTGAAGTGTAGGTGAACTACCTCTAGGATGTTCTTTGAAGACACTGAATTTGTGTTGAGCTGGGAAAGGTTAATGAGCAGACCAGGTGCCAAAATGTGCTCAACTGGGATGTGACCTGGAGTCAAAGGGAAGAAATCCTCAATCGCAAAACATTAGTCATAACATGCTCTATTCAGGAAGGTGCTGGGGTGCTCTACCTACTCAACGTTCCCAAAAAGATAGGAATTGTTGCGATTCTCTCTTCAGAGTTGTGATCAAAAAAAAGATAGTTTTCACAATACCAAACAATAATGAAGAGGCGTCGATACAGTGAAGCGATGACCTTACCGATAATGCCGGTCCGGGCGACTTATATCGATATCCGCCAGCTATAATTACCGGTAACAGCTACCGATCGTGAAAGGCCCCCAGTCGCCGCCATTCGGATGCGTCCATTGACTCCATTCAGTCTTTGTCAGCCACCGCCTTCACACTCCATGTTCCCTGTGTTCCGAACTACGGTACCCTAGTCGGGTATCTCCCTTCCCCCTCATTTCGACTGTGATCTGGACCCGATTCGTCCTCCACTTGGACCACCGTGAGGCTGTGAACAAGCTTTTGAAATTGGAGCTAGTAAAGAGAAGGGGGAGAGCAAAAAGGTAGGGAATCGGTAAGGATTTTAGTCTTGGCTCATTTTTACCAAACACCACCCACGTTGCTTGGCTTTTCCACTTTCTTCTGCTTTTCACCTCATTCCCGTCTTTATTTCCTTCGATTATTTCCATCGCTTTTCATCGTCACACAAGTTCCCCCAATCGCTTGTCATTTCACAACCGAGCTGGGTTCCCCAGTGGCGTCCAACGGTCCATCATTCTCACAACTCTTTACTCTTGGCATCCCGCTCCAATTCCGCCTGAATACCAAGCAGTCGAACGGCAACCTCTTATTCCCATCTGCAAACATTCCCGACTGCAGCATCTGTGCTGCTCGTCTGCCGTCATCAATCAAGGTTTGCGTTATTCCCGAGCCTACCACAACACAGCTGGCCGACGGAAAGGGTGACAAACAGTCAAACACACAAGTCAAGTGCCGAGGCCGTTGGTGATTTGCACCACGTTCTTCGATAGAGCGGACCCATTCACACCCTGCCCGACTGTCCGCTCGGCTCCCGGGGCTACCCCAGCTGCGGACTGACGCAGCTCGGCGCATGTGTATGTCTGGGCATCCTGTCGGTGACAATCAGCGGCGCCTCGGCAACGGCAGCAGTCGTGGTTCGATGGATCCGCATCCGCTCTCGTCAGCGGACCCGGTCACCGCTGCCGCATCCGCACACCCAAGATATCTGCCGGGTCCGGTGGATACCAGATCCCGACCCGGGCCCGTGAGTCTGGCCCATCCTGGCCATCCGGGGCCGATAGTCCTCACCCCGAGCTCGGCCACTTCTTCCACCGTGTACGCCGCCTCACCGAGTCCGGCCGATGCATCGTACCCTTCGCACTATCACCACCAGGGTCACCACCACTCCCACTCCCACTCCCACTCCCGCTCCTTGTCCAACACAAGCAGTGTTACAGCCGCCGCTGGACCCGGACCCGGACCCGGTGGTGCATCATCATCAACACCAACCCCATATGGTACCCTGTTAACAAGAGCTGGAGCGGCGGGGTACAACAACAGCAGCAGCAGCAGCATCCACGTTGCTGGCGTTAAGCGCGAACCCACCGATGATCTACAAGGCGTCAACGGGGACTACTCCTCCAACGGTCACCACCACAACGGACCCTTGGCCGGGCTTGGCGGCACCACTTCCAGGTGGAGTGTCAGTGGCCCGAGTGAGAGCGTCGAGGGAGATAGCAGTACCGCTTCGCCGACGTCGACAATAACGGGAGGTGGAGGACCCCAGCGGAAGAAGCAGAAACGGAATAAACCGACCTTGTCGTGTTTTGAGTGTGTTGAGAGGAAGACGAAGGTGAGTTTGGTCGTCAAGTGCATGGCGTTGATATTTCCTCTCATCTGATGTCATTGTGTACCCCCCTTTCATCCGAACTTGAGCTTATTTTGATGACGCATTAACACTTGCATCAGTGTGATCGCGGCCGACCTCATTGTTTAGCATGTAAGTTTCTCCATACTACTTGAGTCCTCATCATCTACTTACCATCATCTAGGCATCAAACGCCAAACGGAATGCAAATATGCCCACGTCGCCAACCTCCTTGAGTAAGTGCATCCTCCCCCCACCCCCTCAGGACACATTTACTCACAACCTCCCAGAGAAACCTCCCGAAACGCCGCCAACGGCCGCCGAATGACCAAACCACCACGGAAAAAGACCGATCAGGCGTCCTCGAACACCAGCACCCTCCCCACCGTCCTACCCAACGCCGCAGACCGCATCTTGAGCAACGGCCGAATACCCCTCGGCTCCATAGCGACCTCAACCGGCCTCCTCTCCAACGTGCCCTTTTCCGCCCCCGGCTCCTCCAACGTCTTCGGCATCGGCTCCGAACACCCGTTTGCCAACTACTGGACCTGCAACGGCGGCCTGCCCGAAGTCATCGACGTCCTCCCAGCCAAAATGCAGGTCGACCTCGTTCTCGACCGATACTTTGAATGCGTCGACCCCGTGTATCCCATGATCCACCGCCAGACGTTTTTCGCGGACTACGAGCACTTTTGGACTCTGAGCCTGGAGGAGAAACACAAGTGCGATTCGGCGTTTATTGCGCTGGTCTTTGTGATGCTGGCGCTGGGCACGCAGTTTGTGGAGAGTAAACTCAGCGCGAGGGAGCGCCAGCAGACTGCCGAGTTTTATGCGAGCGCGGCGAACCAGGCGTTGAGGGTGGGGAGTTATATGAGCATGGCGAGCATTACGAGTATTCAGGCCATGGTGTTGATGACGTACTTTTTGATTAACGATAATCATGCTTCGGATGGTTGGGCGTTTGGGGGGATTTTGGTGCGGCAGGCGTATGCCATGGGGTTGCATAGGGATCCCAACATTGGTATGTCTCTCTCCCTCTTCCCTTCCCCCTTCCCAACTCACCTACTAATTCCCTTAACATGTAGTCGTCCCCACAGCCCCCCTCTTCATCAAACAACAACGCCGCAAAGTCTGGCAAGCCGTTCTCTTCCAAGACACCTTCCTCACCGTCCTTTTATCCCTCCCCCCCTCCGCCACCCACACCGACGTCAAAGTCGAAGACCTAGTCTCCAACCTGGACCCCTCCTCCTCCTCTTCCTTGTCGCAAATCTCCATCGACGCCTGCGACGACCCCACCGACATCGCCTACCTCCGCGGCTCCTGGACGCTGGCCAACCTCGTCCAAGAAGCCATCTGCTCCCCGCGCTCCTTGGATGTACCCATCTGCACCACGGTCCGCCACAAATCAAAACTCGTCGCCGATTTCAGGGCAGTCTACCGCTCGTTTCCGGATATTTTCCGGTCCTGGGACGTGGCCATGTTAACCCAAATGGCCGAACGCAACAAGCGGATCGTGCGCCAAACCCTTTTTCTGAGTTCAAACTACTTCCACAACCTCATGCTCGTGCACGCGAGCGAGAGCGCAGACGTGCCCGTCAATGTGCGCGGAACGCTGGAGGCGGCGCACGATGCCATCACGGCTTTCTTTGTGCTGTTCAGCTTGTTTGAGACGGAGGCGAGGGTGTGGTGGGTTTTCAACCATCGGGCTTTTCTGGAGGCGCTGTGTATTGGGAATGTGTTGAGGGAGGCGGCCAAGGAGGAGGGCGGGGTGGAAGCCATGGCCAAGGATCCCTTGTTTGTTAGGGCTAGGGGGGATATTCGTGAGTTTTCTTTCTTTCTTTCTTTCTTTCTATCTTTGTGTTTGTGTTTGTGTTTGTGTTGTGGGGGTGATGGGGATGATAAGAAAAAAAATGATGATGCATGCTGACGATGACGACGAAAAAAAACAGATCAAATGATTAATATCATGAGGGCAATGAGTGAGGGCGAGCAAGGGTCGGAAACGGCGAGGACGAGGGTGCAGGTTTTGAGCGAGTTCCTAGTTTGAATGAGAGGTTGAGCGAGCGAGCGAGCGAGCGTGCTTGGTGTTAGGAGTTGGAAGAGCGATGAGCGACCGACCAGCGATCAATGACAAGAACCAACCCTATAAGAGATACGATTACAAAACAGTGACGATTTTGCGATATAACTAACAGGCTTGGAGCAGGATACTGAAAGTATATTCCGTCCATGGCGATGATGGATTGCGCAAGGACAAGAAGAAGAAAGACACCCACCCCAAAATCACTACCTATGAAATACTCGACAGACCAGTGAACGACGTCGTAGCTGCCATACTAACCAACGCTTTTCTATCAAGGACTATCCCATCTGTCAACAGCGACCACCGAGACGGAAGGGAATACCCGACACAACACATTGTCGGCAAAGTAGTAGAAGGAAGGGGAAAAGAGTCATACTAGACAGGTAGGCAACGTCGACAATATAATCTGGCCAAATGATGAACACTAATACATACGACCATAGATGGTAGAAAACTCGGGATCCCGTCCGCTCTCCCATAGATAAGCTACCAATCGCCTGACTAGTAGTTGGGTCGGTGACGACCAGCGAATCCCAGGTGTTGTATGTTTTTTTTGCCCTTTGTTGCATACCTTTCTGCGTTTTGCTTTTTACCCAGCGGCAGTTATTAACCTGTGCTGGCTCTCTGATCCCTGTGGGTGAAGGGTTGATAATTTCCTCTCTTGTGAACGAAGTCGGAGCTGCCATACTAACCAACCAACGCTTTCCTATCAAGAACTAACTATCCATTGCCATCTGTCAACAGCGAACCACTACGGCAAGAACAAAAAAGAAAGGGAGCAAAAACCAAAACATACAAGCACCAGGTTGATTCGCCAGTCGTCAACACCGATCCGACTACTAGTCTGGCGACCACTGACCTACTTATCGAGAGGAGATCGGACTGACGGGATCCCGTCGGAGTTTTCCCAGCGCCTATGGTCGGTCGTATGCGAATAACATTTACTTTCCGTCAGTGGTAAGCGGAAGAGTCGGGAGAACTGAACTGCTTAAATATTGTTTAGGGGTTGGTTACCTGTTAGTGTGAGGAGAATGTCATGTATAGATAGATAGATGTAGGAGCGAGAGAAACCGAACCAGCAGCGGCTGCCTTGCTCATTAGTTTAGATCTACCGTCCGAAGACGAAGGGAAAAGTAGTACTGGTGTTCAACGCTACAGTGCGGACAATTCTACAAATACAAACCCCTATTTCAAGGACGTTGTGAGAGAGGAATGATAGTTCAGACCTGACTTACGAAGTCAGGAAAGTAGGTATTGAGACAATCTACACCACCAAAAATGCCTAACTATTCACTTTCGAAGATCGATGGATAATATGATTGTTTGAATATATGTCATTATTCGACATCACCATGTATATGGCCTATCTACTCAGTTAAACAAAAGAAAGATAATGAGAAAAAAACAAGATTGGCGACATCTCAAAGGTCGCCGGGGTATATAGTTGCAAGGTACTCGGTGCTCAACTCAAGCTCAGCTCAGTGCTGTAATGCGTGTGTGGTATATGTGAAAAAAAGCAAACGACCTCCGTCTCCTATCCCAGGGTATAGTCTCTCCTCTTAAGGCTTAATAGACCTTGTTCCTTCCGTACCCATTGGTACGACGTGTGTGTATTCCTTGGATGGGCCATGAAGCAAGCATCCCGTTATCCCATTCTATCCAACCGATCCATCCCATCCTAGTGTCCTGGTGTCCTTAGGTTCCCTCATCACGATCATTTGCTTCGTTTGCGTTCGTTTGCCTCACCCTCTTCTCGTCCCTGTCGATGCCGACCAAGAGGCAGCCAAAACACCTTATAGGTGCCTCACAGACGCCAGTGTCATTGCGTCGTACTCCTCTTCGGCGGCCCTTCCACCAGCGGCACCTCCTTCACCGGCTCACCCAAGTTCGTCAACAACCCACCAGCATCCACCAACTCCAAGTCGTGTCCCTGACCTTGGCCATGCCCCAACCTCCTCAGCCTTCTCTCCTCCGACGAATACGTTGGCAGCTCATCACCCTCCCCATTCTCTCCCATCTGCGGTATGCTCTCCAAATCACTCGTACTCTTCGGCCTGCTCCTCCCTCGTCCCCTACTCAAACTCCTTCTGCTCGTCAATGGAGATAAAAACCCTCCCAGATCTTGCAGCAACGCTGCCGATCCTCGGCGCAAGCCATTGGCACTGGCGGGCATGGCGGGCACGGGAACGGTGTTGGGGCGCGGTGGCTCGACGGTGGTGGAAGCGGAGGATCCTCGTCGACCGCGGGTGGGTTCGTCGGAGAGAAGACCGCCGTAGTCGAAGAAAGAGACACGGCGGGGGGAGGAGAGGATGGGGAGGTCGTTGTGGGTAGTGTTGCGCGGCGAGCCGGGTTGGCTTGGTTGGCCTGACATAGACATCAGGTAGTCATCACTACGGGCGGAGGAGCGAGCCTGGGATGAAGAAGATGGTGGAAAATCCCACGAGTGGATGGCATCGCGGTCGTGGTGGTGAATTTGGGCCATAGGGGCAGGGGTGTAATAACCGCCGCCGTTTCCGTCCGAATAGGGGATCAGCCGTTCGCGCAAATCGGGCTTGACGCCGTAGCCGACGTCGCGGACCAGATCCTCGTCGGAACCCCAGTGACGCAGGGTAGGGCGGCGGCCACCGTTGGGGGCGCCCCCGCCGGGACCCGAGCCGGGGGAGCGCTCGAGAGAACCGGCGGCGATGGAGCCGTATTTGTACTTGCGCTTTTTGACACCGCGGTCGCGGACGAAGGAGCCGAGGACGAGGGCGTTGGAGGCGGCGGTGGCGAAGAGCAGTTCGACGGAGGCGTATAAAGAGCGGGATTGTTGGGAGCCGTGGGCGCGGATGATGTGCGGGACGCGGTAGACGGTGACGCCGACGACGCCGAGGGAGAGGGAGAAGAGTAGGACCAGCTGGATCTTGCGGGTCAGGCTCATTTGGGAGCGGATGATCATGGGGATGGGGAAGAAAACGAGGAGGAGGTCGGTGATGATGTTGCAGACGGCCATGGTGATGAGTTGGGCGTAGCCTTGGCGGCATTGACCTCCAGGGTCCGGAAGGACTTGCCAGTACATGTGGAAGGGCCGGCATTCGACGAGGTCGGAGATGATGACGGCGACGAAGGTGGTGACGAGGGTGACCCGAATGAAGACGAGGGTTATTTCATACGAACGCTCCCAGCTGACGTTGAGCCGTTTGAAGAATTCCAGAATGGCGTATTTGAGAATCCATAGCCTGCAGACCGTCAGTGAGGTTTCGGGCAAGAAACAATGAGCGCCATGTCTCAGCCAGTACTCACGTCAAGGCATAAAGCACCCTGCTGAGCAGCACCAAGCCACTCGCTATTGTCTTTTTCCTAATTTGGTCCTCCGAGAGCCGAACAAACGAAAGATCGGCATTGTTTGTCCCATGAACCAATATAAAATGGACGCAACCCATGCGCAGTAACAACGGCACCAAAGCCAGAGCGGCCGTCTTGTCCTCACTGAACAGCTTCTCGGTCCGGACGAAGCGGCCACACACGCGCAGCAGGATCAGGACGACGCAGAAGATGGTCATCCACCAACATACCAGCAAGGTCGGCTTGTCGGAGCTGAAGGCGCGCCATGGAGGAGGGTCCGAGTAAAGAGTCATAGTGATGGCGGCACCCGGGACATGCCGCCCGTCATCCTCCGGAGAGGGACGAGCGGAGAAGATGGTATACCCCGATGCGAGGGTTTTGTTTGAGTCGAAATGGTCCGTGAACAGGGCTGACTGTGGTGCTGAAACGGCGTTCCTGGATCTGACTCGGGTGGTGGTTTTAGACTTCTAGGCTGCTGTCTCCTGGGTTGCTGCTTAATGGTCCTTCTTCGTCCGATGGCGTCTCAGAGTTCGGATGACGGAGATCTGTGCGTAAGACTTTTCGGACGAGACGATGTCAAGGCGGATGTACAGCTGTGTAATAATTCGGCGACGATAATATGAACTGAGTGTCGCAAAGCGTGGATATAAAGTTTTCGGTTTCGTTTAGTGGTGGTGGCGGTCCTCGTATGAGCATGCTATGGTTGTTCTCTGATTTCGTCGCCGAGGATAAGGATATGACGAGGATGTAGACACTATCGAGTATTGAAATGTGGTCCGAGATAGACAATGCCTTTGTTTGGTTGACAGGTTTGAAGAAGCTATCTCAGTCGTTTGTTGATATGGAGATTGTGGGAAAAGAGGAGAAGAAGGTAAAAGGCTAAGGTTGGGGCTGGAAAGGATAGATAGACGACCTTTCGTCAAGGGCTGTCAGAGGCGAAGCGAGGCAGAGCCTGCAAGTGTCGTTGAGTGGGAAAAGTTGAAGCGAGAACCGAAAAGCAATGTCGATCCGCCTATCCTTGGTGGGACTGGAAATTCAAACAATGGCAGCTGAGAGTGAGATGGGGCCAAAACAGTAAGTACCTTTGTATCTTTTGATACTAAAAGGTCGGGTGAGAGGTGGGTGCGGGTCACTTTTGATGTGACCTGATGGAGTGATGCAGGAGGAGGCTGGTGGGTTCGTTGGTGAGTGGGCAAATTTGGGAGGAGAGAGGCCAAGTACTGTGTAAATGCAATGGAACTTTGACTTCCCCTCTCCCCAATCCTGCGTCTCATCCTCCAATCCTTACCTCTATTTGCTGATATGATGACCTGGGACTGGATGACCAGCACCCCAGCCTGCCCTGCTGCTCTTAGAGAACTACCTGCTGCTTGGTAGCGAATCCCGTCATCCCGTTTGGTAATCGAGCTTCCTATTGCGAGGCGCCTGCCCACTTGGGCAACGACGTCAGGGCAACACACTTGATATCAGCCTCTGAACTCGGAGTAGGAAACCGAGCATGGTCAAGGTAATCCGAGTGCGAGTGAAACAGTCTTATCAGGGCGCTCCTGGTCGGCTCACTCTTGGCGGTTTGCATGTCACCATTTTGCCAAGTGTAATAATGAGGGAGTGCATGGCGACCTGGACACCCCTTGCTTTTCCTGGTGATAAGTAACGAACGAACGAATCGGCAACGTAGCGAATTAGCGAATGGATCTGAAGCGGCAATGAGCGCCGGTGCTTTTGGCGGCTACCTGTAGGTTCTAAGCCGTGATGGTGATAGCGCAACGGTATTCGCTGATTTTACCTGAAATCGGGAGAGCTTGAGAGAAAGAGAGATAAGACTAACAGGAGTCCGTCACTAGCATCGCAATTTCCACGATCCAGGCCCCAGTCTACACAGTAGTAGCAGTCTTGGCGCTGGGCGGGAGGCGGGAGGAGCATAACATCCGCATCGCCGTCTCCTCTTTAGGGCTTGTGAACAACAAAACAAGTGCCGTTGATGCCATCATGCTTGCCGACTAGACCAAGACTCCGTTTTTGCCTCGTGTCCAGAAAGCAACAATGCAAATCATCATCTGGGAGGTTGAGTGTCGTGTCAATCATATGCGGCATCAATTCCGCAGTGGTAGATTGCCAATTGCGCAAGTCAGCGTCAGTGCACTGCGGGATAGCATCGGATGGATGGGTCTCGCAAAAGTCAAAAAAGACAAAAAAGACACCGGCCACCGTCCGACTGAAGCAGCCAAGAACAGGGAGTTCTCCGTACCGTTTAATAACGCACGGTAGCACCCCCACTCGCGTCGTAACCCTACCTATCAAGCTTCGTTCCGGTGTCAAGAGAAGTGGAAAGGGTTCAATTTTAAACTCTGCTCGGCAGTCCAGATTTTGAAACACACAAGGCCGAAATCGATATTCCCACGTGTGAACGAGGAAGTGTGTCCACCTTGGAATAAAAGATGATGAAGCTCGTGAGTCTGTCCTTTTCACTCGGTGTTGTTGTCAGAGGCCAGGGGATCCACTGGGCGTGCACGTGCCCAGCTGGACTGGGATATACAGGATTTTTATCCAGATGCCAGAGCTTCAAGTCTGCAGAGCCAGTCTTACACACACACACACAATCAAGCCACGTTGAACCCCATATCGATTATTACCAGTAATATCACAGTTGTGCCTCGGGAGTCAGGACCTGTGATTGGTCTGGCCCAGAAGGCAAGTCACCGAGAGCTAACGCCGAGATCACTTGCTTTACGATCCGCGCACGGGTGCATTAGCTGCCCAGGCGTCTCCACCCTATACTCCGCCCATTTTAATCTTCACCAAATGTTCACTCCTCTCTTTCCAACTTTTCTTTCACCGCCTGTGAGAAACTTGAATGCAAAATGCAAAACTCTTTTGACGCTCAATGCAGTTAACTGTTCGTGAGTTTTCTCCTTCTCTCTTGACGCAATGCGACAACCCGCGTTTCGGTTACACGATTGGAACATTGCCCAGAAAGATTGGCAAGGTTGGTGAAACCTCACCTTGATTAGCCCAACTCGTATCTCCCATCCCTTTCCCCCGTCTGCCTCCCACGCCTCTTTATGCTCCTGCTATCATCACACAAAGCTCGTTGCAGAATGGTTTAGGGGACTGCCCCATTTATCAAGTCCGTTTTCTGTCAGTGTCACCAACTTTGAGACATGGAGGCGTTGAACGAAATCCACAACAGACCGGAGGTTCTTCCGTTTTATTTTTGGTCATGGATATTGGGCCTCTTTTTGGGCTGTAGATCTGCTACAGATGACTAACGTCTGATGAGTACCAAGGACACATCCTTATTAATTCCAGCATCATCTCCCTCCTCGTTCATCGTGAAGAGGAGTTCCTCTTTTCTGACTTTCCTTATCCACTACAAACGAAATGATGCTTGCTCCCCTTCCCCTATTCCCGTGTCTCGTCCGAATGGACAGTCCCAACCGTTTGGCACACCCGGGAGCCGGTTTTGACCCCCGTTACACGTGTACTCCCAGCTCCGTGGATGATCGAACATGCTAGACTGTACGATGGAGAATGTTAATCCGGAAGAGCGGGCGGAGCAAGACGAAATACTGTACTCAAAGCAGCAATAAGCTTCAAGATGATGGGATTTTCAAAGTGTGCCATTGCGGCGCAGATCCGGCCAGCTTGTCCACTTTGACGAGAGCTACGGGATCGCATCCTTTGATCACCAAAGGTCTCCTATCCCCTAATCCGACAGACCTCCCGTCGGTCGTTATAAAGGCTGTCCCATCAACTTGGTTAGTATACACCACTCTGTCGATGCAAGATTCAGGCGGTTTTCTTCCGCCTTGCCAAACCAACGTTGACGATATTGGTAGCGGCATCTTCCCATGTTCCCTGAACTCTTACACAGGGTTTCCTTTGCATTTACCCACGAATAAGAGAACACAAAGCAAAAGTCGCATGCACTCCTATTCCCAAGTCACCGTCACCATTACCACCTATCCGTTGTTACACAAAAACAACCCGAAATCTCGCTACCCAACTACCTTCTCCCTTGGGTGAATTATCCCGTCCCGGATCCCGCCTCGGAACCAACCCACGAATGCAGCAAGCCAAGTTCAAGTGAACCAACACACATACATACACCCGACAGACCGTTACCGTCTCCTCGGGACGGAAAACTCAACGCCCTAGACCCGTACCAGATACTGGAAACCAAATTGCAAGTTACAGCGCATTTTCTTTATATTAAGTGTCACATTCCCACGCATTCACACGCATATCTCCTACGTACGTACACACACGTACTCTGACGAGTCAAAACGCTCTGTCGGTATATTGAGTTACTGTGTACAGAATGGGCTTAAAGTGGTGGCGCGCCCGGGATGGGGGTATCACAATCACATGCGTGGTGGTTGTTGGTGACGGGTGGTGACGGGAAGTGGCGGAAGGATGGAGACAAGGGGTGGTGAAGTAGGTAGGTGACGGAGAAATAAATGGCTTGCGACGCGTGTGTTGACAGGAGATGAAGGAATAATTGATACAAGAGCACTTTGGGTCGCGTCACGAAGGGGGAGGAATATTTAGTTACATTGTCGTCGTCATCAAAGCTGCTGGTGGGTGGTCACTGCACTTTCTGACCGGTCGTATAAGTCCTTCGGTGGTTCAGACTCAAAAAAAGTATCCTCGTTTGGCGATGATTCCATGACCAGTGTGCCATTCTTTCTGATCCGGTGTTAATGAGCTGACTGCACATGTTATTGCTCACAAATATCAACTCTCTGACGGTGTAGACTCCGAGAGTGCTTGTAGCTCTTTGAGTGGGTGTACACCGGACTGCCATCAATGCAAGGACGCCTCACGTTCATTCGAAACGACCCCAGTGCCAAAATGACTTTATAGCTGAAGGAAACTTGCATCATGGCTCTTCGACACTGAGCATGAGATTGATGCGCTACTGACTGGTGATAATATTGCTTAGGAGTTAGTGCCCGATTGATAATTCTAGATACAGTGAGACAAGAGAGAAACCGAACCAGCCGCGCGGCCTCTCTCATCAACTTTAGACACTTGGTCTCTCTCACGCTGTAATTCGTTCTTAAATGGCAAGTTGACTATTCATCATTCCTTCCTTCAATAACGTCCAACTTCCTCTGGTGATAACACACCCGTAAGCTTGGTCAAGTCACGAACCGCACTCTCCCCCCACCTAAGGCCAAACCTCAACCTTCTCCCACTCCCCTTCCACCTCCCCGCCCGCCTCCTTCGACTGATAACTGTTCCCCCTCCACAAATACAGCCACCTTCTCGGCCTCCTCGCATCCGACAAATCGACCTGGTCCACCTCGGTCGGCACAATCACCACCACCCTAAAATTTTTTCTTGCTACCGCATCCTGCAAATCCTCCACCTCCTGCCCCAGCTCCTCCCCCTTTCCGGGTGGGAACGCCACCGGCTGCCCCGGCGGCGGCCCTTTGAATGTCCCCCTCATCACCGGACTCAGGTTCCCAAAGTGCGCCGTCACCTCCCTACTCCAGCTCCACCCCTCCTCATCTTCTTTCTGTTTGCCGGGAACCCTCCTCATCCTCTGCCGCAAAACCTCCCTTATTTTCGCCGCTCCTTCGCTGTCGGCATCAGGACCTAACAACCACGCCGACCCGCGAATGCGCCACTGCGTCATCACTTTCTTCTCTTTTTTGTTTGATGGATACTCATGGTCCTTAACAGACTCGATCCAAAACACAGCCTCAACCGGTCCTCCCCCTCCCGTCATCCCTCCCCCTTCCTCAATCTCCTTTGCAGGAGCGGTATCAACGATCTCCGCGCTCTTTTCCATCCTGGCATCCGTCGTGAAGGTGAGCAGGTCGCTTTCGTACACCGAAGGGTTCAGTTCAGCCGGGTTCTTGTCGCTGGCGGGAAGCTGCGCCCAGAGACCGCGGTAGATGCATGTTCGCGCTCGAGGAAGGACGGGCACGGTGGAGGAGAAGGGCGTGGGTGTGCTGGTGGAGGAGAAGGTGGGTGGTAAAGGGTGGAGAGTGGAGAGGGTGAAGGAGCGAGAGGAGGGCGGGAGGGAGGTCAGGTGCGAGAGGAAGGGGGAGAGCCAGGGGGGTGGGGTGGAGGGGGAGGGTTGGCGGTTGTGAGGGTGGCTGCCGGTGGCGGTGGTTGAGGTGGACATTTTGGTGGTGGTTGGTAGTTTTGTTGACTTGGTCTTGGTGGTTGCTGAAGTTGAAGTCGGTCAGGTGGTTGTGAGGAAGCGCTTGATGAGTGGTTTGGTGTAGCTCGGTGGTGATGTTTTTGAGATCCTTTGAGCGAGACTGGACTGTTGGCGAGAGACAGGTCTTGTTTGACAGAGAGCGAGATGTGATGTCGAGTCTCAGGTAGTTGTTCAGAGGCAGTCTAGCCACTATTCATCGATGACGGTGGTGATTGAGAACGGGTATTGAAGTCTGCAGTGCCCTCGTGGTTTTGACGGCCACGCTTCCAGTGATGCTGGCCAACTCAAAGGACTGAACTGAAAGGCAGTCGCGATGTTTGTTTGAAGGATACCGAAGCAATTTAGTGAAGGAAAGAATAGTTTTGATGTAGGACAAACAAACAAAAGTCGCGGCTGCTATGATGACATACGGCCCCGATCCCGCCAACGGCTGAAATGTCTTACCCCACACTGCGATGACGGAGTTCGATCGGCCTACCCCGCCGTTTGCCCCATACAACCCCCAACCATCAAGGTGCTTGCTCCTTTGAAAGAAGCTCACAAGTAATCAAAAGCAATATTTCGATAGGACTACGATTCTTGCAAAAAGAGCTTGAGGGTTTGACAAGAACTCGGTTTAAGTTAGCAGAAACGCCGCACTCCACCCCCCAAGAGCACGTCAGCCTCCTCCTACAAAGGAACGGCCCGGTGCTAGGTAGTTCTCGCCCGCACTCGCCTGCGCAGGCCTGGTATAGCTACGCTTTGATGATGACGAATCGGATGAACTGAGCCTCCATCACGTTCAATGGTCTCCCAAAGAGGTTGGTAGTTTTGAAATACTTCAGGTGTTAAGGAGGAAGAATAATGGTAATCTCTTTGACTGAGACCAACGGACTTTCTTGCTATGATCACTTTTCGACCAATGATGTGTTATGGTTGCTAACAATTTCCATGGCTTATACAACAAATGCTTTTAATACATTCAAGTAGCACTTTATAGTCATATCTTGTACGACTTCTCTCTTGGCGAAAACGTGTGTTGGTCGTGGTCAAAGGGGATGTGGTGGAGATTGGTCGTCTACCTGAGGGAACTCCGAAGTCAAACATCTACCGGACAAGATCTTCTTCAGGGCTTTCGAAATCTGGAGGATCATATGCCAGAAATCTAGGTTTCAAAACTGCTTAAGAATATGAGCCAAATTAACGGGTGTCGTTGAATATGGTCAATGCAATGCTGGCCTTTTGCGGGTATACAATTCTATCTACCGCGGATGACGTTGACAATTCTAGTTGTTGGTCCTGGATGTTGAAGATAGGTCAGGGGGCACTTCTAGCTCAAAAGAGCAGCCTGACATATTATACTCGGTGCTGCATATGCCCATTAGCAAAAAAAAACATCCAAATTGCTCTGATATCTCCCATTTCGAAATTCATCATGATAGCTCGGATATTCTCTTGTCGGTATCTCAAGCTACGTACAAAAGCCACACTCCATAACGCCTTTCTTTCTTCTCTTGAAAGAACAGAAACTGATTTCCCTGTATCCCCCATAATGCTAGAATGGTTAAAAAACGCCCAAGTTTTTGTATTACACAACCGAACCCCCTTTGTCCGCTGGTGCTGCTGCCGTGCTTTCTTTCTTGCTGCTTGCTGGCCGTCTCTCTTCCCAAGGCTTATTTATCCAGTCGCCCTATAGTCGAGTTCTCTGATTCCCACACCAGACCCGCGCTGACCGGACAGTAGTAGTAGTAAAACTCGTCGGATTGCTGCAAACCAAGAGGGGATTTTTGATGGATCAGTGTAGAGCTCAGCCCGCCAGCCCAGCTTTTCCCAGCCGCACGCAACCACCCCTTCTCTCACGCACTCACGCACGCACGCACGCGCGCGCCCCCCTTATACGCAAAGCCTGTAAGAAGCATAGCGACCCGCCGTCTCCGACACACGAATGATCTTGACCACCTGGCCCCTCTTGAGTCCCAAATACCGCGCAATCGGATCCTTGCTCAAGATTCTCGGCAGCTGCGTCTCCTTGAGTCTGTACCTCTTCAGGAGCGCGGCCTTCTCCTCCTTGGACAGCAGCACGTGCTTGGGCACGAGCTCGTGGTGGGTGATGTTGACCAGCAGGTCCTCCTCCAGGAAGCACTCGACCTGGGTGTACTGCGAGGTGACGGACATGACCTTGCGGGCCTGGGCGGAGAGGGGGACGGCGGTGATGAAAATGCCGGCTTTGAACTTGTTGTCGGAGCAGTGCGTGACGAACTTCTTCATGACCGAGACGCCGATGGAGCCCTTCTCGGTGCAGAACTCGACCCAGATGGTGCCGCATTCGGGAACGGGGTTGGGGTTGGAGGGCGTGGGAGGGGCGGTGAACTTTTTGATCATGGCTTCGGAGGGGCGGGCGGAGAATTGGAGCTTGGCGCGGCTGTTTTGATGTGGTCATGTTAGTTTAGTTGTTCTCTTGTTTGGGTTCGGATGCGACGCGTAAAGTGGTGGTGATGATGGAGGGGAACTCACTTTGGTGTTCCATCCTCGTTCGTGTATTCAGCCTTGAAACGCTCGAGCGAGATCTTGACTTCGTCTTCTGCCAACTCGTAGCCCTACAGTTGATGCGTCAGATAAAGTCGAAACATGGTGGGTGATGGCGCGTTGAGCAAGCGCGATAAGGATGGCGTACCCTGTCCTGAACCATCTCGTGAACAGTTCTCCAGGCTCTCCACAGGCGGGAGACTTCCTTGGAGGCGCTGGTGGGGCTGCTGTCGTCCTCCATTTTGGCTGTGTGTATTGGCAATCTTTTGTCGTGTGGTTTTGTCGTCGCGGAGTGGTGATGATGTGGGGGTTGCGCAGGTGAGATGGTTCGGCGATGGTGGATGGCTTGTGGTGGACTGATAGCTTGTTACGAGGCTGTAAGGACAAAGGCTCTCAAAAAATTGCGGGAAGGGTGGGTGTCGCAAAAGACCAGTGGCGTGGCCGCATTGATCTGAACGCCCACTCCCCGGCCAGGTTTCCACGCCGGCCGATAAGAAAAGGGTCCACAATGAGGTTGCCTTCACCCCTGTCGGACATCAAGCGCGCAGATGGTCTGTGCTGCACTTCAATGTCCGTTGGTCGGCTTCTGATTGTTCGTTGAAGTCTGTGTTCGGTGATGGCGTGCTCTGGTTTCGGAGTTAGGACGTGAATCACAGGATATTCAAACATTATCTTTCTTGTCTAGTACATATAGCACAAGAAATCATTTCTTCCCTCGCCGACGTTTCGTTCTCAAAGACTTGAGGGACATCGCTCGGCAAGTGAATTGGCGTTCGAGAGCCAATTCAACCAATCATCATCGTCCAAGCATCCAACGCACATAGCGCACAGGCCAAGACGGTGTCGGGAAAGGCCACGATCTGCGGATCTGGAACACGACACGCCTGGGGCGGGACAAATTTTGGAAATTTTGGGAAGTTCAGGGCCCGCATTTTGGGGAACTGGCGACTGAATTGAGGTTTCAAAGGTTCCCGTTCAATTGTCAATTGCGGACGGTCTGGCAGTCTGGACCCCATGTTCCACTATAACCACATACATACCTAGGTAGCAGCGATTACCCTACACCCTACAGGACCCGAAAGCGGTCTTCGGACGTCGCGTGCACTGCCTTACTTCAGTTGTAGCCGACCCACGCCTGCCCTTGGCTCAGTGGTCCCCCTCCTTTATCTTACCATTCCCTTCCTTTCGTCCATCTGTCTCTTCTTTCCTTCTTTCCTCCAGCAACCACCACATCATACACAATGGCCGAGTCGCAAACCCCCGCTGCCGCCCCTGCGGCTACCACCAAGCCCGGCAAGCCTGATCAGGATGCCTTCAACGAGAAGCTCGCTCAGGCCGAGAAGGAGTATCAGGATGCCCTGAAGAAATACGTGAGTCCCCAGTGTATCTACCCGACACCGTGGAGTCGGAGCATGCATCACGCAGATGGATCGCGGATCACGATGCACCCTACCGTCCACAGATTCCCACCTGGCTGCTGCCTCCAATTGCCATGTGACATCGCCAGACTGACCAAATGTCGTTGATGTAGAACGAGGTCAAGGCCAAGGTTGAGCTCGCCGCTCCTAGCAAGAACAAGGACCAGCCCAGCCCCACCCAGAAGAAGCGCCAGGAGCTCATCTCCCAGCTCAACGAGATCCGTCAGCAGCAGGCCGGCGGCAAGAATGCCCGCACTTCCAAGCTCGACCAGATCAAGCGTCTCGATGAGCAGCTCCGCAGCCGCATTGCCGAGCAGAAGACTGCTCGCGGCAAGGTTAACTTCAAGTCCACCGAGGACCTCGACCGCGAGATTGAGCGTCTGGAGAAGGAGGTTAACGGCGGCATGATGAAGCTCGTCGATGAGAAGAAGGCCCTCGCCGAGATTTCCAACCTCCGCAAGCAGCGCAAGAGCTTTGCTGGTTTCGACGATGCCCAGAAGCAGATCGACACCCTCAAGACCAAGATCAAGGAGATCAAGGACAGCTTGGAGGACCCTGAAGCTAAGGCCCTCAGCGAGAAGTATAACACGCTTCAGGCTGAGCTCGACGCCATCAAGGCCGAGCAGGACGAGGCCTACAAGAACCTCTCCAGCCTTCGTGACGAGCGCACCAAGCTCCAGCAGCTTCAGTCCGAGAAGTACCAGGCTATCAAGAAGCTCAAGGATGAGTACTACGGCGCCAAGAAGGAGTTCGCCAAGTGGGAGCGTGAGCAGCGCGAGAAGGCTCGCGAGAGACAGCAGGCCGAGCGTGAGCGCATCGCCAAGGAGCGCCGCATGGAGCGTGCTCAGAAGATGCTTGCCGAGGCTTCTGACCCCGCCTACCTCGAGGAGATTCGCCGTGCCAACTCTCTCCTCAAGTACTTCGACCCCAGCCACGAGGTCGCCGAGAAGGCTCCTCTCCTTGCCGACAAGGGCCTCGGTGCCCAGGCTCTTCGCAAGGTTGACGACTCTGGCCTCAAGGGCATGAAGCTCGTCCGCAAGGAGGAGCGTGATGACGACTACCTCCCTGCCGTCAAGAAGGGCAAGAAGGCCAAGAAGCCCACCGGTGCCGCCCCTGTCGCCACCGGCAAGACCTTCAGCCTCCCTCCCTCGGTCATTGAGGACTGCAGCTTCATCGGTGTCGAGCCCCCCATGGCTGCTGCCGATATCCCTGCTGCCGTCGAGAAGACCAAGGCCAAGCTCGAGCAGTGGAAGGCCGACCAGCCTGAGCAAACTCGCAAGGTATGTTAATCGTGTTTTGTTCCTGTTGATATAAACGTTGCTAACAGTGCCGCTTGCAGAACATCGAGAAGGCCAAGAAGGAGATTGAGCGCCTCGAGGCTGAGGAGGCCGGTGAGACTTCCGGCTCTGCTACCCCCAAGAAGGCCGACGGTGAGACCAAGGCCGTCGAGGAGGTCACCGAGGGTGTCCAGAGTGCCACCATCGAGGAGAAGACTGAGGCTGTCGAGGCTTCGGCATAGAAGCCACGCCATCGACGTCACAGATCGTCTCGTTCTCTGATTTCTGGGAAAGCATGATTTGAGGGAGACCAGGACTCCGACGAGGTTCAGGTTGCCAGTTTAAGCGGGTATTTGGGTCCTGTCATCCCTCTTCTTCATCTTTACCACCACCGTCTATTGCCCGCAGCGACGTTTGTACCCGTGTCAGATGTTGTGCGCATCTATCCCGGCACATTATCATTCACATATATATCCCCGATATTCGTCTTTTTTGCCTTAGTGGTCTCTTAGTTATCATTACCCTCCATATCTTCTCTCAAATGTTGTTAGCATGTTTCATCCGGGTAAAGAAAAGGGGGAATCTTGGGGAATTCAAAATCTGGGATGGTTTTCTTAACACATCTTCAGCTTCAAACGCAAAAAGACTTTAATGGCTGAACTCGTCCGACCTTGCTCCCCAACGTATTCGGTATGGAGGTGACGTTTCTGATGGTGGTCTTTCGTGTCCGAACGCAGGGAAGCTGATAACAGAAGGAAAGCACACAAACTGAGGTATCGTAGGCCCGAAACAAAAGGAACGGCCAGGACTGGGAATGGAAGAGACTGATGAGAACATTTGAAAGGACTCCCTGAGATAGGTTAGATACGAAAGTGAGAAAACGCGAGGGACTTGATACCCATCTTCCACGCTCGCACTCTTCCATGTTGCCTGCCTGTCAAGTGCCATTGGATGTTTGCTTCACGGGCTGCTTGCCTTGCTTGCCTGTCCTCTCCCGTCACCCGGTTAACCGCCCCCTTTTGCTCGTGGGCCTCTTGCAGATATCAACGACCATCATCCTTCCTCAGTGCACACCGCAACGACAGCTGTCAACGAGAAATTATAGCTACCTATCTACGAGTGTCTTCGTGTTCTGAAATAGAGTACACTCACCCGACTGTCTGTGCTGCCAGCGGAAAGCAAATAGCGTAAATCAACAAACAACATTGATACAACCTAAGCAAGTATGGTGACAGCAACAGAAAGCACCTGACGCTCTCAGCCACAGACACATACAGAGAGACAGAGAGACGCCGATAGCGGCCCAACGTCTGAGTGCCCATGCAAAGTGCAAACTGCCCGCCCATGCCCATGAGCACGTACCGCGGCGGTGGATTCCGTCCCATATCTCCCCCATGCTAAGGTAGGTATCTACACGTGTAGGATCACGCCAATTCCCGGCGTCACGGTACTGGTTCTCATGTCGTGAATTCTTATTCGTTTGGATCCAAAGGGCCGGGCCAGGATGAGATAGGGGCAAGGGCAAGGGCTTATTTTGATGTCCCCCATACGTAGACAGATAAGTTACCTGCTCTACCTTACCCTTACCCCGTGATGATGTGCATGATGTGCATCCAATGGGTGTCTGATATCGATTATTGATCTGGATATATGTAGGTAGGTAGAGTTACTACTGGCTGGTTGGATAGCCGATAACCGGTAGCTGGGGAGCAAGGTACCAGGTGCTGGTGCTGGTGCTGGTATGTACTGACGAGGGCTGTGAGAGCTGTGAGATCGTGGTCACTGGTCGGTATCGGTTTTCTTAATGGGATAGCCCGGTAGCAAATACAGAGAGTTAACAAAAGCTGGGGAGACGATGATATCAAACCGCGATATACATGCGGTGTGTGGAAGTGTCTGTGGAGGATTACGTGTCTGTCTGGGGTATGGATACATATTCTGGGAGCTGGATCCAAAGTGTGAATACTTGTGGCCTGGTTCTTCGGTACGTTGGGTATGGTCGTATTCTACGCACCTTCCGTGGTATTCTATACATGTATCTCTCTTCCCACGTTTCCATTCGTCGGGATCCAGATTTTCACCACGGCACCCAGCAAACCGGCAAATGGAAGCGAAGCGGACGGGTGGACGGACGGACGAATACCCGTGAAGACGGGATATAGCGTCATCGGGCCATCGGGCATCTATCAAGCTGTCTCTCAGTGTTTCAAAAGTTTGGGTCAGGCTGGGGATGCAGTCCAGCCGCAAGTGGTGTGAGTACTGTTCGTAGCCGAGATCGGTGCCGCCGGAGCGGGTGGGTGAATATCACCCACTGGCCACTACCGGCAGCAAAGCAAAGAATCAGGTGGCTGGGTGGCTTGGTCCTTGGTCCTTCTCTTTGCTTTTCCGCATGCTTTTCCGCTGCAGCTGTGTATTCTGTTTGGTTTATGGTTTCTGGTTTATGGTTTCTGGGTCGATTGACTCTCTCAACCTCCATCCTTCCAGCTCTTGATGTGCGATAGTGGTGGTCATGAGGAGATGTGACTTCACAATAAAGCAACAAATAGTTTGAAAGGAGAAAAGGAGGATAAGTTGAGAATATGATTGGATAGGGCTTAGAAATGGGAGATCTTCGATAATCCTCATGCTGTAGTAGAAAGGATCTGGCGATATCGCTCCGTCCGAGGCGTGTCAGTTTCTGAATGATGTAGACCTAGAAATACTAGAACTTGATGTTGGATGTCTCTGTCTGTGTAGGGTATGACGAACCATCCCCTATTTTCAGTCTAGCGGTATATGCATCAACTACATACGGGAACCGTATCACGACTTCATCATGTGAGTGACCCTCACCGAGAATAGGATCGTCATACTGCGGCTCCTGAGACAGGTTCGTGGCAGGAACACGAAAGACAACGGCGCGATGTCCATCTAGATTTTAGATCTCGATGACCGAGTTTCCTCCGGTGCGTACATCATGCGTACTACACCATGAGAAGGATGGAAAGCAGTCATGTTGAGAAGATCTGATCCATTGAGTGAGGAGTGAGTGAATTACCTTCTCCTCGAGTAATCTGCCTGAGCGCTATACTTTTTCAGCTTCCGTGTTCAAAGGCGTAATCTTTCCTCCGCGACATATGTCCCTTCGAGGTACACCAGTCTATGAGGTGAGATCGTCATCATATCCCAATCCCATCATAACATTCCGCCCATCCATTTTTGATGTTCGTTTTGAATTGTTTCTTTCGTGAGGTATCCCATCATCATCATCCCAATCATGAGTAAAACCAAGGCCTGCCAGCCCAGTCCTTCCCAAGAAGAAAAAAAGAAGAAATAAAATTCAAGTTCAAACACGATTACGATTCCCTGAACACCGAGTCAACCGCCCATTGACCATCCGTAAAACCCGTTCATTCATCCGTTTCATTCCGTTCCGTTCCGTTCCATCCCGAGTTCCAGAGAAGATGTTTGTAATCGTGTACTTGACTTTTTGAGAACAAATGCCGCCGCCGCTTTCCCAAAATGTGATATGCAATAATGCGGCCGTGATATGCAAGAATGGTATGTAAAAATCCTCATGCTGTAGATGTGTGACCCCTTGTCGAGGCCATGGGTATTGGTTTTCGTGGAGGATAAGACAAGTGATGACAAAGGGAATCGTTTTCAAGCGAACGTAGTGTTGTTAAGTCGTCGAGGTTGCTAACCGTTTAGTATGGTTGCTGAGGATAGTATGTTGGCGGTCCAGGGTGTGATGGTGCCCGGTAAGAGTGTCTGCGCTCCCTTGGTCCTGGTGTCCGCCTATCACTTCCACGGACTGGCTCGATAGGAGGCGGTGTCCGTCGCATGGCGGGCATAGGGGCAATCTCTCTGTCGTAGGTCATGCTGCGGCCGCTGGCCACAGTTGCTGGAGCACCGGGTGCTGTCCTTGTGCTGAGTCTCCTGGGTCCACTAAGGGCATTGAGAGGAGGGTCCTTGACAGATGCGTCACCGTCATCCGGAAGCGTCAACTCGACCAGGCTGTAGAAGTACTCGAGCACCTCGGGGTATCGTTGTACTGAAGCCTGCCAGTCCTCGTCGATGCCGCGCTTCAACTGGGCTTGGGCGTTGGCGAGTTCATTGGGGTGAGGTGGTGCCTGGTAGTATTGCCAGGCGTGAGCTGTGATGCGGTCTAGGTGTGTGGCATGTGCCGTCTTTCGTCGCTCAGTCAACTGGCGGAAGTGATCGAGGATGTAGTCTTGAGCGTGAGCTCGCACCCATGATCTAAAAGGATGTTAGCATGGTTCTTAGGGACAAGCAGATGAATGTACTTACCGGATGTCGTTGTAGATGGACTGCATCATACGGGCCTCAGCCTGCTTGACGGCCATCTCGAGGCCCTTGGCCTCACAGTCACAGGCAACGGTTGCCGGAGCATGGCAAATAGCGCAATCGGGATCCATCCTGACGATTGACTTTTGTGACTGTTGGAAGGTTTCTACCGAGTACATTGTTTAGTGTCGTGTTATATGAGGCGATGAGTGGTGTGATGTTCCGAGTTTGGTATAGTAAGGAGTGGAGTAAGAGATCTTGCTGCTTCTATCACAGAGTATGTGTTGCTATGTTGAAAACTTCACGCTCTTTCTCATGACCGACAAAGGGACCAGCCCAGCAGCAGCGAGGTAGAGAAGGTTGATGATGAAGCAGCTAAGAGTAGATAGAGCAAGAGGCAGAGAGAGGAGGGGAAAGATGCGGATGTTATGAAGCTGGTGTGAGGGAGTACAAGACAAGACTCTCAGTCGAGGGATAAGGCAGCAGATTCACTGACCTGATGTATCAAAGTCGATTCCACTCAATCAACGAGAAGCAGGCAAGCAGCACAGGCGGGAAGAAGTGAGCAAGCAGGCGGATCCGCAGGTGGATGTATGTGGATGTAGGTAGTATGTATGTAAGTCAACAAGGTACCGGAGGGGAAACACCACAGCAGCGCGACCACGCAGTGTGCAGGATGAGATGGCGAACGAGGATGAGGGAAAACACGACTGATGAATGGGAGAAGAAGGAGGAGAAGCAGGAGTTGAGAGGGGTGAGAGGTGAAAAGAGGAGCCAGGAGTGAGGATTCCGTGCAGCAGCAGAACGGTCCGGACGGATCAAGCAAGAGAGTGTTGATGGGCAGGCAAAATGGCCAGTCCATGCCACTCCCAATGCACTCCAGTCTCAGGTCTGTCCTCTGGAACTGTCGTGGCTCGAATGCGGGCCCGCTTGGCCCCTTTGGCAGCAGTGGTCTGCAGCTTGCAGCGGCCCAATGCCTCGTCGACCAGTCCAAGACGGCGTGGCCGTTCCGGGACCCAGTTTTCCCGACTGGAGGCGAGGTCGTTTGAAGACCTTGGTCGGACCAAGACTGCGACCCTTTCTGTTTAGGTGGTGGCGGATGATTCGCTTTGCAGCAGCAAGACAGCGCACTCTTGCAGCAGACGATCCCCCAGGTTATCAGCGTCTTGAAACTCGGAATACTGACTGACAGTGGGGTGACGGGCAACAAGACCGGTTGGCTACCGGCAGTGCCGTAGAGGATAGACGCGTCGTATTCAGATATCTGACAAGAATATGATAGGCAGTGTTGATAGTCCTGAGACGATCTAGAAGAGCAAGAGGAGAACAGTTCCCGTTGCCCTGTCAAATAGAAAAAAAATGTCAACATCAACAACAACAACAGAGGAGACGGGCAACGGGCAACGGGCAACGGAAAAGAGGCCAAGACACAATGTCCTACCCGAGACCGAAAGCCGTGAGAAAGCATGTAACAAGTGTCAGAGAAAATATGTGATTGGCGTTTTCTCTAACCCGAGTAGGCATGCAAAGTCCCTCATGATCCGGCCGACTGTGTGTGTTGACATTTGCCCCTTTCCAGTTTCTCCTCCCTTCTTCATGCACAACCACATGAGATGAGGTTCGGTTCCCAGCCGGATTATGGATACCTTGGATCCTGAGGTACCAATGTAGCTGAAAGACACTGTCCAACGGGAATCGACTTGTCATCCATCCATCCTGCCATTCTCCCTTCTCCAAAAGATGGGGAGGCTGGGGAATTGGGGTCAGGTCGGAGGGGACTGTGGACATCTCACTTGTGCTGTGCTGCATTACTTGATGCTATGCTATGCTGTGAGTGAGTTGTCAGTGCCGCCGCCGCCTCCGTCAGGTTTTACCGTAGTTTTCCTTATTCATATCAGACACAGTGAGCTGAGCAGCAGCTGCATGTCAGCCCGCCGGCATTGTAGCGTAGCCCTTGAGAGCCTTTTCTTCCAATTGAGAAGAAAGTCGGAAGGAAACAATGGAATATCCGGTTTCCAATTGAAGACAGAGAGGTGATGGTGCGGCGCACTTGCGACGGAGCCAGAGCCGTGCGGTGGCCGAGACGGAAGATGGCAACATGGCAAAGAGACAAAAGTTGATCGGAATGTGAAGAGAATAATTGGGGGAGTGTTGTTGGGTGGGAGACGAGGAGGAGTGGGAGTGCTTGAAATGGTGGGGAAACCTTCGATCATCCGGACTCAGCTTTCCCCGCCATTGGAATTGGTGTGTTTCAGGGAGCCGCCGCCCGAGCGTCGATCAGATCAACTTCAGAAGGCCCCTGTTTGCCAAGACTTTTAGCCAAATCCACCTGCCATGCACTCCCCGCAGTGGCTCTTGGAAATGTTCCATAATGGCTTCTTATCTTATCGGCGCGCGCTAACGGGAGCGGGACTCGCGATCCAAAAAGTTGGCGGCCGGGGAGGCAAACAACCGAAACCTAAAACTCGTCAATTGTCCTGCTCGAGATGGCGTCTCGTTGTGCTCATAGCTCCCGGCTGCTTATGCCCTTCTTATACCCATCATTGTTTCGTACCAGTGCCGGAAGTGTGCCCCGTGCCAGCTTAGCCCTCGCCCGAAACCTTCGTTACAGCAGCACAGACGCCACAGCGACATTGAACCCCCAGCACCCCGAGAACGACGAGACGAAATCGAGACTTAATCCCGCCCCCGATGACTACTCGAACCCATACTTTGCCGACAAGGCCAAGCTGAACGTCTACGCTGGCCCCGGTGGCAACGGCTGTATATCCTTTCTCAGAGAATTGTTCATTCCCGAAGGCCCGGCGAACGGAGGTGATGGAGGCCATGGCGGCAATGTCTACATCCAAGCTGTCCACGGCGAGACTTCGCTACACAAGTTGGCACGAAGGAGGCATATTCGCGCTGGTCGAGGAAAGCATGGCCAGGGCAGCGCTCAGGGTGGACAGCGCGGAGAGGACGTCATCATAACTGTACCAGTCGGAACAGTCGTTACCGAGATCAGCCGCGACGACCCCGAAGGCGAGAGGCAACTCATCGACAGAGCCAAGTACAAGCGCAAGAGGAAAAAGGACTTCCGAAACGCCGCTGCTGTTGAGGCGCCAAAGGAGGAGGAGGAAGGGGTAGAAGGAACGATAGTAGAGGAGGAGCCGCCCATCAACCCAGACCTCGACCGATGGCTGCTGTACCCCGGCATCTCCTCGTCAGAGGCCAGAAGAGTCGGCGCCGAACTGCCACGACTGCCCCGTCGCGACCGACTGTTTCAACAACCGCCAGCACCCATATATCTGGACCTGAACCGTCCTACACCACGGCCCATCCTGCTGGCGGCAGGTGGCCTCGGTGGACTGGGTAATCCCCATTTCGCAAACAAGGACAGGCCAAGGCCCATGTTTGCGACAAAGGGAGAGCCGGCCATGACTCTAGAGATCGAGCTCGAGCTCAAGCTCCTTGCCGATGTTGGTCTGGTTGGTCTACCCAATGCCGGCAAGAGCACCCTCCTTCGCGCCTTGACCAATAGCCGAGCTCGTGTTGGCCACTGGGCATTCACCACGCTACAACCCAATATCGGCACCGTCGTGCTCGATAACAACAAAGGCCGCCCCTCGGTAAAGAGCTACAAGCGAATCAGCGATGCTCCTGTGGATGATCCCTTTGCTCTCACTGGTGCGCCGGACGAAGTCGAGCAACGAACGAGGTTCACTGTCGCTGATATCCCGGGTCTGATTGAGGGTGCCCATCTCGACAAGGGTCTCGGTATCGCCTTTTTGCGTCACGTCGAGCGTGCTGGTGTGCTCGCCTTCGTCATTGACCTGGGTGCCGGCAATGCTGTGAAAGCGTTGAAGGCGCTGTGGAACGAGGTGGGCTTGTACGCGCAAATGCGCGAGGATGAAGAGGCTGACCGGGAGCGCGCAGCGAGGATTGACTGGAGTCCAGAGGCCGGTATTGATGATGTGAGCATGTCAGGTGGATGGCCAGCCTCGAACGGCATGGCCGACTATCCGCCATCTGCTGCCGAACCTGCAGGGTTGTCCATCGCAGGGAAGCCGTGGTTTGTGGTAGCCACCAAGGGAGACTTGAAGGACACTCAGGCCAACTTCATGGAGCTCAGAAACTACTGTGCGGCTGTCACACGTGGTGATGAGCCCCATCCTAGCGGCGTCCAAGGTGCTTGGGTTGAGAACGTGGAAGCCATTCCCGTCAGTGCCATCAATGGTCACGGCGTGGAGAGGATTGTTCACTGGACGGTCGGCTTGTTGGATGGTTGAACAAACTCACAAGCTCTCGTCTTTTACAACCACAGCTGGGATAAACCCCACAAGGCTTTAGCATGAGATACCCAATCCCTCTTCTACGCAGTTGTCCGAGTAACTATATGTACCAACTTCTGACCTGGTGCAACCTACCGGCAGTTAGTACGGTCACTGTTTGGTGGTTGGACCCTTAACTTCTTATCAGCAATTACTGATAAGCAACGTCAACCATCCATGGAAGCAATTCCGCTAGCCCTACCCGGTTAGCTTGTATACATAGTGGATCCATTACAATAGCTTCATGTAGAATAATGACCAATCAAAAAACGTAGTTCACAAGATCCCTCGGTTAGCGCAATCCCTAGTCCCCCACCCCCACAAAATAAGTTTGCGGCGACGGCTTTTGTTGGAGTCTCGACTTGCACGCGACAGAGACTGGCGTTGCCGCATGTCACTTTTTTTTCTTCCTTCAACACGACTCCGGTTACCGAACTTGAGTATCGCAAGCGGACAGAGCTATCTATCCTCAATTGCGAATCTCTCAAACATGGGTCGCGGTGGTAATTTCAGAGTACGTGCTATCACCGGCTTTTCTTTTCCACTTGATCCTCTTCGACTTTGCCATGCTCCAGTCCTATTGCTGTAGTGATGCAATTCTCACCTTCCAAGACTAACGTATACTGACCGATGTGTGTGTGTGTGACAGAAGGGCCGTGGCGGTGGCCGTGGCGGCAAGCGTAGCCGTGATGACAACCGTGGAGGTCACCAGCCTTACACCAGATACCCCGAGGTCGTCAAGCAGAACGACAGGCTCGAACGCTACTACAACGACCTACTCCAGCTCCCCGAGGAGGAGCGTGAGCAGTTCTGGGCTGCCCTGAAGAGGGAGCTCCCCAACAGCTTCAGATTCTGCGGTTCCAAGGGGTACAGTCACCTTGACCCGGCACTTTGGCCGTCTCATGTCTATTACTTCCATCCAATTGCTTACCTTCTTTTTCACAGACACGCTCTCGCCGTCAAGAACCTCCTCCAGACCCGCTACATCCCCGAAATCACCAGAATCACCTACGATGGCGCCATCGTCGAGCCCCCCAAGCCTGTGCCCTGGTACCCCGACGGGCTCGCCTGGTGGATGACCACCCCCAAGAACGTGGTCCGCAAGTTCCCTCCCTTCTCGGCCTTCCAGAAGTTCTTGGTTTCCGAGACCAGCGTCGGCAACATCTCCCGTCAGGAGGTCGTCTCCATGATTCCTCCCCTTCTCATGGATCTCCGTCCCGGTATGACCGTCCTCGACATGTGTGCCGCCCCCGGCAGCAAGGCCGCTCAGCTCCTTGAGATGATCCACCGCGGCGAGGAGGCCAGAATCCGTCACGTCATCAAGCAGTTCGGCGGTTCCGTCGACGAGATCAAGAGCGCCGATGAGGACGCCGCCCGCCTCGAGGCTGACCCCAGCGACGACGGCAGAGCTACCGGCATGCTCATTGCCAACGATGCCGACTACAAGAGATCCCACATGCTGATCCATCAGCTCAAGCGTCTCTCTTCCCCCAACATGATTGTCACCAACCACGACGCCACCATGTACCCCTCCCTCAGGATACCCAACCCCGAGGACCCTACCAAGCCCAACTACCTCAAGTTCGACCGTATCTTGGCCGATGTTCCCTGCTCCGGTGATGGTACCCTTAGGAAGAACGTCAATCTCTGGAAGGACTGGGCTCCTGCTGCCGCCTTGGGTCTGCACCTTACGCAGGTCCGCATCCTCGTGCGTGCTCTCCAGATGCTCAAGCCCGGTGGCCGCATGGTCTACTCCACCTGCTCCATGAACCCCGTCGAGAACGAGTCCGTCGTCGCCGCCGCGATCGAGCGCTGCGGTGGTCCTGACAAGATCGAGATTGTCAACTGCGCCGACCAGCTCCCTCTGCTCCAGCGCAAGCCCGGTATGCGCAAGTGGCAGATCATGGACAAGTCCGGGCGTGTCTGGAACAGCTGGCAGGAGGTTGAGGATCACGCAAAGTCCACCGAGGACGGTATTACCCCCAGCCGTCTCGTCGAGTCTATGTTCCCCCGTCCCGAGGGCAACATTTGCGCCGATCTCCCTCTCGAGAGGTGCATGCGCGTCTACGCTCACCAGCAGGATACCGGTGGTTTCTTCATCACTGTGCTTCACAAGAAGGCCGAGTTCAAGGCTAAGCCCGAGGAGATCAGGCCGAAGGAGAAGAAGCAAGCTCCTAAGCGCCCCTTGGAGGAGGCCGAGAGCACAGAGGAGGCTAAGAAGCAGAAGACTGAGGCCGATGAGGCTGCCAAGACCGAGGACGTTGTGATTGAGGAGGCTCCCGTTGAGCCCGTCGAGGAGGTCAAGGCTGAGGAGGTTGCCCCGGTTGAGGAGACTCCTGCTACCGAGGAGCCCGCTGTCAAGGAGGAGGCCGCCGAGACCCCCGCCGAGACCCCTGCTGAGACTCCCAAGGAGGCCCCCAAGGAGGGTGAGGCCCAACCAGAGCGCAAGCAGAAGCAGCAGGGCCCTTATGAGGAGCCCTTCAAGTACCTCCCCGCCGACCATGAAGTCATCAAGAACATTGCCGATTTCTACAAGATCTCGTCCCGCTTCCCCTCGGACCGCTACATGATCCGTAACGCCACCGGCGAGCCCGCCAAGGCCATCTACTACACCAGCGCTCTTGTTCGTGACATCCTCGTCATGAACGAGGGCCGCGGCGTCAAGTTCATCCACGGCGGTGTCAAGATGTACGTCAAGCAGGATGCTCCCTCGGCCGAGGTCTGCCGCTGGCGCATCCAGTCCGAGGGCATGCCCATCCTGCACGGCTACGTCGGCCCCGAGCGCGTCGTCGTGCTCAAGAAGAAGGAGACGCTTAAGAAGCTGCTCATTGAGATGTTCCCCAAGATCGCCAACGGCGAGTGGCAGAAGCTCGATGAGATTGGCGAGCGCGTCCGCGACTTGGCTCTCGGATGCTGCGTTCTCCGCGTCGAGCCTGATGGCGATGACCCGGAGTTCAACGAGCACATGGCTCTCCCTCTGTGGAAGAGCTTCCAGTCGTTGAACCTCATGTTGCCCAAGGAGGATCGCAGTGCGATGTTGCTCCGTATTTACAACGACACTACTCCCTTGATCAACATGGGTATCAAGAGGGATGCCCCCAAGGAGGGTGCTGAGGCGAAGAAGGAGGGCGAGGAGGAGGTCAAGGCCGAGGAGATCGAGACCCCTGTGGAGGTCAAGACTGAGGAGGCTCCCGCGGCTGCCGAGGAGCAGGTTAAGGATGCCGAGGGCGACGTCTCTATGAAGGAGGAGCCCACTGCTTAACTTTGTTGATTTTCTTCTGGTTGAGGCGTAATTTTCTGGCATAAAAGGGAAATAGCAAGGACCTTTTTCTTGTGTGTGCTGTGGATGGGTAGATAAAACTTCAGCATTTTAACGTCTACTAGATAGAGAGTGATTTTTTAGCTGAACTGGTTTCATAGGTTTTTCACTGGGGAAATGCATTTATTGTTCGATCAAATCGAGTTCTAGGATTCGGAAACGTTGAATGTTGTGACGTGCTTGCCAAACGGAGTGATGGGATGTCGTTGTTCGTGTACTTCAGAGGTACTTCACCCATGGCAATGACGCCCGTGCTCTCAGAAGTACCTTTCGAGTACCCTGATGAAACCTTTTGACTTTCGCTTCACATCCACTGCACGTCGCGTCCCGGAACGCGCACCTTTCAATCGGCATCGACTTCAAACACTTTCAGCGACCAGCTTTTGGAGTTATTGGACAATGAGTGAGGTATCATCAGCATATCCGAATACTAGTGGATCAGTAGACTGAACGTAAACGGAATAATTGGAAAATTTGTCGCGCAAACTTGTCTTCGTTTCCCGACCTCGACCCTTCACCACGAACCGCCGAAGTCGACGCCCAAGAATACCTTCTACCTCTCCAGATTTATGCAGCGAGGCTGCAATCTGATACAAAGGCGTTTAGTGAGCAGTTCATCGCTGTCAACGAATTAGACACAAGGGTCCCGCATTGTTTCGCTGTACACTCACGAACCTTGAGGGTCCGGCACAATGCCCCCAAATAAGGCACCGTCCTCGAACGAGTGGGATCTACCAAAGTTGAGGGCTTCTATCAACTTCCAGGTATGATAATTAAATCGCACACGCTGGTTCACATACACTTCCATGCCCAAAATAAAAGCCCCTGCTGATCACCTTCTCTTGACCCTCAACAGGATGACTGGAAAGACCCCGTCTCCGGCGAGTCGATAGCACACGGTAAGTCGGCATCACTTCAATATTTTTCCTCAATTTTCAAACCCAATAATCCCAATCTTGACTCCGCATGAAGTTCAAACTAACAACCATCACTCAGAATTCTTCGACGTAAAGTTCTACCCCTACAACCCCGTCGGCGCACCGCCAGTGTTCGCCATCGCTAGTAAGAAGCATGTACGTTTGTTTCACTGTCACTCATCTTCCTTGTCTCTGAAATCTATCCTCCTCTTCCCTTTTCCAAATAATAATCCCAAAATGAAGAAGGACCAGGACGTCAACATGCTAATTAGTAACCACAGGTGATCATATGCCGCATCACCCAGAATACAGACAGCAACACCAATCCTATTGAGGTGTTGAAGTTGATAAGGGATGATGATGTGAGTTTACGACCCTGTGGTATTTTGGATAGTACTTAGCCAGATGCGAAAGTGCTGATACTGTGCTTACAGGAAAACGCAGCAAACTGTTCATGCTGCTGGTCCAAGGATATGGAGACCGGACAGCCATGGCTTTGTATAGCCGGGGCGGATGCGAAGGTGAAGGTCTACGATGTTAAGGAGGGGAAGTTAGTCAAGGTTCGCATCACCCCAACGCCCATCATGATGGATTGTAAATACCTAGATTTTTCTAACAAGAAAACAGACCCTAGTAGGCCACGGCGGCGGCATAAACGACCTCGTCACCTCTCCCCTCAACCCCTCCCTAATCGCCTCCTGCTCCGACGACACCACCGTGCGCATCTGGTCTCTCCTCCCCATCCACTCCTTGCAACCCTGCATGTTCATCCTCGGCGGCGACGCCCACACCTGGGACCTGTTGAGCATCTCCTTCCACGACACGGGCCGCTACTTGCTGTCTGCAGGCCACGACCAAACCATCAACCTCTGGACCATCCCCTCTTGTCCGACCGAACCCGTCACCCACCCACTCGTCATCCACTATCCGCACTTCTCCACAAAAGAAATCCACAACTCGCTGGTCGACTGCGTCTCCTTCTTCGGCGACCTGATCCTGTCAAGAGCCTGCTGGGAGGAAACTATCGTGTTATGGTCCATCTCCGGCTTTTCCTCTTCCTCTTCCTCCTCTTCTTCTTCTTCCTCCCTCGTCGACAACCCCCCGCTACTACCGCTAGAAGCAGCACCCACCACCTTTGACCCCTCCAAACTAACCCGCTCCGCATTCTGGCAAGCCCCCGACCTCAGTCCCGAAACCAGGCCGGCGTATTTCACGAGACTGTTGCAGTTCAAGACGGCGGATTGCAAAGGGCAGTTTTACTTGAGGTTTAAAGTGTTGCATGCACCTGGAGGGAAACATCCCGTGTTGGCGTTTTGTAATGCGAGGAATAAGTTTATGTTTTGGGATTTGAGCAGGTTGGGGAGTTGGCAGAGGTATTTGCAGGAGGTGAAGGAGGCTCAGGAGGAGGAGGCGGAGGTGGAGGTGGTGGCACAAAAGGAAGGGGGGAGGAAGAACTACAGGGAGGTGGTGAGGAGGGTGAGGGTGGTTGAACAGCCGGGGTGGATGCCGCCTGCGAGGAAACAGCCGAGGAAGACTGCTGCTGCGCTGGCGGCGGGAGGGACGGCGGCGGGAGGGGGAGGGGGAGGGGGGACTACGTATCCTTCTACGGCGGCGAACTACAGGGCGGCGGGGGGTGTGGCGGGTGTTGCTGCTGCTGGTTCTACTACATCCGGAAGAGCAGGAAGACCTGGGACCAGGTCCACTAGTCCTGATCCTGAGACTCTGCTTTCTGCTGCTGCTGGTGGTGGTAGTGGTAGACCGGGTTCAAGTTCGACGAGGGATAGACCGGGTTCGAGGGGCTCTACTGCCACAACCACCACCGCCGCCGCCGCCGCCACTGCTGCCACTGCTGCCACTGCTGCCACTACCACCGGTCAGACAGTAAACAGAAGATCACCGGGTATCGGACTAGGAGGATATACCCAAAAGCAGCTGGATGAATGGCACGACCAGTGTGACATCACGGACTCGCATAACGAGATCAAGCCGCATAAGACGGTGACGGTTGATGGCAAGGGACAGCATTTCGTGGGGAGGCAGGTGGCCTGGAGCCCGGAGGGGGATTGGTGTGTGGTGGTGGGAAATTCGAATCGGGCTATGATTTTTCAGCGGTGGGGGAAGTGAAGATGCGGACGGAGGGGAATGAAAGTGTGGTTGGGAGAAAAAAAAATCGAGGGGAAGGGAGGGGTAGGAGGACGGTTGGGAGAAAGAGAAAGGAATGTGTATAGATCGTTTGATACTTGCATTAAAAGACTTTAACGGGTTTGATGTTCGGTTTTGATAACCTTGAATAAAATAAGCCTCATTGTTTCACTAGGGATATCAATCAAGCTGCTATCAAAAAATGGTGAGCTCAACCACACCAACTAACTTCACCTCAAGGGCAGAGAAAACGTACCTCTACTCCTCCCCCTATTCCCCCTCCCCCCATCCTCCTCCCCATCCACATCCACATCCTCATCTTCCCCATCGCCACCGCCACCACTAATCAACTCCAAAATCCACTCATCCCCCTCCTCCAACTCACCCCCTCTCATCTCCCTCATCTTCACAAACAGTCCCCTCGCCCTCTCCCTCTCAACAGCTTGCGCCCTCCTCCCCTCCTCTTCATTGATCCTCTCCTCATGCGACGACTTCCACCTACCCCCACCCCCTTCCTCCCTCTCCCTCTCCGTCTCCGTCTCCATCTCCGTCTCTATTTCGGAAGCAGAAACAGGCACGCTCAAATCCCCCACATAAAGCGCCACCATCGCTCTCAACCTCAATATCTCCACATCTTTGTTGTAAGGCGTATTCTCCATCACGGTATCCATCCGTCTCGCTACATCCCTCATCTGCTCCAACGCCTTTAGTCTGAGCTTGTCTTTCTCGCTTCTCAACCTTACTTCGGGCCTTCTGCTTCTTCTTTCATCTTCTTCCATCTCTGACCGGTAGAGAGGATGGACGTTATCCATCCCTCCGTTTCCTCGGTGGTAACCAGATGGTGATGGTGGTGGTGAGGACCGTAGGGGGTCGAGGGCTGACTGGCCGAATTCGTCGATTTGCATGTCGTCCCTTCCGAACCCGTCTTCCATCGGTAAGTCCCCGTCGTCGTCGATGAGATCGAGAGACAAAGGCTGCCGATCGAGTTCCTCCATCCCGTATTTATGCTCCGCAAAACAAGCTTCCATCTCGAACCCGAAGAGGGCGGGGTAGAAATCCAGAGCGCCCATTTTGTTAGGGTGCAGCCTGCTCCACGGATGCAAATGAATCAGGGTTTCGTAGTAGGCACGGACTTGCTCCCGATTCTTTGCAGCGCGCAGCAAGCGTTTCCGTTCTCGGCGTTCTTTCGAGTCTTCTCCTTCCACCCCCTCTTCTTCCAACCTTCCCAGTCCCAGCCGACCATCCTGCGTCCCATCCCCATCCCCTCCTCCCCACAATCCCTCCAGCTGTTTCTCCCTATCCTCCCCACTCCTCATAAGCACCTCCGCCCCCATCTCCCAAAACCCCCCAAACCGCAAATCCACCTTCCGTCCATTGACGTCCGCCCTAACCAGCAAGCCGAACGCTCTCCTCGCCAAAGCTATATCCCCCTCGGCCAAGCAGCGCTGGATGATAGCGACCAGGGCGCCGACGCGGGATTGATGCGCTTTGTGCAGTTTCGCTGTGCTGCGGACGGGGTCGCGCTTGGTGTAGGAGGGTTTGCCGGTTGAGGTTACGGAGAGGGTGTCGGGATCGGCGTCTGTTGTCCACCCGTCTGTTCCCGCATCGGTGCCGGCGGTGGTGGTGTGGTCGTCGAATTCGGAGTCGATGTTGCTGGTGGTGGTGGCGAAGCTGCCGCGGCGGGAGCGGGCGGTTGAGCGGGAGCGGGAGCGGGATGAAGTGGGTGAGGAGGGGAGTGGTCGGTGGGGGAAGTCGGGGTAGATGGAGGAGGGGAGGGGCGCATCGGAGGAGTTGCCGGCTGGGAGGAATTGTTTGAGGGTGGAGGGCGGGTGGGAGAGGGGGTTGATGATGGTTGAGGAGGAGGAGGGGGCCGTTGAGTAGGTGGTTGAGGTTGTTGAGAGGGCGCGTTTGCGCTTGGTCGGGGAGCGGGGGTCCATGAGAACAATGACCGTGTTTAATCGATTCTTGGCTGTATTCTGTGTAGAAATGGTGATCTAGAGGTTGTATTGCTAAGTTTTGGGGTGGTTGTTGATGAGTGATGATGTGATGTTCTGGTGAAAGTTTCGTGAACTGGAAAGCGAGTGAAAGAAAACTCGATCGCAAAATCTTCAGTTGGTCAACTCCGCCTTGTGAACCGTGCATTAACCGTGCAAGACTTCCGATGTAAATGAACACCCAAAGGATTTCCTTTGGTTCCAACACAATAATCCCTTTCTTGTTAAGACGCCCTTAGAGGTTTGCTTCATGTAGTCGAAGACTGTTGTGTAAATTGGTGATGGATCCACTCGGTGATATAGCATCCTCAGCTATGCCACTTACACCACACCCACCTTGACACTATGTCGCCCAACAAAGACGTTGTTACTTCTTTTCACATACTGTTCAAACGTGAAGCTGATGATGCAAATCCCACAACACCGTGGAGAGGGCACATTCATTTCCGCCTGCCAAAGTCTATGATTATATACATCTCCTGGCCTGTTATTGGTACAACTGGCTGGGAATGCCCTCCCTCCCCTTCCCCACAACGCTCATAAAGCAACTGGCCATCTTAGCCGGTGTGGTCCTGTGTTCCCATTCTCTATGTCTGTCGATATTTCTTTACTCTTTGCGCTCAAAGTAAGTCCATTGACCCTCTGGCGCCTCCTCCTCAAGAGCTTCCCAACTGTGACGGGTTAGCCCACCTGACCAACGATATGATGCTCAAAAGATAAGACTTACGGTCTGGCCTTTGCCATGACATCCACGAGCTTGAGTTCGCCCTCGGCAACCTGAACAACCTCCTCAATCAGGCCAGAACCAATCCTGGCCTCCATCTCAGCGATCCTGTACGAAAATCAGATGTCAGCATATTTCTCCCCATCTTCAGCACCCATGTGGAGAGCTGCAACAGCGGGACAGAGACAGGGATCAGGGCCATAGATGCCCTATCCACAAGGGAAGAACACCCACTGTTCAGCGCTCAACGGCGGCTCCGACTCCCACTCCACGGGGCTCTTCTCCTCAACAACACCGCCCAGCTTGATACCGATTTCCCTGAGACCCTCGCGATACGCAGCCGGGTCCGAGTCCTTGTTCTCATACAGCTTCTTCAGCTTCTCATTGTCTTCCAGCGATACCGTCCCCACGGAATCCTCGCCAGTCTGAACCCAGGAAAAGTGCGGATCCAGGACCGCACCATCCCACTCGACGTCGCGCCAGTCCCGCGGGGTCTCCATCTGGCGGATGAAGTAAACGCGGCCGTCGGGCCCTTCAGCTAGGCGCGCATGCTGGCCGTCGAACTGGCGGGCCGTGAGGTCGCCCTTGTGCTTCTCGAGCAGCTTGCGGGCGCGCTCCTGCCAGGCTTCGTAGCCCTCGGGCACGTACTGCTCGACGATGGCGAGGCGGTGCTTGGTCAGGGCCTCGGCGGACTGGCGGTACAGCGAGTGCTCGGGGATCTGCTTGAGCTTGTCGAGGGTGTGGTTGTAGAGGTACAGCAGGGCGGAGCGTGGCGACGGGTGGGTGCCGAGCCCCGTGAGGCCGGTCGGAGAGCCGGGCTTGAGGAAGCGGGCGGACGGGCGGACGGTACCCGTCGCGGTCGCGAGCAATCGGAGTGCCGCGCGCATGGTTCCGATCGTGATGTTGACTGACTCGGGTCCGGTGGGGTGGATGTGGGTTGTCGAGGGGACGAGGCTCCAGAGAGTCCAGAAGGTGGACCGGGATGCCAGCGCCTGGCATTGATGGACGTCAGAGCTCCGGCACAGTGCAGTGATTGAGCGGCTCACATGATGCGGCACGTGCTTGGGAGCTCCCCGCTCGTTTCCTCATTGGCCAATTCCCCTCTAAAGCTTTCGGAGTTCGGACAGGGTAGCTTACGCCTGTTCAACGTACATGGAGCTGCGTTTTCAAACGTCTTGTCAGCTATCACTCCGCGGAGATGTCTTCCCCAGATCACTACACCATTTCAACTTCATGATGCGGCTCACAACACTTCTCACGATGAACACAAAACTGCATCTGAAAGTTCTCCTTTCATTGCCACGCTACACTTACAGAATTCTAACTAGAAAATCAACACATGCTCATCCTTCCACCCCAATCCCTTCAACACCTCCTGAACCATCGCCTGCATTCCCTCTGGTCCACAAAGCAACACCATCGTTTCGCCCCTCCCATCCTGCCCTCCAACCTCTTTTTTCAGCATACTTCTATCCAACCGCCCCCTCAACCCCTTCCACTCCTCGCTCGGTCTACTCAAAGTATAACTCACCTGGCACCTCCCCTCCGGCCTCGCTCCCTCCACCATCTTATCCAACTCCCTCCTCAGCAAAATATCCCCCTCCACTCTATTCCCATCCAGCACCAAACACTCCGTCCCATCTTGATCATCCCCTGCAACAGCCCTCAAGACCTGGTATATAGGTGTCACACCCGACCCAGCACAAATCATCACGAACCTCTTGACTTTCCTCTCCCGTCCGTTGACGGAGCAGACGCCCTGTCCTTGGTAAACAAACTTACCCACTGGTCCTTTGAACTCGACTGCTTTGCCCAGTGGTAAAGCATCGAGAGCTTGCGTCATCTGTCCTCCTTTGATGTCTTCTTCAGGAGAGGCGTAGTAAATCTTTACCAGCACACGAAGAGTTCCGCGCTCCGAAGTACCGTCCGAGATGGGTGTGTAGGCCCTGATAATGGACTCGGTGGGTTTGGAAGGGTCAGGAAGTCGCATCATCAGGTGTTGGCCGACGGGGAGGCCAATGGATTGGGCAGGGTGGGAGAGAGTGAAGTGGAAGATTTTGGTGTCGGGGGAGATGGAATCTTTGGAGGTGAGGGTGGCACTGTTCCATGTCTTGGACTGGAGGAAGATGGGGCGGTTGGGATTGCTGAGGGTTGGGTCGGAGGTGGAGGAGGATTTGAGAGCCGCGAGGGCGGAGGGAGTGAGAGTGCCGATGTGGTAGGTTGGCATCATTGCTTTGGCGTTTTCGCTGTCTGAAAGGGGTCAGTCAGGATGGGTTCATGGTGGGGGACCGGGAGGTGGACTTACGAATGGCTAGGAACTCGTCTGTTACGTCCTGTCCAGCAGCACCGGTGATGGAGGCCGCACCACCTGGGTGACCCTCGAGGAACGGTGTGCCGTCATAAACTTGGCCGTTCACGACGAACCAGGGCTCTTCCTCACCTTCGTGCTCACGGAGCTCTTCGAGGGTGATTAGTCGAGTGACTTTGTCATCCACCATGCAGATCTCCCTAACAGCTTCTTTCTCGACGACGGCCTCCTCAGCCCCGGGAATCTTCTCGCCCCAAAAGCCATTGGCAAGATTCCCTCCCTCCTTCTTGACTCGCTCCATCCAACCACCCGAATTCAGCGTCGGTTGAGTGGGATGCTCGAATCGCAAGGTATCACCCTCATGATGAATGACCACCCGATACCAAGGGTTATTCATCATCCCCAACACACTCCAATACATCTCCTTCGGCTGTAGCGCCAAAGACTCGTCCATCGCTCGGATGCACAAATCCTTTGCCTCGCGCACCTCAGAAAGAGGAATCGCCAAATCCCAGAAACACCAACAAAAGCAACTCTCCCTCCACGACACATCCAACCTCCCCCCAAACAACTCCTCCCCATCCTGCGCTTCCCGATACCGATCCTCCGGATACTCGATCTCCGCAAGCCTCCAGCTCTTCCCCTGATCAAGCGTCACCTCCAACCTCGTCACCCTCCTCCCTCCTCCCGCATAAGCATACCCCCTCAACTTATACGCCCCCCCTTCTTCTCTCCCTCTTAGCGACACAACCTCCCCATGCCCCGGCTCACAAACCACACTATTAACATTCAAATCATAAATCGCATACCTCTCATCCCTCCACACCCCTTCCATCTCCCTCGTCTTCTCCCCACTCTCCTCCGGCCCCACCGTCGCCGGCAACACCCTATTATCAAAAACATGATACCAATTCTCGCTCGGCCCCCTTGTAACCACAATCCTCTTCAACCACTTCACGCTCCGCCCGCCAATCTGCCCCGGCACCACCACCCTCACCGGCCGTCCATGATCCGGATGCAACTCCTCTCCGTTCATCTTATGCGCCACCATGATGCCCTTGTGCGGATCCATCGCCCACGCGAGTTTGACCGACGTCCCATACACCCCGTTCGGCAGCTGATCGGCGCCCTCAAAGCAGACATATTTCGCCCCCCTTTTTGTCAAGGGCTTGGCCCTAGCTAAGATATCAGCTAGCGAAACACCCGTCCACAAAGCGGTCGACAGCCCCGCCGCCCCCCACGAGAACCCCTTGGACTTCCGAACCATATTCTGTTCCTTCCTCCTATTCCCCGCGCACACCAACGTCACCGGATACGTGACATTTTCCCACTGCTCTTCACTCATCAATTCCCTCACGCTTATTTTCAGCGGATTCTCGACAAGTCCCTCAACGGTGAACTCCCAGTCCAGCAGCAAATCCTCTTCTGCCTCTGCCCTTCCCCCAGCAGCAGCAGCAGCAGCAGGCGATGGACCAGAAACAACAGAAGCAGGAACGGCCCCGTGATTCCGCACATAATGTAAATTCTGCGGCGTCAAAAACCCGTGCTCGAAAAGGGTGGATAGCGGTGGTTCGACGTTGAACGGGTGGGTGCCTGTTAGCCGGATGAGGCGCGGGTCGCGCGGGATGAGGTGGTCGGGGGTTTTGAGGTCGGTGGGGAGGATGGTGGTTAGCGGGGTGGAGGGTGGGGGGAGGGGGTATGATTTGGAGGTAAGTGGTGAGGATGACTTGGAGGTTATAGGGGAGGGCGGGCAGGAGGTGGTGTCTTGGGAAACTGCTGTGTTGGCTTGGGAGGAGGATGAGGTGGTAATGGAGGCGTTGTCGGATTCTTCTGTGGTGTTGTTGTCAGAGGAGGAAGAGGAGGATGAGGAGGAGGAGAAGTCTGTTGTCGTGGGGCTGGCGGTGCGACTGGCGACCTCTTCGTCGATGTCAGACGGGTAGTCCGTGTCCGTCTTTGGTTTCTCTTGGACGACGCCATTTGGTAAATTGAGAGTCGACGGTATTGTTGTTGTTCTGGATTGCTGCTGTTGGTGTTTTGGTCCTCCGAGAGCTTCTTCATGCTCGGGAGCATAGGGATCGGAGCTGGCAACGTCCTCCATACCTAACGCTTGGTGCTCGCGAGGCGAGGTGTAAGTGATAAGCGAACCGATAAGAAGTGTTAACAGAAGCACAGAAGCAACGGCAAGAAGAGGACCTTAACTGATGCTTAAAGCAGGGCCGGCCCGGGGGACAAGGTGCAGTTCAAATATGAATATGCGATGTATGTATAACTGGCATGAGATGAGATGACCTTCTGAATGCAGATAACAGACCAGCTGCTAGCAGCATCGGTGATCAACATGACAGTATACATACATGCAAACGCCTCTCACTGGCGAAGGCGAATGTCATAACAGCCAAGGTAGGTAGTGGTGTTACGAACCTTAACCCTCTTCTTTTCCGAGGGTCACATCGGACCGTGATAGCAGCATTTGTTAGCTAGTGAACCTTGAACCTCCCGTCGTGTGTTTCGTGGTACAGTACCTGAACGTTATCTCGCCATGATAGGAGAGGAGGTCCGTTGGTTGGTAAGAATTTCACAAAATTGTGTTTTTTTCATAATCTTACTTCTTTCTGAAACTGGAACTGGAACTGGCGCAGAAAACCAAACATTACCGCTGCTGCCACGGAGAAGCAAGATTCTGGCAGCAGGGAGGTTCAGGTTTTGAGGCTCCGCGGATTTACCTCTTCCAAGCATGAGAGCTACTCGTCACCCTTGCTCACTACTAGTCACTGGAGATTTTGAATCCCTGACGAGTAGCTTCCTTATCTATGACTTCCCGGCTCTTAGGTTAGAATGTCATGGGTCTTGGCAAATCAGATGCTTGGGATGATAAGGTTGATAGATAGGCGCTCGGAGATCCATGAATCAAAGCCAACACGGCAAGAACAGAGAAAACGCCCCCTGGGCCCTGAACCCCCGCGTCGGTGACGGGCCGCGTGGGCAAATCCAAAAGAACGGGAACCATTCCGATATCCGGATAACCATTCAGCCGTCTGCAGTTCGATAATCTGGAGGGCGAAAAGAACATCTCCGGATCATTCAGATCGAACTCCAGTTGGGATGAAACATGAAACATGAACGCACACTGACAACTTCCCGTTTCAATCGCTCGCTTCTCATTCTCATTCAATTCATTCGCAAAGTCATTAACACACTGTCGAGCAAAAATGCTTCCTCTGAATTATAATCTCTTTTGCTTGCTCATGGGTGGTGGTATCACGATAATAATGCCCCTTTCCTTTCTTCCTCCCCACCTCTCTCACCCCCGTCCGTCATCATAGTCCTTCCTACACCATATCTATTCCCAGGCATCATCATGACCCCCCACCATGCCCCTCCTCCTCACTCCTCAACCCAGCATACTCGGTCCCCTGATTAGCCGTGCTCAAGCGCGCACAAAGACTCAACAACACCACCGTCTCCGTCGCCGCATAGTGATTCAGCGCGTCCAGCAGGATCTGCAGGTGTCGACTAAAGTTGCTTTCCCACTTGCGTATCACATCGAAGAGCTCGTTCATCCTCGTCTCTGGGTTTTTGTCGTTTTCCATGTTTGTGTCTCCGTCTTTTGATGTTGATGACGATTGCTGTTGCTGTCGTTGTCCCCGGATAACGAGGAATTGTCGCCATTGGTCGTCCGTCATGTTGGGTGGTTTGGTGTTGCCTGTTAGGTCTGGATCCGACTTTTCGAGCTCCCGTGAGAGCCAGTTGGTGTAGGTGGCGAAGATGGAGCAAGTTTGCATTAGTTTGGAGTGGATCTGGGGGTTGTTAGTCTTGGGTAATGAATGAACTGGAGGGATGGGAAAGACATACCCTTAACAACTTGCTGTTCGTTAACATGCACTCCTTCAAGCAAGTGTCCAAGAAATCCACATGTTCCTGCATCAGCCCATCGACGGTATGCGGCTTCTTGGAAGATGATGCCCTAGGCGTAGAGGTGCCGTCTTGTGTGGTCACACCAGCACAGTTGTTTTCGATCTCGCGCAGCGTGTTCATCAGCTTTTGCCAGTTCGGCTCGATTACCTCGGCAGTGCAAAAATAAAGCAGCTGCTGAACGAATACAAGCATACGAGCTCTTAGTGTCCATACCCTTCGCTTCCATATCTCCAACATGCGGTTGGATGAACGGTGTGTCCAAGCCGTGCCGCTTGCGTGGGTATACCACGTCACCGAGAGTTGGGTCTCGAGGTAACGTAGTGAGAGAAGGTAGCGGAACAAAGCCTGATAACGCCATATTGTCTTCCTGCTGATAACAAGAGACACCGGGAAGGGAACGGTATAGTCGAGTTGTAGGGAGGTGAATCCAGTGGCGTTTTTGTCGCCTTCCAGCGGTTGATTTGATGTGAGCTGAAGCGCCTCGCCCTGTTCGATACCAGTAATGTTGACGACACGCTGAAGTGACTTGAGCAGCGTGATTTCGTTCATCTCCACCTTGACATCCTCTTTGAACTTGTCAAGACAGACTATGCTTCCCGGTTGTCGTAGGACCAAATCGAGCAGAGACTGTAGCTTGCCAGTGTTCACCACCTTGACGGGCTTTCGTAGTTCGGACGTTCCTAGTTCCAGGAAGTAGTTGAAATAATCCGATGGGTCAAGGAAAAAGTAGTGCTTCAACGATCTGAGTCTCGCCGGCAGCTCGTGTGTAGTCAGAAGCAACTGCATTAGCGATCCGTTCGCATGAGCGTAGGCGCTGCTGACGTTCTCCAGAAACCTATTGTCGTCAAACGAGTTTGGTACGTCTTGCATCTTGCGACTAACATCGACGCCTCCGCACTCTCGAACAACGTTCAGGTATTTACCAGCAAGCAAAACCTTGTCCTTGACGGCCTCCAGCTGAGGTGGCACGTCGTGATCTCGGATCGTATATCGCCTCTCCCAGTATTCGTCGGTATAATCCTGCTCTAATCGTTCCCTGCGGATACTCTTTTGTTCTTTGATCAGAAACTCGGAATGTGGGTCGTTGATGCTTCCATGGTGCAACCACTCGTTCAACATTGCCATGTATGGTCGGCTTGCGTCCCGTAACAGCGTTGTGAGCAAAACCCGTGCGGACGGATCTCCAGATAGCGACTCCAGTCTCTTGGTTATCAGGCCCAATACCACACCTCCCTTGCATATCTTCTTTCCCGTCATGTTCCCCGGCACAAGATCGCCGCCATCTCTCAACTGCTCGATAATGTGATCGAAGTCGTCGTCGGAACTATCGCTCGATTCATCCGTATCGTCGTCCAGAAGCGCATTCCGCTTTAGTAGCTCTAACGCCAGCCCATACATTTGAGCCATCAGATGGCTGCTAGGAAGGATGTGGACGTGGAGCTGTTGTAATGTGAAGTTTTTGTCATTGAGAAACTGTGTTTCCAGCTGGACAACCATGACCAGATACTCCTGCAAATATCTCCGTATCGAGGCGCACAAGGCGTGGTTGACGGCGCCAAATTCTTCACGACTCTGGACATCGACAAACGTCTCAAGCGCCGTGTAGTGGGAAGCCATGCGCAGCATGGATTGTGTAAGGTCCAGCAAGCTGGGATCCAGCCCAGATAGGATGCGCCATTGTGGCCCAGACAAGCGGTCTCGTTCCTCGTAGGGATTATAGCCTTTTGCAAATCGGATGTACTGTCCCTCAAAGCCCATAAACACGAAGAGCAGGTCCTCGATGATCGCAGCCTCTTGCGCATTGAGAGAGAGCTCCGCCAGAGGTCGCGGCTGTAGTGCCTGAGGTGCGGACGAAGCAACTGGCGGTATCGAGACTCGCGAAGCTAAAGGGGCTGAAGTGTGAGGCAGTAGGGATGCGGCGGGTACCCAAGGGGCTGGTGGTGGTTGTTCAGCAGCGCGGCTGTCTCCTCTTGTGGCCCTCGACTCGACATTCCGCGATCTGGACTTGAGGTTGTCGCTACCAGCGCTGAGGGGGTCGGCGTTTCTGCCGGATCGAGCCATGGTAGGTTCGCGTGTTGTCACCTGGACATTGGTTGGGCGGCGCTCATTGACGAGGGTTCTGCTGGTGGGACGTGTCCTCTGTGACGTGGATTGGGTCGGAGCCAAGGTTGCTGATGATCCCATTGCGGAGGTCAACCTGGCGGCGCTGCGGTCGGGGAAGCGGGAGATGGTTATCGATATGTTTGGCGGCTCGTGGCCATGTACAACCTCGCGCGTCCTATCGTGGGTGGCTGGACTTGGTCTGGGGTCGGGCGTGTCGGGCCTGGGTTTGGTGAAGGTTGACGGTCTGAGACCCGGTGATTATGCCCCTTTCTAAGGGTACATTATCTGGAGACTTGAGCTTGTCAGCCTTGAGATGGTCGAATGTGATGGTGTAGCGGTCGTCGGGAATCTGCCGGGCAACAACAGGGTTGTCCTGCAAGGAGACGCTTCTGGAGACGGATTGTTCGATTTGGAAATGGAGGGATTACGAGCAATAGTGCCGGCGGAAGACGCTTCAAGTGACGCGACAAGCAACAATTGGACGCGTTATCAGAGGGAGGATCCGTCACAGCCCAGGAGGGTAGAGAGGGGCACCCGCCTGAGGGGAGTGCTGGGGAAGGTACGTACCTTCAAGTACCTTTTGGGACAGGCTGCAGGGGATTGGCCGCCTGGCAGAGGAGCTTCGTCGGCCTGTCGTGCCTGGAGCTTCCATCCACTGCCTGACGTCGGTCCCAGTTCTCCATTCAAACCATCACGGCATCTCTCCCCAAACAAACAACCACTCACATCACCAGTCCTCGGCTTTGAGACCCTCGACGGCAATACCATCTTCTCGACCGTCACCAACCAAGCCCGGCGCATAACCAGCAAATCCAGGCTCAACTCCCGACAGCAACACATCCCGGTCCCCTCCCCCACTCGAGCTCCCCCCAACACCGTCAAGATGTTCATGGCAAGGTCTGAATACGGTACGTCTCTGTTATATGCGATATTCGTTTGTCATTGCAAGCTTGGAGTGATGCCACTCGAGTGGACAAGCTACACCAGGCATCATGGACTGACGGCTAACATACTTGCGCGCATCCAGATCGGGGTATTAAGTAAGTGACAAGACGAACGACGAGCACATCCGAACATTCATCCACCTCCAACCAGACTAACACCATACCCACAGCACCTTCTCCCCCGAAGGCCGCCTCTTCCAAGTCGAGTACTCCCTCGAGGCCATCAAGCTCGGCTCAACCGCCATCGGCGTCGCCACCAGCGAGGGCGTGATCCTGGGCGTCGAGAAGCGCGTGACCTCGACTTTGCTCGAAACCTCGTCAGTCGAGAAGATCGTCGAGATCGACCGCCACATCGGGTGCGCCATGTCGGGCCTTCAAGCCGACGCGCGCTCCATGATTGAGCACGCCCGCGTCGAGTGCCAGAGCCACGCCTTCAACTACAACGAGAAGCTGCGGGTCGAGAGCTGCACGCAGGCCATTTGTGATTTGGCCCTGCGCTTCGGGGAGAGCGCCGACGGCGAGGAGAGCATCATGTCCCGCCCCTTTGGTGTGGCGCTGCTGATTGCGGGGTACGATGAGGACGGTCCGAGTCTGTACCATGCTGAGCCGTCGGGAACGTTTTATCGCTATGATGCGAAGGCGATTGGCAGTGGTAGCGAGGGCGCGCAGGCCGAGTTGCAGAATGAGTATCACAAGGTGGGTTGCCCAGCATGTTCGGGACCGTATCAGGGATTTATTGCTAACAGCGTTTTTCTTGTGCAGTCCCTCACCATCGAAGACGCCGAGACACTCGTCCTCAAGACGCTCAAGCAGGTCATGGAGGAGAAGCTCGACGCCAAGAACGTGCAGCTGGCGAGCGTCACCAAGGACAAGGGCTTCAGGATATACACAGACGAGGAGATGGCCGCTGTTGTTGCGCGGTTGCCCGCCAACTAAAGAAGCATGTCATGTTGATTGTTGAAGGGAGTGGAAACTAAAGCATAGCTGGTGATAGCAGGCGAACGGATGGAAAGCAGCATCTCCCGGTTTTGATGGGGGGGAACTGTCTAATGAATCGAATCCAACTGATGTTTATCAAGTACTCTCCGGGGGTTTGGTAGCCTATGCGAATTTCCAAGCACAAGTTGCAAGCACATGGTTGCGATATTGCAATGGACATAGCTGTGAAAGCAACGGCCTAAAAAAGTCGGTCGGCAGGCACACCATTCATTCCACACACCATCTTCCTGGGTTCCGTTCACCCTCTTAAGCAGTACATCTGATACAGTACATTTTCCCCACAAGTCATCCCATCATGACCATGACTTCGTCCGTTACCCGCTTGTTGAAGTCCGTTCACTCGTGTTTCCCAGCCCGCCCTCAACTCCCGAATTATTCAAGTCCCGTATTACCCCGTACCCTCAATCCCATCCCAAGCCAAGCCAAGCCACGCCCATCCATTCATCCCCTTTCCCTGCCCAAAATATTTCTCTTCCCCAACCCTATCCAACTTCATTTCCCAACCCGTTCCCGTCTTCCCCCTTCCAAATCTTCCCCCCTCCTCCCCAGCCAAATCAACCAACCACCTCCCCCCGCTGCCCCCTCACTCACTCCCCCTCACTCACTCCCCCTCACTCAACTCCAACCGATCCAAATCCTGTTCCACCGTCAACAGTCCCAGCGCAAAATGCGCATGCTCCGTCCTCGCCAACACAAGCCTATTATTCTCTCCAGCCTGCTGCTGCTCCATTCTAATCTTCTTATCGATTCTTCGCGGCCTCATCCACACGGGTAAACTCGCAGGGAAAATCTTGTCGAGCTCGGGCGGGCGTCGATAGGGGGGGCCCCGACCCATCTCTGCGGCTTTCATCCAGCCGGATTCGCAACCGTCGGCGATTTGGCGGGCGGATTGCCAGCCCGTTAGGCGGGTGATGTCGTGCAGGCGGGAGATTAGCCAGTGGCGTTGGGGGGGGGATTGGAACTGTTGGTTGGCCGAAGGGTGTTAGTTGGGCTGGAGGGGTGGAAGGGGTGGAAGGGGGAAGAGAGGTCGGAGGAACAAGAAGGGGGAAAGGGAGGAGGAACAAGAAGGGGGAAAGGGAAAGGGAAAGGGGAACCTTAGAAAGGAAAGGGGGACAACAAACCTGAACACCAGCAACAAACAAACAAAACCCACTCTCAATAAACGCCGCGCCCACCAACGTAGACACGGCACTAACATGCGACGTATCCTCATGCAACCCCGCCGCGATCCTCGCAACCGTATACGCCCACGGCGCCGTCTGCCCCGCGCTCATGCCAGCGGCAATCACCGCCACCGGCGGCATTGCCGGGTGCGCCCGCTGCAGCGCTATCAAGCCCATGTAATAGTTCATCCAGATCCCTGCTATCGAATACGTCCTGTACATCAGTGCGGGCCCAAACGGCGTCATTTCCGGCGTGGCTAGATCGGGACCCATGGGCTCGAAGTCCGGGCCGAGGCGGGACTTGAAGAGCTCGAAGGCGGAACGGATCTCTTCCCATTCGCGGAAGGCGGCGAGCGTGGCCGTGTCGTAGTCCATGTCGTCGGTTGAGTCGGTGTCGGGGGTTTGGTCGCGCGGGGGGGAGAAGCCTCGGGGTGGAACGAATGTGCCTTTGGTGGGCATGAGGCCGGCGAAGAGAGGGGGGGGTTGGCCGCGTCCGCCGGAGGAGGAGGAGGAGGGTTGGCCGCGGGGTGGACCGCCGGGGCCGCCGTGGCTGGGAGGAGGACCTTGGCCGGGGGGCATTTGACCTGCCCCTCGTGGTGGTGGTCCTCCGTGGCCGGGCGGGCCTTGTCCTGGTGGTCCTTGGCCTCGTCCGGCGCTGCCGGGAGGGCCGCCGGCTCGGCGCGCTTTTCGCTTGCGGACTAGGTCTCGGGAGGCGAAGTTGGCTACGCGGCCGAGAAGGAGCATTAGGTGGTCGAAGGTGCCGTAACTGAGAGATGGTTAGCATTGACACTGTGAAATAACGGGTAGGGGCTCGACTTACATGGCATCCATCCTCCCGCATTCTCCTCTCGGCGCACACTCAGCCCACTGGTCAAACGGCATACTGTTCATCCTCGTCAGCAAGTTTGTCAACTCCTTTCGGCACGCCAAAAACTCACAATAACCTCGTCCCACCCAAAATACTCTGATAAACATCCTGCTTGCAGTACCACCAATACAGATCCCTCAGCTGCTGATAAGTCTCAATATCCTTCTCCGTATACGGTCTCTTCTTGCTCGCCACCTCCGGATCATCGTAAGTGACCTTCCTGCCCATCAGCTGACTGATCAGCTCCGTATCGACCTCGTACAGAGTGAGATCAGGATCGAGAGGCGCAGTAGGGTCCATCCAAGGCGGTCCGACAAACCCGGCTTGTCGTCGTTCTCGTTGATGGGCAAAAATCTCCTTGGTCATTTTCAAGAAGGGGATCTCCTTCATGACGGCTCGCGCCCCCCACATGTGTCGGCACCACTTGTCGTGGTCCGAGTTCCAGACTTCGTAGAAGCCAAGCAGGAGCGTGGCTGCGAGCGTGGCGGGTTGCGTGCGCCGGCTGGGGCTTTGGTAGTTTCGGGCGATCCGGCGCAGACTGAGGTGGTAGTGCTTCATGGCTGCTGTGGCGGGGACTCGGGCCATGTTGGCTATTTGCAGACCGGCTAGGGCGAGAATGGCTTGCATCAAAGCGGGATGGTTGAAGGCCATGATGGGGAATGTGTAGGTCCAGATGTGTTGCCTAGTCTTGGGCACTGGTTGGCCCTGGAACATGGGTGTAGGATCGAACGGGTGTCTTTCAAAGAGGGACATGCTCTGCCCGGTGACGTTAACGAAATGCCAGAATACCGCGGCAGTCTGGAAGTCGTTCAGGGGCGAGCTCATGGAAGAAGGGATGTACGTTTGTAAGACGTTTAGCTCCGGGAACCCGGCAACGGTTCTCATCCGAACACCGTATGCGTCCGCGGGGGCTTCCAGCCGCCTGGCTACGTGGATACCGAGGTCATTAGACTCGAGATGCGCATCGTGGACATCCATGGGGATGTCGTCGTCTTCCGAGTCGGCCATGGACGCCTCATCGTCGGACTGCCAGTACATTCCCTCCTTGACGAAGCCATTGACGCCGAGCTGTAGTCCATCCTCTTCAAGGATACGGCGGTGTTGTTTAGGTGTTGGTGTCCAGGTGTGGCTGTAGTTGGATGGACCTGCCTCGATCACCTGGTTTGGGTCATAGTCATGTGTCGGAGACATCAACTGGAAGGTACTCTCGTGTGCATGTTGAGGGAGGTGGCCTGGCGGTGGTGGAGGACCAACTGGAGAGATGCTCTGGCTGGGACTAGGTAGTTGCCCATAGAAGGATGTTTGTAAAGCCGGACCTCCAGCTTGAGCGGCCAGAAAGGGGTCGTGTGCCTGGTGTTGTTGCGGCGCCGCAAAGGACATAGGCACCGTGCCCGTAAAGTCGACTTGCGGTGGCTTTGGAGCGATAGCAGCAAGTGGTCCTTGTTGTGCTGCTGCTTTGGCCTGAGTAGCCGTCAGAGGAACACCGATAGGTTGGTTTCGGTTCTGTTGATGATATACGGGATGCCCAAAGTGAGTAGGGCCATGGCCGTAAGATCCCAGAGGCTCCTTGAAAGTGAGTCGTTGGTTGTAGCCTTCACATTGCCTCTTGGATTTGGTGCAGTTGTTACAGATCGGCTTGGCTTCGTCACATTTGATGCGTCGCTTTCGACAAGCTGCGGCGTGTCAGCAATCATAAGCAGCAGCGGCTTGGGGTACGTATTGCAGCCTCGGGATATCACGTACTGAGACAACCAGTCTTTGTTCTCTTCCTAACTGAAGCCTTCTTTTGGGGATTCTCTTGGTTACCCGCTGCCGCCGTGCCGGTACCGGCACTTGCAGAAGCGCCAGTGCCCGCGTTGGCTTCGGATGAAGATGCTGGCGGCTTTGTTTCCGGAGAGGAGAATTCCTCTGGAGAACCTCCAGCCCCGGTGGAATCCATGGTAAAGCTTCGTAAATGGGTGTCGTATTCGAGTTGTCGGATGAAGGATTTCAGGAGGTTCCGACTCTTTCATGCTATGCTAAGAGAGCTTAAGAGTGAAAGAGCAACCTAGTCAAATAATACCATCGAGCAGACCACTCAAGATGGAGTGGCGGAGAAGTGGTGACAAGGCCAGGTGTAAAGGAATGTTGCTACGTCTCTCCGTCTCCGAAACACTGAGCCGAAAGTCCACCCAAGTCTAGATTGGCCGGCTGAGACAAAGTGACATGTGTAAGTGAGGGCGGCGAGTGGACAATAAATCTCCGCCTGCCGTGCAAACCGCCGAGCAGCCGGTGACAGCGAAGAAGGGACGGGGGAGATACCGCAACAACGTAGCTCGTCGAAGGTGCGTGGGTGAGACACCTGGTGTGACTTGTAACCCGCAATCCGGCACTCGGCCGCGAAGTGTTGCGGACAACAAAGACCCTTCCGTGAGGTATCCGGCACTGGAGGTTTAGTTGCCGGAGACTTTGGACCTTGGGAACAAGGTGAAGAATGAAGAGAGATGGGTAGGGTGCAAAAGTAGGCCGCAACCTCAGCTTTGCTTTTGCCGAGGTGTTAAAGACAGAAGAGAGCTTGACAGAGCTGAGGTATCTTAACCGCGAGCAGGTGCTGTTGGAAGGAGAGAGACTGAGTGACGAACGGGTAGGGCGGAGCTTGCCGTGATCTACATATAGCCCGATCTAGGACCAGCAGAGCTCTATGCAATGATCTCCAAGATGGTTTATATTGGCTAGTAGATCATTGGGATAGGTGTCTGGAGCTGTGACTAGTTGGGGCAACTACTCAGCACTCTTGTATGGATAAAGATGTACACTATAGGTGTGGAAGACGTGTAAAGGGGGCACGGAAAGAGAGTGGGAGGGGCGGAGAGGAACGGGACATTTGTCGATGATCCCTAGACTCTACCTCTCTTCAGATCGAGTGAGGCATAAGGGGACTATGGTGGGGGATGGCTCACTCTTTTCTAGAAGCTCTCTTGCAGTCCTTGACTAGCCTCCTCAGTCGTAGCGTAGCTGGCTGAGCACGGAAAAGCGTCGTGTGTTTGGGTATCAGGTTCTTGTACCGGTGGTGTAGAGGTCGAAAGACATGCACAAGAGACACACAAGTCCACAGAAGGGATAGTCAAACTGTGTTAGTGTAGCATCGGGCCACCTTCGGGAAGACGCCGTGGTGTGGTGGGTGTGGTGGTGTGCCTATGGTACGGATAGGAGTTGTGTGTATGCAGGACCACCACGTTCGTTAGCCTCTCTTTAGTCTTTTTTAAAAGAGGTCTTTAGATAGGTTATGATCGGGGACCCAAGACAACAATGGCGGTGGTGACGATGGCAGTCAAAAGTCAATGGCCATGGCCATGAATAGCAGCCTCTTCTTGCCATGTTGTCTACCAAACAGAGCATAGCTGATTCGTTAGGGAGTCTAGAAGGACGGAGTGCTGTGAAAAACACGAGGCACCCCGGCGATGAAGTGGACGATCCGCGGTCTCTGAGCCCAAAATGGGAGTGGGAATGGAACCTCGGAGCACCCACCAGCAGCAGGTGGAGATGTGAGAGGACAGAGGAGCCCGGGCCAAGTCCCCGGCCGGTGGGTACCTGAGCTTGGCAAAGGTGGGGTGCTGTAAAGTGTGCCTGTCCCGTCCTGCCTTTAACTGCTTGCATTCTTGATCGCTTCGGGTGCCACGTTCTGCAGCTTAAGTCACAAAGTGACAGACGGCAAGGACTTGTAGCTTACAAACTGCCTGACATTGAGAAGGATGGATCATGGACATGACAATCCAGAGTCCAGGGTGAGCCAAGGGTATTCGTATACCTCATCCATGGTCTCGGGCGTTGACTCATGATCCGTCTAAACCAATTCTAACCAAGCGAGTGCGAGAAAGCAAACATACCTTAAGATCGACCGGCGTCAATATGGAAGAAATACATCCATCTCCTCCAACCTTCTCCAAAGTCCAAACCTCCAAAACGCTCGAGGAAGGCCGAGTCAGTTCACACCGTGGTCTCAGCAGGCTGCTGTCCGTTGACAGCTAACGGATCGGGACAATAGACGACGGGATGTCATGCCGATACCAAAGAGTCGAAGACTGTGTGGCATGTTCCGCGTATAAAGAGTGATGAATACTGGAACATCCCGTATGTTTTGCTCTGAGATATCTCATAGCTCCATAGGTAGGTGGTTGGGGTTCAGAGATCTCTTCGAATCGGCTGTTGTCTGCGGTCTTATACCCCGAGAATCTTTGAAGACTCAAGTAAAGAGTTGTAAAGACAAGGAGATCTTGTATACGTCCGTAGAACTTTCGGGCTCATCCTATGGTTACATCTCCTGCCGTTCGTCAGGTGTGCACCGCAAACCTGGGTGGCTCCCGACTGTCAGGGCCTTATCAGTGTTATTGCTGTACTTCATCGACTGGAAAGAAAATCTCCGGATAATGTTACGGAAGCAACTGATGAAACTTGCATTGCGGCTCACCCGTCTCACCAATCCAATGTGCACAGAGTACGGCCGCTGGGAAGGGAAGTGGGATGTCCATGGAAGACAGCACCATGCGGGGGCAGTTGCTTGGGGAATTTGCAGGGGTTCTGCAATTGACGTTACTTCCCAAGCCAATGGGCCCCACCTAAATTTTTTTCGTATTCTCGTAGTCTATCACAACCAACCTTCCATCTTCGAGTTTGGAACACCAACCCTCTATCATCACTGCGAATTCATTTTCGCATATTATCTCAATCTTTCGAGTAGGGCTCTTTTCCCACAAGCAGCCATCATGTTCGCCGTCAAAGGCCTCAAAGTCTCCACCGACAAGCTCAAAGTCGAGACCGAGCATGGCTCCGTCCTGGCGACCCCGACGCCCCGTACCGTCGCCGCCGGCGAAGAAGGGGCTTCCGCTCCCAAGCCCAAGCCCAAGAAACGCAAGAGAGCCGGCCGGTCCAACAACACGGATGTGAACCTCGAGAACGTCGCCGACCTGTGGGAGAAGGTGATCGAGGGCGGCGACGCCAAGGCCAAGAAGGCCAAAGAAGATGCGAAGAGGGAAGCCCACAAGGCTAAGAAGCAGAAGACGGATACTGAGAACCAGGAAGAGACTCCTGCTTCCGAGACCGCTCCCCAGCCAGCCACCACCTCCGAGAAGAAGGACAAGAAGAAGAAGAACAAGGCCGACAAGAAGTCAGATGCCACCACCACCACCACCACCACCGAATCCAAGCCCGCCGCTGCCCCAGCCCCTACCCCAGCGCCCGCCGCCGCACCCAAACTCACCCCCCTCCAAGCCGCCATGCGCGAAAAGCTCATCAGCGCCCGCTTCCGCCACCTCAACGAGACCCTCTACACGCGCCCCTCGCGCGAAGCCTTCTCGCTCTTCTCCGACTCGCCCGAGATGTTCACCGAGTACCACGAAGGGTTCCGTCGGCAAGTCGACGTGTGGCCCGAAAACCCCGTCAACGGGTACATCGCCGACATCAAAGTCCGGGGCAAGCTGCGCAACGCGCCTCGCTTCCGCCCCGCCGACGGCACGTCCGAGGGCACCAAGTACCCGCTCCCGCGGGACCGAGATGGACTGTGCACGATTGCCGATTTGGGGTGTGGAGATGCCAAGCTTGCTGAGGCGCTGGTGCCCCTCAAGAGAAAGTTGGGGATTGAAGTCAAGAGCTATGATTTGCAGGATGGCGGCAAGCCCGAGTTGATTACGCGGGCGGATGTTGCGAATTTGCCGGTGAAGGAGGGGTCGGTGGACGTGGTGATCTTTTGTTTGGCGCTGATGGGGACGAACTGGATTGATTTTGTCGAGGAGGCGTATAGGGTGTTGAGGTGGAAGGGCGAGCTGTGGGTGGCCGAGATCAAGTCGCGGTTTGTTGACCCGACCAGAGGAGGAAAAAGGGGCGGTCCGGGAAGCGTGGTCAGCCACAGTGTGGGCAACCGCAGGAAGGCGGGCGCTGTTTCTGCCGCTGGTGGTGGGCCGGTGGGCAAGAAGGACAAGGCCAAGATGAAGGAGGAGGAAGAGGCCGAGGAGGAGCAGCAGTTGGCTGTTCATGTGGATGGTGTTGAGCTCCGCAAGCAGGAGACGGATGTCTCTGCTTTTGTGGAGGCGCTGAGGAAGAGAGGATTCCTCCTGCAGAGGGAGTACGGCCAGAAGGCGGTGGACATGGACAACAAGATGTTTGTCAAGATGCACTTTGTCAAGGCGGTGCCGGCCATCAAGGGCAAGTGCGCGGACCTGAAGAAGGAGGCGCTCAAGACGACGCAGACGGATGCCAAGGGACGGCCTATCAAGACGCCCAAGTTCATTGATGCCGATGAGGAGGCGTCGTTCAACGAGAACGCTCTTCTGAAGCCCTGTGTGTACAAGATTAGGTAGACGAGCATGGTGTATGGTTTAGTACGATCAGTTAATGAAAGGTTCAAGAACTATTTTCTCTTTACGCACGAAACACCCTGGCATTAATATGTAGGCTTGGTATGTCCTATGAGGGTTGTGTACTACAAACCTGTCAATATCTGGTCCTTCTCTTTTGCTACGAGTCCTGTCGTATCATCTACAGCCCGCCCCAGACAGGAGGTCCAAAACAAACAGGTAAAGCAGTGGAAACACGGTCTAAGAACACTTCAAAAGTTGATATCTTTCGCTTGATTGTCCTCATCATAGATCTTGATACCGTCTCTTTACGTTCCATTCATCTCATGACGACCATATGTCACGGATTTGCGCCGCCTTAATTCGACCCATAAAAGCAGATACATGCTCTCTATGTTCATGCCAACACTCCCAACTTCATCATTTCATTGGAATCCCTCAAAGATTAGGCTGGCCGCATACTCAACATTCCCGTCTGTCGCCTCCAAAGCCCGAATCGCCTGCTGCTCATCAGCTCCGAGTGCTACAAGCTGCTCAATATGCTCACGGGGAAAAGACCGGGCTGGAGGCGCTTGCGGACGGGCTTGCGAGGCTTGGGCCTGAGGCGCTCGAGGTGCGGGGGCGGGAGCGGGAGCAGGAGCGGAGGGACCCGGCTGTGCAGTAGACGGACCAACCTGGCCCTGACGTTGCTGTGCAGTACCAGGTCCCGAAACCGCACCGGTACGCTGGCCGATGGTTGTACCGCCGGGGCCCTCAATCGTAGGCTCATCCTGGAGCGCCTCCTCCGTCGCCTTCGGGATGTCCGCCTCACCCAAGAAGGGAATCTCCTCGCCCTGGATGACGAGGGCGTTCTTGGCGAGGTCAATGCAAGCCTGGTAACGCTTCAGCATGTCCAAGCCGAGAAGCATATCGACGTTCTTTCCCTCCATGACGGTAAAACTGCATGGCAGGAAGAGCGTGCCGATCTTGATAGGGGCCGTGTGCACACGACCGATGATCTTGGCAAATCCGACGCCCTTGGCGATACCACCGTACCGCTTGTCGACCAGGCGCATGATACCACACGCCTCGGCGATGTCGGGACTCATGATTGTGGCTTGTGCTCCGGAATCGACGAGGGCCTTGACTTTGGCTCCATTCACCTCAACATCCAGATACAGCATGTGTACGGTACCAAATACTGCAAACACAAACCAAGTCAGCGGCAACTTTTCGACCACAACAGAAACCCTCCGACTCTGCCTATTGCTTACCCTCAGGATTGTGCTCCATAGCAGTCTGCAGGTTCTCCGTAACCCGCTCCTGGCGAATGATCTCCTCAATCCTCGCCTGCGCCTCCGGGTTGAACGGATCCTCGTTCAACTGCTGAATTATCCGGTGACGCTCCGCCCTCTCCCTCTGTTCCCTGTCGTACCTTTCCCGGAAGAGCTGCGCCCACCGTTGAGGGTCGTTGATAGCGGCCGCCAAGTCGGGGGCTGTCCTCTCCACCTCGGCCCTCAGGGCCGGATTCGCCAGAAACTGCAGACGCAAAAACTCGGGATCTTGTTGGGGAGGCGCCGCTGGCCTTCCTTGCTGTGGCTCGGGAACCGCCGTGGTCCGTTGCGTCTCGCGGACGTGGAGGGCCAGCATGTCGCCGTCGGTCACGTTTAGCTGGGCCAGGGTCTTGGTGTTGTCGGTGATCAGGTTGCCGTTATGGTACAGGTGTTGTGTGCTGGGGTGGTGGCTGGTTTCTGCCTGGATCGAGTTGCGCAGGGTCTCGAGTGTCATGTCGGGGAAGACTTGAAGGGAGAGAAAGTCTTGCTCCTCTCCCGTCGTGTCCTGGATGGCGATGGTTATTTGCCTGTCAGAGACTCAAGTTAGCGGCTGTGGGGGTGACTTCAGTTTGTTGTCTCTTGTCAACTTACATGGTGACGTCGTTTGTTCTAGCGGAATAGCAAGAGCGCGGTAAGTAGATGTTGAAGGGAGATGGCGTCACCGGCCAAACCTAGAAGAGTAGAGGCACCAAAGAGTCTCTAGATGAGGAGGAAGAGGAAGGGTAAACGAGGACGGAAGAAGCGGGTTTTCTAAAGATGTTTACAAACGGAAGAAGAGCAAGGCTGAGTAATTGTAGTTCAAGATTCCAGAAGTGAAGGGAGGCGGCCGGGCAGGTGACAGTTATTGAGGGGCTCTGGGGCAGGCACCCGGGCGATCCAGTGGATCCGAGGCGAGCCGTCCGCTTTCTGGACCGGGCCCGCATGCAAGGGTCCTGGACTCTCGGTTGCAATTGACACGCTCGGGTCCGTTAAAGTGCTTTGTAACTGCAAACGGACTGTCCCATTAGCAGCTCCATCAATGACATGAAGCTCCCCGTCAGTGGGTCTACGCCTACGTTGGCCCGATGAAAGCATCATGATCATGTAAACAAATCGGGTTGAGATGACAACGTCTTGCTCCCTATTTGTTTCCTCGGCAACTTCAAAGCATCTCCGCTCCGCTTGACTTGGGAGCCAACTGTCCTCTTTTCTCTTTTTGGAACAACTTGACATGACTTGTCTCCTTCCATCATCCAGCCTCTCCGCTCGCTCCAGTGGATGCTCGCGAATCTGCCGAAAAGGCATGAGGCTCAATTCGGAAGTTCCCACATGAAAGTGGCTCTTAACTACCCCGGAGGTAAACGGACAGTGGACATGGTCTTGTAAGTGCTATGTACGAGCCTACGACACCTCAGCGATTTCTGCCTGTGATCAAATTTGGAACTGTCACGCTGCGTGTGCCTGGCCTTTTCAGGAATTGCGCAATGGAAGCTGTCGGAAGTCCATAGAGGCTTGCTTCTCTTTGAGGCGAATTGGTTGGAATAAGCAAATATGGTATACGACATTCCAAGCCTTTGGAGCCTTGTACGTACACTTTGACTTTGTTCATCTGAAAAGTTGCCAGGTGACTAGCATGTTGTACTTGTAGTTCACGGATTTGATTGCTATTTTACCAAGTTGCGTTCATTATTCGTGAAGCAGCTTCCAGGTTATTGCTGGCGGTAGTTGAAGCCAGTGTCTATACCATTGTCAACTTTCTTCAAGAAAAGTCCACCGGCTGCTCCCCTCTGATCTCCCATACATCTACATAATTGTCCCGACAACCTGCCCCGATGACTCGCATACAAGGCTTTCCACCCGTGTCCAGCGCGACCTGCCCTTTCATCCACTTCGGTATCTGACGGCGTTCCGGGGGCCCGAAATGCTAAGCTTTAGCTCGTCAGGGCTTGTCAACAGCCTGGCATCCTGCAGGTTGGCGCCTTTTGAGAAAGGTTGTGTACTATAACCGGTGAGGCCCCGGAGAATGGACTACATCCTTGATTACGCCGAGGGTATCACGCATGGGGCTGGACGTTCCGTTTGAGAACAGGCAGGTATCTTAAAATGGACAAAAAACTTCCCCCATCCTTAGTAGTGATTGCGGGGTGTTGGGCGTCGTGATAGTATCAGGACTTTTGCGTACAAGGTGGAAGTGTGCTCGGCACAACGTATCATGGCAGCAAACAGCAAACATCAAACATAATGAATATCATGTCTCCCTTGTGATATTGGTGATGTGATATTAACCTGTAGTCTAATTGCTGAGCACAACTGCCTGCTGAGCACGGCAATAACCGGGCTGTCTCTAGAGCCTCATGTTTTAGCTAAAGAACCAATCTTCCTTTCTGGTTTGCATGGTCCGCTGATCCTTTCACAAATACCCTCCTGGCAAAAACAAACTGCCGTTCAAGCTTCGAATGAAATGTTCATCTCACCCCCACCAAATATTCACAACGGAAGCTCCCAAACCTCCCTGTGAACACTGCACCTGAGTCCCGACGCCATGACTCGAAGCAGCAAAGAGCTAAGAGCTTTGACGCCGTAACCCGAAGCTTGCCACCCACCTCATTTCCGTCGAGCTCTTATTCAAGCTCTCAAGACTGTCGAATATGAAGCTATTCAGGAATCAAGGGCCTCCCTTCTTGTCACTGATCAATTGAACTTCAAAGGACCCACTTCTTACATCAATGAAGGATCCGCTTATAGTGCCTTACAGTGGATTGACGTCACCGGCAAGTCAAACGTACATCAATAAAACCAAAGCAAAGCCAATGCTTCTACCTCATCATCGATCGTCAAAACCATCATCGTCAGGTCTTGTGTAAGTAAAATCAAATCGCAACACAATGGATGGCATCGGCGGCGTGGCGAGCAGGCAGGGTCAGAAAGCTAAACTGCACTCCAACTTTTAAGTGCACAGACGGGAATTTCCCGATAAGAGGCTCGGATGCGGGGCAGGTTGCTGGCGATAAGGGAGGGGATTGGGAACCTTTACGGATGGCCCGTGAATTCAACCTTCAACCTTCAAGCTTCAAGCTTCTTCCAGCATCGCATTGACTCACATTTAGTGGAAGACATCACCAGTAAGTAGCTCAGTAGGTACAGGAGTGCCATCGAGTTGGGAATTGGTAAAATTATGCTTGCATTTTTCTCTGTCCATGTGCTGTATAAAATCAGGGGCAGCATAGCCATGTGAACAATGTTTAAGGGGTTCCATTTCCCAAAATCTGGAGATGCATTTCATAGACCTACGTCGAGGAGCTCGAGTAACGCGATGGTCACCGATCTGACATTCGTCAATCCAGGGCAACCCGGGAAAAAGCGAACCCCTCATGTGTTCCCAGGCGTGTACCTGTCAAAGGAAAAGGTCACGCGCAAAGGGATTGATAGTCATTGGCCGTTCGCCCCAAGATTGGGAGCTTGGATCGTCGTGTATAAATACCTGACGAACCATCTTTCCTTGGGACTTCTGGATGTTTATGTACCTCCACATTTGGGGACTTGGGGCAAGTTGGAGTCCATTCCCTTTTCAAGTTGCTTGCACTCGTCGGTCACCTGGTCATAGAAGTTTAAAACCGAATGCAAAAGGACAAACATCGATGCATCCCGTCGTCCCCCGCATTCCTTTTTCCAGAACCTTTGCTTTCGATTGTGACTGGTGAGTAGCTTGGGGTTATCGCTTTTCTTGGGCAAACGATACTTAGCTTTCTTGTCTATTAGGACTTGAATTTTGCTTGGTTGAGCCCCTCCTCAGGTTATTTCGTATCACCGACCCTGGTAACCAACCACCTCAAACATCGAATCTTGAGTCACGAGAATCATGGCGGCCATAGAGCGAGAACCTCCATCGTCCATCGAGGGGTCCAGCCCCAACCGCCCGCAAATGTTTCATCGGATTTCAGACAACGCCATTGACGAGTCCTCGGACGCTGATAGCGATTTCGTCAAGTTGCAGAAAACCATCAGCAAGGAGAGGCGGGAAGCTAGGGAGAGCCCCCAAGCTCGGTTGCAGCGAGCATTCCCCTTCACCTTTCACCCCAACATCAGACCCCTCAGCACGTCTGACTACGAATCGTGTATTGCCCTGGAGAATGCCGCCTTTCCGGACCCAGAACACAGAGCTACACCTGAGAAGGCGAGTTCACCTTATCCCAATGTGGGCGGTTTGCGCCGAACCGGACCTTGACTAACAGCAACCGCAGTTCCTTTACCGACTCTCAACCTGTCCTGAGCTGAGCCTGGGTGTCCTTTGCACAGTGGTGCCAGACAAAGCCAAGAATTGGACAATCGAAACCTTGGATGCTGCCAAGCCTGTGGAAACAGATCGTCCCAATGGCGCAAAGAGCGTACTGGTGGCACATATCGTGTCTACGCGCTGCGCCGGAGACACCATCACAGACAAGGATATGGATTATCCAAAAGACTGGCGCATTCGTCGCGGTCGGTCGGCAGACGTAGGACATCAAGAGAGTGGGCGTACCGTTGCGATGCACTCCTTGGCCGTGGCTCCAAAGCTTCATGGATGTGGAATTGGCCAGATGATTGCCAAGGCCTACCTGCAACAGATGAAGGACGCGGGAGTGGCTGATCGCGTGGCGCTGATATGTCAAGATGTGAGAACCAGTTGCTGTTCCTTTGGCTTACCTTGAGGACGAAAGTTAACCAGAGATACAGTACCTTGTTTCCTACTATGAGCGGCTTGGGTTCAAGTGTATCGGCAAGAGCCCCGCCCAGTTCGGAGGAGGTGGATGGCATGACATGGTGAGTTACACTTCCTAGACATCCTCGGATTTTCGTCGACGTTCTTGAAATTCACCAGTTCTGCAGGTCATCGACTTAGCGAAGTATGAAGTGAAAGTCGGCAAAACCCCGTCCTAGTGGGTATCATATGGTATTCCAGAACGGCAAAATTCCTGAAACCAACAATTTGTGGCGGGGCCCAAAACTTGTTGAATCCAGATCAGATCTTCTATAGGATCCCAAAGTCGGCGGGTAGCTTCATTGGATGCGCAAATAGAACCAGACAACCCCATTTTCTTCTTCTTCTGGAGTGTCAGCCACAGGTTTGCTGTTGTGGCTATGGTCAAAGGGTTTGGGGAAACGTACCTGTGATATACATGTTACTTTTATTAGAATTCAACTCCAGCTTTTAGTCGGTAGCCTTGTACTTGGCGCGATACTCCTCCGTCTTCTTGACGTCCCCAGGGGAAGCAAGACCCCTCATGCCCTCGATGATGTCGTCCAGAGTAAGGATGGCAAAGATGGGAATGCCGTACTCCTTGCGGAGCTCACCCATGGCACTGGGGCCGGGCTTGCTATCGTCACCGTCGGCGGCGGGGAGCTTCTCCATGCGATCAAGAGCAACGACAATTCCAGCAACAATGCCGCCCTCCTTCTCGATCTTGGCGATAGCCTCACGCTTAGCAGTGCCAGCAGTGATGACATCGTCAACGATGAGGATTCTCTTGCCCTTCAGAGGGGCGCCAACAATGTTGCCTCCCTCGCCATGGTCCTTGGCCTCCTTGCGGTCGAAAGAGTAGCAGATCTTGCCGTAGGTCTCGGGGTCAAGCTGGGCAAGCTTGTCGGTGGCAGCGGTAGCGAGGGGAATGCCCTTGTAGGCGGGGCCGAAGACGATGTCAAAGTCCAATTGGCCGCTCTTGTGAGCCTCGATGATGCACTTGGCGTAGGCAGTAGAGATGGCCTGGAGAAGGTCGGCACGGTAGAAGTCGCCGGCGTTGAAGAAGTAGGGGGAGATGCGCTTGGACTTGAGCTCGAAGCTGCCGAACTTGAGGACGCCGCCGTCGATGGAGGCCTTGAGGAAGTCAGCCTTGTAAGGCGAGAGAGCGGCCATTGTGCTGGTAGGAGGAGGGTATCTGTAGGATTGGAATTGAAGCTTGACGAAGAAGATGGATAGATCCCAGAAGAAGAACCTTGACGTCTGGACAATAGCTGGAGGAACCTGGAGAGAATTGAGAAGAATGGAGGGGCAGAAGGGTTCAGTTCGGAAGTCTTTCAATTGAGTCAATCAGATGGTGGGTTACGAGTGGGCCAGTTCCAAGGAGCCAGGCCCGCGAAGCCAGGCCCGCGAAGCCCGGTCATCGGCCGGTGGGCGCGGTGGGGTTCCTGGGAAAATGTGGGGTTAGAAAATCCCAAATCCTAGCCGAATCCTACCCCTTGGCAACTTGTCTTGGCAGCGCACACTTCAATCCACTTTGGCACTCTGCTTATCTTATCGCTTGGAGCAGCCGCTGGAAAAATATTTCGAAGTAGACTTTCCATTGGCAGCACAGCGCCTCCCGTCGCCCTCCAACACCGCCCCCGCAGCCGGTCCCTATCCTTCAGACCGTCCTCATTGTCTTGCACTTCCAGTCCGAGATTTCTCACTAGCAAGTGCTTGACATCTATACCCAAAATGACGTGGAAGGACATTGCCCCTGTGCCTACGTAAGGACATCTTGGTTGTTGGATTGTGCTGTTGTTGTTTGGCATCGCTAACTCGCTTCTACAGGGCACAGGAATTCATCGACATCATCCTCTCGTAAGTCGACATCGACAGCCCCCGACCACGACGATGCGAAATCTTCGAGTTCGATTGTGAAGGATATTAACTGTTCAACAGGAGGACACAGCGTCGCTTGCCGACTCAGAGTATGTACAATCTGGAAAAACTCGTGAAGCATGGCATCATCGCTAACCTCTACTTCGAACAGTTCGTGCCGGTTTCAAGAGTATGTCGTCTCGATCCCGATATCTTATATGAGAACTCGAACAGACCATTAACACGCGACACCGAACAGTCAGCAGAATTAGAGCCTTCTACACCCGTAAGGTCAAGTTTACACAGGAAACATGCAGCGAAAAGTTCGGCGCCATCGTCTCGAGCTTCCCCATGCTCACCGACCAGCATCCTTTCCACCGCGATTTGATGAACATTCTCTACGGTAGGAACCGCGCGCTCCTCTTCGACCGGTGGTTTCAACGACGGATTGCGAACCGCCCGGTCTTGTCGGGAATGATGGCTGACAAGATGATGGATAGATGCCGACCATTTCAAGGTTGCCCTCGGTCAGGTCTCGACCGCCAAGCACTTGATCGAGACCATCTCTCGTGATTACGTCCGTCTCCTCAAGTACTCGCAAAGTTTGTACCAGTGCAAGCAGTTGAAGAGAGCCGCCCTCGGTCGTATGGCCACCCTCATCAAGCGTCTGAAAGACCCTCTCGCCTACCTCGACCAGGTCCGCCAGCATTTGGCCAGATTGCCCGATATCAACCCTACCACCCGCACTCTCCTCGTTGCCGGCTTCCCCAACGTCGGCAAGTCTTCGTTCGTGCGCTCCGTCACCCGCGCTGATACCCCGGTCGAGCCCTATGCTTTCACCACCAAGAGCTTGTTCGTCGGCCATCTCGACTACAAGTACCTCCGTTACCAGGTCATCGATACCCCCGGTATTCTCGACCACCCTCTCGAGGAGATGAACACCATTGAAATGCAGTCCGTTACGGCCCTCGCCCATCTCAGAGCCGCCGTCATGTTCTTCATCGATATCTCTGAGCAGTGCGGTTACTCGCTCAAGGCCCAGTGCAACTTGTTCAGGTCCATCAAGCCCCTTTTCGAGAACAAGATGGTCTACGTTGTCCTGAACAAGATGGATATCAAGACCGTTGAGGAGCTCGACCCCGAATCCCAGGCCGATCTTATGGACCTTACCAAGTCCGGCAACATTCAGCTTTTGCGCGCCTCTTGCGCTACCCAGGACGGTGTCCAAGAAGTCAAGAACGCCGTTTGCGAGGCTCTCCTCGTTGAGCGCGTCAACCAGAAGTACAAGGCCGGTACCAGCAGCAACGGTACCATGGGCTCCCGTCTCACCGAGGTCATGTCCCGTATCCACGTCGCCCAGCCCGCCGATGGTGTTCTCCGCGAGACCTTCATTCCCGAGGGTGTCAAGGGCCTCAAGAAGTATGACAAGGCCGACCCCGAGAGGAGGCTTTTGGCCAGGGATATCGAGGAGCAGAACGGTGGTGCTGGTGTCTTCAACGTCGATCTCAGGGAGAAGTGGATCTTGGCCAACCCCGAGTGGAAGTACGACAAGATTCCCGAGGTCAGTAACTTTCGCATTCCGACTCCCCCAAAAACCTGTTTACTAACATGTCGCGCTTTGAACAGATTGTCGACGGCAAGAACGTCTACGATTTCATCGATCCCGATATCGAGGCCAAGCTGGCCGCTCTCGAAGAGGAGGAGGAGCGTCTCGAGAAGGAGGGCTTCTACAAGTCGGACTCGGACCTCGGCGACGAGTCGGAGGAGGAGATCCTGCAAAAGGCCGAGTACATCCGCGAGAAGCACAAGCTGATCCGCAACGAGGCCAAGATGAAGAAGTCGCTCAAGAACCGCGCCATAATCCCCAGGAAAATGCAGAAGAAGTCGTTCGCCCAGCTCGAGGACCACATCGACCAGCTCGGCGTCGACACCGAGGAGATCAACCTGCGCGGCCGCGCCCAGGTGCGCGAGCCCACTCGCGGCCGCTCGCTGGCCCGCAGCCGCAACGCCACCGAGGACCCCGACGCCATGGAGGTGGATACTCCCAAGAGCGCCGCCGAGCGTCTTCGCTCTCAGAGCCGTCCGGCCCAGCGTGGCCAGGGCGCGACGAACAGGCGCGACGACGGTGTTACTGGCGGTGTGGGTATGGACGGGGAGACGGCCCGTTCCAAGGCCGAGAGGGTGGCCAAGCTCGGCCAGCGCAAGATGAACAGGATGGCCAGGGCCGGCGAGGCCGACAGGCATATTGGTCAAACCATGCCCAAGCATTTGGTACGTCTTTCTTTCCCCATTATCCCCCATCTCTTTGTCATCATCACATATATGCTAACCAACATTTTCACTACTACAGTTCTCTGGCAAGCGTACTGTTGGCAAGACACAGCGTCGTTAATTGGATCCATGTTTTGGTCATGGCGTGGGGGGTGTCTCGTCTCATCTTTTGGCGGTTGTGTTCTCCTTCTCTGCTACTGTTTCTTGGGCAAATGATTCCATATATCTGCGTCATCGGTCTTTTTATCATGTTTATAACGTAGACTACTACTACCATCTCGAGGCGTTCTTGGGCAAAATGGGAAACAAAAAAAGGATGTCAACAATAACATACTACTACGTATTGTACTCATCGGGCAAGTTTATGTCTTGCGTCTTGTCTTGTTGCTTTTTGTATTTGTTGGCAATACCCAAGTCAGATAGTAACAACTCATCTAAGCTCAACTCGTGTAATCTTATAAAGGGACTGATGTTGACAAATCCATGCAAGTTTCTGATCCGTTCTCTCGTTGGTACATACAGCCTTTTATGTGATCTCATTTGGACACACTGTTCACAAGTTGACAAAGCTTCGTCACTCAGGGGCTAACTTGAAGGTTATCCACACTCCAATTCCACATCCCATATCTCCACGGTGTCAACATTCACTGTGCACACCAGGGGCGGCACCACCTCCATTTCATTTGATTACTTGTGAGATTATGTGATTTACTACCCTCTCTCTCTCTTCCCTCGTCCCGTCCAAATCTACAAGACAAGAAAATAGGTATCCATACGTTTGGGGTGAGTGGCTAGTAGCTGGCTGCCCGTAAACCTCGCTAAGCAGAGCAAGCCAGTATGTACTATGTAGTACTTGTTCAAAATGAGACCATCAATTAAATGTTGTTATGTTGTACCCTAATCCATTATCCCTGTGTCGTGTCATATTTACTCCTGCGACATCTGGATACCCTCCCTCAGACCTTCAACAACAAGCTCCTCACCCGCGCACCGGCGGTAAATGTCCTTGACGTCCTCTGTCGAGGTCTCAAAGTGGCTGGTGGCGTCGTAGCTCTTGGAGATGAAGATGTTGTCGTTGCGGCCGTCCTCGAGGGGCTCGTAGAGGGGAATGGGGGGACCCTGTGCGGAAATTGTTAGCATTGTGAAAGCGTGGTATATGATTCATAAGAGTAGACGTACCATGAACTGCTCCTCGATCTTGCCGAGGCGCTCGATACCAGGGGCGAGCTCGAGGTGGTGGTTCGCAGTAGTCTCGGCAATGGTCGAGACGATGGCGATCCAGTAGCCCTTGGGGCAGACGTTGTGCGCGGAGGAGACGCAAGCGATGTAGATATCTGGACAACCTTTGTTAGTGGTCTGTTCCGTACGCTTATATTATCATGCTGTGGCGCAAAACTTACCGTTCTTGCGGCCAACCTGCGACTGGGGAATGATCAACTGGCACGAATCGGCATCGTTGGTGCTAGCAAGCGGGTGCTTGAGAATGCAGATGGCGCGGAGGACGTGGCCGACAACCTTGACCTTGTCGGGGAAGTAGCTGGGGTCGCCGAGGATCATCTTGGCGCGGGTCTCGAACTTCATCTCGGGCTCGACACCGGCCATGGTGGCCTTGATGCCGACGGCCTTGCCGTTCTCGTAGACGAGCTCGTCAACGCTGGTGTTGAGCATGTAGGTACCGCCGTAGATGGCGGAGAGACGGGCGAAACCCTGGGGAAGCTCGCCGAGGCCGTAGAGAGGGTAGATGTATGGCGACTTGCCGTAGCGGGCGACGGACTGGCCGTAGAGGCGGATGCGCTCGATGGTCTCAGGGGCGGCGCCAGGGGTATCGAGGTAGTTGTCGTTGAGGTAGAGGGCCATGGCGTGGCCGACGAAGTCCTTGGTGCCGGTCTCGAGGCTGAACTTGTCAAAGACCTCCTTCATGGTGCAGGTGGACATGTTGAGACCTGGAAGCGCCCATAGTTAGCGCCCGTGAACAATATGACAGACAGCAAGTGTATTGTTGGCGGAACTCACCCTTGTGCGTGGCCGGGTCCTTGGGGTCGAACTCGCCAACCCACTCGATGAAGCTCTTCATGCGGCGCTTCTCGAAGATGCCCATGAGGGGCGAGCGCAAAGCCTCGGCGGCATCTGAGGGGACCTTGGCGATGGTGGCCTTGGAAGCAGCACCCTGCTGTACGTAGCTGCCGGCAACCTGCTTGAACTCGAGGTAACGGGTGACATCGGTAGAGACGAGAATGTTGGTGAGCTCGCCAGAGGACATGAGGAACTTGGGAACAAGGTCGATGTTCCAGTCGTTGGGGCGACCGTATTGCTTCCAAGGCTCGGTACCCGCGGCATAGTTGCCATACTTCTTGAAGAGCGTCTCGAGGTTAACGGACGCCGCCTCACTGCGCAAAGAATCATGTTAGCTTGTGTTCATCATGGTTCGTTCGATAGGGGGTTGAAGGGGGGAAGTACGAACCCGCCGTAGTGGTCGTTGCGGTCGATATGGAGGACTTTCTTTCCCTTGACACTGAGAACACCCGAGAGGATACACTCGGTCAAGCCAGTGCCCAGCACAATGACATCGTACTCCTTGGCGATCTCGTCGGCCATGGTTGTGGTGTTGATGGTATTAGTTGTTGTTGTTGTTAAGGTGAGTCGGTCTTGCGGTCTGCAAGCTACAAGCAACAAGCTACAGGTAGGAAGCTTGTTTGGATTAGAGGGGGGTGGTGGGGTTGGTGAGAGTAGGTAGGTTGGTATATAGCAAGCAGGGTAAACACACGGAGAATGGAAGAAGCAGAACAAGAAGAATGGGACGGGAAGAACGAAGTCGAAGGCGGATCACTTGGTACTAAATGGGGGTAGCCAGAGAGATGATGGATGACGGGCGGGACGGGGACTGGAACCTCGTCGTGGACTGGACAACTGACAGGAGGCGGCGTCGGTCACGTAGGCACAAGGGACGACGTTGACGGACTGGGGCCGCACTGGGCTGCCACTGCACGCTGCATCGCTGGCACCGCCTGCACCGCCTGCGACAGCAGCTCCCACCTGGTGCAAGTACGGTGTGCAGGTGCAGGTAGCTGTCAGGCATGGGTCCCGTCTATTGGCAACCTCATGTCCAATGCATGATGGTCGTCTCCTGGGGCTCCCTAGGCGGTCTCTCCTAGCCCATGCTTGCTGCCAGCCAGTGGTAGCGGAATGGCTCCTGGATCGTCACCGTCGTGGTAAGTGGGGGAGTCTTAGAATGAGGGGCGGGATCGGGACCCCGCTTTGAGCTTCTTTGAGCTAGACCGGAGCCAAAGAGACAGTCGGTAATGTCCCCCTGATGTCCCCCTGGTGGGACTCTGTCTCGCTATGATTTGACAAGACATGAAGACCGTTCATCTGATTGCTTCATCTGGTCCCGCAATGATAATTGAATCGCCAATACCTATATATATATCTGATATACCACTCGACATTTGTCTCGAAAATTGGACATTGACACGAGCTTGTTTCGTCTATCCCGCCATGCCCTTCCTCCTGACCTCTCTATGGTCTCGCCTGTTCAGGTTGGCGCCGATGATGATCTCCCCAGCTACGATGGAAATCTAGACATATCCTAAGCGAGATGTTGGTGTACAGAGATTCACGCACCCCAGATCTCGGCTGTTCAGCCCATCACTATCACCAGGGACCACCTAATCCATTGGACACCCATTCCCATGCACCCCATGGGGCTTTTTCGTTGGCTTCTTTATGAAAATCTTCCAGGCCATGTCCTTCCCTCGTTTAGACGTGGCCTGTCCGGTTGAATTTGGCTGTTGTACAGTGAACACATATGATGCTCGTTACACTATCGATACAGGTTGCAATATGTGGTGGTTTGTTTTTGGAAACGGGTATCGTGTTTCCCCTCGTCCTCTTACCGCGAGGGCAGCTTCACGACCGGCCCGTCTAGTTCATGGTCTCCTTCTCCGACCCGCTTCCTCGCTCATACTCTAGGAGCTTCGGCTTGGGGCTTCGATGATGGTATCGTTGTTGGGTCGATTTCTGTGCTAGTTTGCGCCTCGCTGGCCTCGGCGCCCTCCGCCGTCTCTTCCGCCTCCAGGAATGTGCTAGGCTTGTAGGGGTTCTCGGGGTTGGACAGGTCGATCTCCGGGTCCTGCTCGGCCAACTTCACCGCATCCTCGTAAGCATAGAACCGCTCGGTGAGCACATGCTTGATGCCGCGCATCGTTTGCTTGACCTAGAAAGTAAAGAGAAACATTGTCAGCTCTCTGCTGTAAACCATTAAACGGGCCTTCCTTCCAGTCATCCACCTACATTGCGATCACGCTCGTTGGCCTCAGCAAGACCGAAACCCAACTCGCTCTTCTTGCGCTCCCAGTTCGCCGTCGCAATGCGGTTGCGCTCCTTGACGCAAACCCACCACAGCCGGTGCAGGTCGTCCCACGACTTCTTGCGCAGCTCGGAAACGGTCCAGGCGCGGCCGTGCTTGGCGTGCTCGATGGGCGCCATGGCGACGGTCTCGCGGTCGTAGAAGAAGTCCCAGAGGCCGTGGTTCTCGTCGACTTGGATCGGGGGCAGCTCCTCGCGCGGGACAGGCTCGGGGAGGGGTTCGTCGGAGACGGAGAGCTTCCAGCGGGTGCCGGACTTGCGCAGCGCAGACTCGCCACGCTTCTTGGAGTTGTCGCGGGTCACGCGGGCGGTCGGGTATTTGTGGCGCTTGAGGAGGGCGGCAGAGGTGGAAAGCGTCCTGACCGGGACGGCGACGGCGACCTTGGGTGCTGTTGCGGCCGAGCGGCAGGTCTGCATAATGGCGCCCATGGAGGGCCGGAGGGCGGCTGGTGAGGCCATGGCAGACGGTTGTGGTGTTGTGTGGTGGTGGTGGTGGTGGTGGTGGTTGGTGAAAGTATGTCCCAACCCGATGCCCGCTGCTCCGTATGCACCGTCGTCCGAGTCGCAGTGGGTGGTCAATCGTAGGCGCGGTGCGGACTGCGGTGCGGCTCCGGGACGGCAGCAACTCACTCCACGGCCTTCCCGTCTGGCACCGCAAAATTTAGGTGGGTCCGAGCTTGGTCCCGTTCGTGCCGCCAACGGATCCTCATTGGTCCCATTCGATCGGTCCGGACAGAGAATTGCCGGATGAATTGGCGGCAAGCACTGTGGCAGCTACTAACTATCTACGCTAGTACAAACAAGGCTAAACTTTAGTATAACTTACGTCCAATTACTTTTCCAACCAATCACAAATCAATGTGCTATATACTTAAAGTTAACTTGACGCTATTCCTACCAATAACAACTTTCATCGAACGATACAAGGTCAACGTCCTCTCTTCATCCCGAGGCCGTTGACTCTCAAGTCTCACAATTCCGTCAGGTCTCTCTCATTTACTCGTTGAGCAGCTGAATTTGTCATTCTTTTGGTAGACATCATGGTTTTCCAGTGAGTGCCTCTCGAATTTCCATCCCCGTCACAGAAACTCCTTGCCCGTCGGCTCCCTGTCCATCACTTACACCACTCACATGTGCTGTCCAAAGCACCACCAACCTATCGCACCTCCCAAGTTCCTCATACGTGCTATCCAACCAACTGTCATCATCTCTCTACGAAAGTCTTCAGTATCTTAAATCCTAACAAAGCCCAGAACCTACCGCAACCTCTCCCCCCGCGCCCGTCTCGGCGTCGGCATCGCATTCACCCTCTGGGGTCTCATCGGCCTCAAGCTGTCTGACAAGGCCGAAGAAAAGCTCGGCTACACTCCCACTGAAGAGGATCGCAAGGCGCTGGAGAGGTTCAAGCCTCGGATCATTGAAGTCGAAAAGGAGATTGAGAAAGTCGTTGGGGCCGAGAAGTGAGGCCGAAGTCGGGGTGATGAGGAGGATGTGAGGGGAGGGCGGACTGGTTAACACACCACCGGAACAGAATGATGGGCACTTATCTACTGAGGTTTGGACTTCGAGAGTAGAAGGCCGAGAGAAAGTAAGAGGATGGAGATCAAACGGGCCAGTCGTGTCACGAATGGGGAAGATCTTGGGGAGGGTGAATGGATGGATGGGTAACAGGACACATCATCTTCCACCCGCAGGGAATATGGATCGACGGAACAAGAACCAGGAGCCAGCTGAGCTGAGGTCCTTCCGGATAACAACAGCACCACAAACAGCAGCAGAAGCAGGAACAGCAACAACAGAAACAGAACAACAGCACCTGTCACCAGTCAGGAAGAGATAGAACCAAGCCATCTTAATAGCAGTGACTGCTTTTCTATACCGTGTACATACATGTCTGTACTCGACACGTATGACATATCCACGTGGGACAAACAACAAACGAGGTGGAATTACAACTACCCATTCTCATTGACTTATCTGTCTGCCAAGTTTCCTTATGTCCTGGAGACAGTCCACACCCGGGGCCTGGAGACCCAACAACTTTACTGACCTTCAAACGAGTTATGTTTAGCAGCGAACCATTCTCTCCTTGTGAGCCCTCGTTTCTTTCACTTCGGGTGCGGCGTTCTATCTGTTACCTTGGAATACAGCAAGCCCTCCTCACTCAGTTTTGACGACTGTGACTTCTCCCCTGCTTCAGAGGCGCGTCACACAAAAGCTTCGTTTTGTGCCCGAAACCCAGAAGACGCCCCAACAGTCCTACCCTCTCGTCCCTCCAAGAAAATTGTCCAGGATTCCCAACATAAACAACAAGAACAACAGCAACAGCAGGCTTCACCAGTTCCCCGGTAGGCTGATCAACCGTCAACCGCCCGTCTTCCACCATGGCCCGACCCGGATCGATCCAGTGCAATCAGTCTGCCTGCACCAACATATCCGCGCAAAGAGAGTGAACTGTCCTCGGGGAACCTTGAGGAACTACCGACAATAACCCAGGCTCAAGTGTCTGGCGTTCCATCTCCCACCCCCGACCGAAGTCTGAAAAATTCAAGAATGGGCATTAGTAGAGTCATTCAGCATCAAAAGTTCGTTATGTATACTTCTTGTTGCGATGCTGAACGTGCACGCCCTTGGGCAGGAGGTTCTTGGTACATACATTGCATTCACTGCTCAACGCTTCTTGCAAGTTCGCTTCGTGTCAACACTTCACATCCATTCTCAACCTTGACCACTTAAGCATCTAGATAACTCTACAGTATCTATAGACAGACAACTTCCACCGGCCATTCCATTCACCGAACAACCTGTGATGGTACACACTCAAATCTACCCGTATCCCATCCGCCCTTCCACTCAAAACTCCTTTTCCCTTACAGACTCCCTCCCTTCCTTTCCATTTCCTCTCCTATGCCCCGCTCGCTGCCTTTCCCCCTTTTCCTCCCATTTCCCCCATTCCCTTTTTTTGTTTAACTCTTCCCTTAAACCAGCCCCAAAGACACCGGGGGACCATGAAGACCGAAGACCGAAGACCGAAGACCGAAGACCGAAGACCGTCATCATGCAATAAAAAAAACCATCTGTTCATCGTGTACTTAACAGAGGTTATTGCAAGATGAGTATGATGTTGGAAAAAAAATGGAACGACGCCAAAACCATGTTGATAGAGACGTAGGAAGGAGGTGTATGTTTGTGAACCTGTGAACCGTACCCTTTCAAATGCCGTGCTGCTGCTGTTGTTCCGTGCTTTTTTCTTCCCCTGGGGGAATGAATCCTGTTCTCCTTGCTTTGACCTCCTGTTGTTCCGTTTTTCTTTTCCCCATTCTTCTTTGTCTTTTGTCCCTGTCCTGTGCCTGTGCCTGTCTATACTTGCCATTTGCCTGCCATTGTGGGTGGTGGGAGAGTTTTCTCTTCTCTTCTCTTCTAAAATGCAAAGCGGTCAAAAATGTAACAGAAAACAGAAATCTATCAGTTCGTTTCACAAACACACAACGCAACACAACACAACACAATCGACCGACCCGATCCGACCCCAAAACCCCCCCGAGCCCGGTGCTCATGATTGATGCAACAGTCACTCTTGCCACTCATATTTCCTATGAGAGGCCGTCTGTGACGAAAGAGAAAACGCGCAAACAATGTGAAAACGAATGTAAACATGAAAAACAGCCCTAAAAATGATGACGCCATTGATGCAAAACTGCTTGCTGTTGGATGTTGGAACGTAATTTGGTGCATGAACGTTAGTTGCCATCCCCCATCTCTCTTTTTTTTCTTTATAACCGAACCGACCGCATAATCGAAGCGAAGCGGTGGGTGATATCTGACGGCTCAACTCGCCTCCCTCGTAACTTGTCGTTTGTCCGAAGAGTTGCATCGTACCCAGTGAATGAACCTGAATGAACCCGAACTTCCGCGGAATGCCTCGGGTGATGTTGCTGACCAATCGCTAAATCCTCTCTTGAAAAGGCATACCTGCCGTACCCAGGTCCTCCATTGGTCGTGGCCGCCACCATAATCTTGAACGCGATGTATCGATCAACTGGCTTTTTGCATCGGTCGATCGCTGAGGCCTTGTTTGGAAACCATGAGGAGCGCTTGGTGTTGGCCCGAGATGATGCCGTAGTCTGATTGGTTTCCATGTTGCCCAAGTCAGGCCAAACAAGTCGGGACAGTGACCTAAAAGGCGGCACCGACCAGTCAATCAACCAAGAATCTGTGTTGTGCTCAATGACCTTCGTGTTTTGGAACGCTTGCTGACTCCCTTCCGCTGCTCGTCCAATATCTTCTCCGGCAGGCGAACATTCAGAGGCGTTGGGTAGTGACCTTGAGGTGAGTGGTCCGAATCTCATTTAGTTGACAATCGTGGTGACAGCCCTGTTAAAGCCAAGAGAGCCCCATGATGTTTTCAGTTGCGTATCTGAGATCAAGGGCAACTGGGATCCGGAACATCGAACTGAAAGTCAATGCCGGAACAGCGCCAGGAACCAAGGGATCGGGGACGTCAAACATGATGCGAAGTCGTTGGGCTGATCGATCCAGTTCATCCAGAGAAGCAGGTAATGATATTTTGGCCACACAATCGAGTCCATGGATTTGATGAGTACACAAGAGGCGGTCCTGGGATGTTTGGTATTCACTTCATTTTTTTGGTCTTCTCTTCATGCCAGAGGCTTGTACATATACCGAACAGGTATAATATATCGCAGCGCCTCTCAGTTTCCAGTCTGGTCCTCCCAATCACAACACGCTTAGGTCCGCAAGGCTATGCTCGCAACTTTCCGCGACTCAACGAGACGTTCGAAAAGAGTCCAGGCAACGCCTCGGAGACCTTACCCATCAGGGCTCCAAACCACCACCGATCTCGAGACCTGACGAGTATTAGCTTGTAGGGCGACAGTGAATAGCACATGGCTAATCAGCACATGCCGTAACAACGCTAACGTATGACATCCAATACGCAAAACGTGAGGATTCATGGGAACTGGTTTGTAATGCGAGCAACGCTCGCGGATATTATCGGACCCGAAGACAATGCTTTATAATGCTAGTTGCTCGGATTCCATGGCGGTGCCGGAGGGATCTGGCCAGGTAAATAAATGATTTTTGTTGGTTTTGGTAATTTTGTTGATGAGGCTATCGGCTAGCCAGCTCACTCCGACAGGGGGGGGGACGAGGGGCGGTTCGAATCGATTGTCGTCAGATACTCCAACCGCTCGGCTTCTTCGCTCTTAACCGGCGTTTCCTAAGCACGGGTTTGACTGCGTTCGGGACCTGAACCACACCATTAGATCAGAACACATATTATGTAGGACGAAATTTGAAATGGGTATGAGGCTGCGCACCGTTCTGGAACATCTGGGACCAATCGGTACCGCCCGATCCACCGAACATTTGCATGCCATTCTGCTGCTGGGGCATGCTGTAGTTGGCAAGCTGGGGGTTGATGTTGGCGGTCATGTTGTTGTTAACCTCCTGACCGTTGTAGGTCTGATCGAAGCTGCCTCCGCGAGTGGTACCGCCCATAACGGAACCAGTCATGCTTCTCCTGTCGCGATTCGCGTCGTCAATCCTATTGATGCTGCTAGATCTCGACAGTTGATCCTGGTTGTTGCCCATGTTGTTCATGCTATCGGAGGTGGGGATGAGACCAAAAGGGTGGACCATGCCGTCAGCGGTCATGTTGCCCATACCATTCATGTGGTTCACATCGCCACCCTCACCCATAGCCTTTTGTTGGGCCTGCGCATTCTTCTTGACATGGGCCTGGGGGTGCGACAAATGGCTGGCGCCAGTGGGGTTACCGCGACGAACGGAGCACTTGATGAAATGACGCTTCAAAATATCACTTCTCGAGAAGGTATCACGGCACAAGACACACATGTAGGGGCGGTCGCCGGTGTCTGCTCAACTGTCAGAATACTATGACTTGGAGGAAAGCTTTGGGAGATGGAACTTACGGCGGAGTAGATGCCTCTTGAGGTGCTTGGCATGGAGGTAGGTTTTTGTGCAGTGCGGGCAAGGGAACTTGCCATCGGCATCCTTCTGGGGAATCTGGTTCTTAGCAGACGCGCTGCCGGCAGCCGGAGCGGCGGGCTTTCCAGGCGCGCTAGGAAGAATGCCTCGGCGTCCCTGGGAGCCAACCACGTGGGTGGGCTGATCGCCCTCGGGAAGCATTGACGCTTGAGCGGCGATGAGTGGGCTCTGGCCGTAGGGAGAGTTCATGCCGGGCTGCATGACTCCACCAGCCGGCATCGGGCGGAGCACCGGGGGTACACGGCCGTTAGCCGGGGACGGGGCCGGGGCAATGGGCTGGGGATGCGAGGCGGCGGTGGTGGACTGGGGCATCATGGCCGAAGATGTCGCGTAGGACTGCTGGGGATACGGGTTGCTGCCCATCATGGGATAGCCAGCGCCGCGGCCCGCGCCGTTGGGGGGAGGGGGAGGGTAGCTGGCCATGTTGCTAGTAGAAGCAGGCGTGTTGGGGGTTGCAGTTCTCGGGGTGTGAGGGTAGCTGCCGTAGGAAGGAGGTTGCTGCATGACCGTGTTGCTGGGCTGGAGAGGAGGCAGTGTCTGCGGGGGGGCAGTCGCGGTGGATTGTTGTTGCTGGAGCTGGTGCGGAGAAATGGCTGAAGGCGAAGGATTGTATGAAGCTGCCGACGTGTTTATGACATTCGTCGAGTAGTGCGGCAAACCTTCCATAATCCGTCTCGAAAATTACCCTGAAGCAGCGAGCACAGAAAAAACCATCCGGCAACTGGGTGCGCGAATAGGGTTCTTCTGGCGACTCTTTGTCTCGGTCTTGATCTTCAACGGAAGGCGCGTTGGCTGGAGAGACTCCTGAAGACCAATGGCTCGGAATTGGGTAGCAAGGCAAGGAAAAGACCTGCGTTGCGCTTGTTTGCCCGACGAATGCACTCGAGCCCGTTGTCGGTAAAAGTCTGACAGTACCGTCTATGGACAGTTATGCGACGACGCTACAACGTTGTTTTTGGTGGTGCGACAGGCCGCTGGGGGAGATTTCGTGTGTGGCGGTGGGAGATGAAGCTGCGATCCAGTATCGTGGTTGATGCCGGCGACGAGCTTGTTGGAGGAGTATACACACGTAGAGGTGGAGAATGCCCTAAGCCTGAACTTTGGGTTGAGGCTCAAAAGGAAAAAAGATTGGTAGGTGGAGAGAAAAAATGGGCGGAGGACAGAAGTGGAGCCTTCGCTTTTTGTAGGTGCCGCTGCCGGTCACCCTTTTTGTATTCACTGTGAGAGGTACAAGGTACGAAAAATGTGCTAGGCCCTGCCTGTGCGCTGGTGAAGCTGCGAAGGGGGGAATCGGATGAGTGGATAGGGTGGGTCTTGCACCCTTGCGTAGCCCGCCAGCTCCAATCACGTAGCGCAATTGAGGTACGTACCCTTTTTAGGGGGTTCAGGATTCCAGCGAGGATATTTTCACAGACCCTCCTCCAGATTGGACTGATTGAGACAGGAAATAAAAGGAAATAACAGGTCCGGGCATCCAGATGGTGACTTGTAAATGTCCACACGTCTCCGATGTATAAAATTTTGTGAACTTGCTGCTGCCGCTGTTGCTGCTTCATCATTGCTATTTGTCTATCTTTACGCCACTTGCTCTTGGTGCGGGAGGTGCTCGAACAGCCCGGTGCTGCTGATGCTCGTTCTACTTCGACGGACAGAGTTCGAATGTCACAGAGCGCAGAAACGTGAAGGGGAAAACCAGGTGGTTGAAACGAACACAAAGCGGACATTGAAGGCAACTGTCGGAGAGCGAGCACGGAGAGCAGGGGTTCCTTCGTTTCGGGCACGCCCGGACCAGAGAGACGACAGAGACAGAGAGAGAGTTGAGGTTGCCAGTCACTTCACACTATCGTTCGACAACAATCGCGGTGTGAATTGGGAGATGGTGTTTTGATAGTGTATTGTGACTTGCACCGGTGTGTTTGAGGGTTCTATCCTAGAGAGCAGAAGCGGGAATTGCCGGGTCGGATTCAACGTACAACAGCATGCAATGTCATCCACCACCAGACTGTTTTCATCCGGTCTATCATATAACGACTTGGGCGTACAAACCTGGAAGGGAGAAGAGGTGTCCAAGGCGGTTTAAAAGCTGCCACCATCGTCTTGGTATCCTAAGGACTCTGGGCACGATGTATTGAGTCCTCGACCTCCTTGTGTTACTACTCCTATGGCAACGGGAAGTCGAGGTTTGGCGATTGATAGTCAGCCTCTGGACAACTAGAGACGCGGTTGGAATCGCGGTGTTTTCAGTTTTATTCGATTCCAGTCGCGCCATTCTGATAGCTCAGTTCACCAGAGTCTAGCAACGACCGACAAACGATGCTATCTGTTTGCTGGCAAATTGGGGTTTAACTTCTCACCCTTCAATTCCCTATACCCTTTCCTTTTCATCATCATTCGAGATCACCGAGTTAACCGTGACGGTGAACCTCGAACGGAAAGAATCTGACAAAGTGACCTCATGGATGCACAGTGTAAGAATGTGGTTAGATTGCGCGAGTTTCTCTTTCGCAAGGTACATCTCTGTACCCAAGCTATTTTAGCGCTGCTTTTGCGTCGCATTGTACCCTACGGTACTTCCGAAACGATCGGACCCCTTGGGCCATCGTAAAGTTACGAAAGTTACATCCTGGACGAAGTTACGACCTGTATTTATTACGCCCCTCATTCTTTGACGAAGGCCTTGCTAGACGAAGACGGATTGTCAGTTGTGGCGGCAAGTTGCAATTTCTCCCCTTCGATTGCGGTCGAGGCTTACGCAAAGCCATCAAGGCTTTTCTTAGTAATGGCTTCACAGTGTTCTATCTTGGTCTGGAAGCGGGAGGTGTATTTGTTATGCGAACAGATCGAAATCTTGTGGCGCCCATTGTTTCGATTCGAGTTCGTACTGTCTCGTCTACAAACGCGAGTTATTTCTGTCCGCCATAGGAAGTGGTAAATCCGGACTGTCATAGCCGGTAGCGCTTTTGTGTTCAAGCGATGCACTATCACTGCCACACCCAAAAGTAAGCGCTGTGATTGTTCTCGGGCGAAGAAGCAGCAGTGCAGAAGATCAACGACAACGTTCCAATCAGTTGAGAAGGATTCGCTGAAATGGTGGTTATGGGAGGTCGGGCATGTTGAGCCTGCCAGAGTGTCCGAGATCTACACATACCGTGGCGCTCTACTCTGGCAAGTTGGGTTTCCAGTTGCGAGAAAGTGTCCATGTGCTTCCATGACGAGCTCAGCCCGTAGCTGACTAACGACATACGATGTTGGAAGAGACTGAAGATGTCCCGGTCTTCAATCAGTTTTTCGCCGTTCGTATCTGAATGTTTCCATAGACACTCTATCATCTAAGTTCTTAAGAGTTTCTAGGCTGTCTATCGTGTTAACTAGCCAGCCGCAACAAGTTAACCAGATCATAGTTTTACAAGCGCAGTTGGAGTCCGAAAACCGTCTACCAAGCGTCCCGCTCGTAGGGAGCAGAAAAGTAGTGGACTAGTGCCATGTCCGCGCCGATCCGTGGGCTTCCAAACAGGAGCGCATAGAGACATATCAGACTGTCCTGGGTTGGCTCACAACACTGGAGGAAGGTTGGCAGCGGTAATGCGGGCAGGTTGATGGTCCGTTACCGTAATAACACCAAAGAACAACAATGCGGCGCTGGAGAGGGGTGTAAAAATTATAATAGAACTAGAAGCAACCAACTCGCCGAAACAGCAGAACAGAAGAGAATGAAGGAAAACCGCGCATTACCATCCGCAGTAGCGCTTGCGCCTCTCCCGAAAGCAAATCCATGTTGGGATGGGATTTTGCAGCATGATCCCCGACGCAATGGACATCCATTCCTCGAAGAGATATCGACGACGGCGAAGACAGCGACAAGCAGGAACAACTTGATTTGCTGGCCAACGGGTCTACTTGGCCGTACTCGCCGTACGTCTACGTTAGTCAACATCACGTCTTGGGCCAGCAGGGACCAGGTCTCCTGCGAAGAAGCCAGGCCGGCATTTGGTAGGTAGACGCTGATTCTCGGGCATGTCGCTGATTAGCCTGCTGCGCTTAGACAGAGCCCAGAAGTCCCCGAAGGCAATGATGCCCTGTTCGCCTGTTCATCGTCAGTATCAGGTTGCTGTGGTGAAGAGACTTTGGTAGCTCGCTGATAGAGTGGCAATGGTAGTTGTCTTTGTTGACTTGACTGTTTGATACCTCTCATCATTCGCGTTCTTGTTCATCAAGTCTGAACAAGGGGAACCAATAGAGAGTGCAGAAGTTGCGGTGAGGGTCCGGTTCTCCCACACTCGCCAGTTCCTCTGCTCGAGGCACCGTTTGTGCGAGGTACACCAGAAGTGCCCCGAGATCTCTGTTATGTACGCGTAGTTCGCGACTCGGGCACTGTAAGCCCAGAGGGAGGGCCTACCTTTACGAACAAATCTGTGTACGGCAACCTTTCAGTACGCTACACCGACTGTATACTCGGGTGATGCTAGCGACTAAAATGCCGCTGCTGCATTTTGGCATCTCCGGAAGTTTTCAGTGAATCCTAGTCCCCGGTCAGCCCGATACTCTGGAGATATTATCATCAGCCCCAGCTCTGGCCCAGAAATCTCTTGCTGTGTCACCCACGAAACTGTGGCTTTGGACAACCATGACGAGAGCTCAAATTGCACAAAAGAGCAACGTCTTCGGCGACGGGAACGCTGTAACACAAACTCGATGCTGTTGCAAGTTGAGAGATGAGACTGCATCTGTCGGATGGGTCGAAGATTTTCTGGCAGATTGGTGGGATGATGTGCAGCATCAACGAGTCAAGAGTCGAACGAAACGAGCCTGAAGAGAGGGCCCTGTCCTTGTCTTTTTCTTGATCCCTGTCTTCTGATGGCCTGTCTTGATCTGTGAATGGCTGCGTTAGCAGTTGATGCCGAACGGTGAGGGGGTTTTGGCTTGAACAGGCTAGCACTGTGATGGATGTACCGCCCGTACCGTTCCATGGTCGACGATGAATGACGACGACCCAGACATGGGAGGGTGGTGATGACCGACGCCAGGGTGATTTCGGGTAATTTCAACCAAAATTACCACGAGATTTCGAGAAGTCTACAACAGTCGTCGGATGCCTGCTTGCACCGAACTTAACATTTCCACTTCGTAACCGACAGAGAGCACAGAAATAGGGGCTTGATAGGTAGCGGTTGATTGTTACCTTGGGCGCCGAGGAAGTTCCGAACATTGTTTACCCTATCGCTCACCACCTCACCGTCGACGATAGTGCATCAATATGTCCAATACTACTGCTGCGTAGGTAGGTTTGGCTTGTTGGGTTTTAGGCTTTCTTGCATTGCTGCAAGATCTCATCAGTCAGATCTCTGGTTGCTGCGACACTGTCACAATGCGGCGGCGCGTTAGCCGCAACCGCAACCCGCACGCGTATCCGCGTAACCGCGTTGCCGTGGAGGCACCGTTGGAGGGCCCAATGATGCCCCAATACCCCAAGGACCCCTCGAGGACCCTCAGCACTGTCGCGTGCTGGCCAGCATCATTTTTCGTTGGAGGGATCTGGATGAATGCGATGCGAGCCGCTGCTGGTGTTCGGACTGGTGTCTCGAGTCTCACCAGTGGCGTCGTTGCCCCCTCCCAGTGCGTCGAAACGGTGTGTGTGCCTGTGGAGAGCTGGGCAGCAGGGCAGATCCGAGAATTGAGGTGAGGCTCTGGGAGGGTCCTGATCGTGAACCCACTCCTGCGGGTTCTGTGCAACATATAAAAAATTGGAGATATGAGGGGCATCTTGGGGCATTGGATCTTCCACTTCTAGAAGCCGGGTGAAACCCCCACAGAGGTTAAAACCGATTGCTGGAGCTGGATGTTGGAGTATCGATATCAAAAGCAATGGGCAACATCCATCGCCAAAGTGCAGAATTGTCGACAACACTCAATTGCCTTGCGAATATCGCTTTTCTCGCTTCAGGCTTTTGTGCGCCAATGTCGCAGCCATGTCCTGCCTGCCGCGGCATTTGCGACCGCCGTTACAAAGAGCATGCCACGTCGCTAGGAGACGAGTCAGGCTCATGACTGCACTGCTACAGTGCTTGGGCCACAGGTCGTGAACTGTCTCTGCGGTAGCGTCAGTCCATCACATGCGACTAAAGTTTCTTCGGTACGCGCCTTGCATTCGCAAAGGCAAAATGCAGAGCTCGTCGACGACGACCTCGACGAACGGAAGCTACCCGAAGGTGTCGAGCTTGAGGTGTCGTTGAAAGACCAAGTTCCCCACCTGCCCACCTGCCCCGCGAAGGACCCAACCTCCATCTTGGTCGCTTGGCGATAGATATCTGGATGCACGGCTACCTTATCAATCACCTGCTACGTTGGGGGGGTGTCCGAATTTGGATGCTTACCACTGGCGACCGTGAGCCTCCCACGACGGGAGAATAGTGCATCCTAAACCGGATTCTTGTGTGGTCACATTACTGCGTGAGATGTGTCGTCTTTGGCATTTTTCATCGAGTGAGAAACTGTCCAGAGACGTACAAAGGCGGCAGGCTGGCGTGTTCGGCGTTCGCTCCGTTCACATCACCTCCAACGACCTCCCACACCTTTTCCATCAGAAAGTACCGGGATGTACTGCCAGTCCCCTGTCTCGAAGGTAGGCTGGTGGCGTTCTTGGATGCAACACTGTGTCATAATGAACCCTCGTTACTCTCTCACTCCAACCACCTGGAAACGAGCGATGGAATGTAACCAGGACGATTCGACCCCCAAAAAAACGAGAGCTGGCATTGACGACGACGGATGGCGCTTTCCTGTGTTAGCATCTCCCACATCGGACCGCTGCCTTCCTTATAATTCTCATTTTCCAGGTACCGCGGAAGCGACACGATGAGTGGCTGTTGCCGACTTCTGCAGAAAATTCATCATGACAGTTTTCTCTAAAGGGCATCGCGTCGAACATGGTCCAATTGGAAGTCATGGAGGTCGCTTCCATGAATTGGCATTGTTCCTGCCAGTTTGACAAGAAAATGGTCGATGCACAACCGAACAATTTCATCACCCATCATCGCAGGGCATCACAAACAGGCAAGAACGGCTGGCTGCCGGCACAATATCCCGTGATACCTGCTGCAGTGCCTCTTTCCACCATAAAACAACTTCCTCGGAAGCGGAAGGGACGAGGTCGGAGTGTGACGAGCAAGTTGCGTGATCTTTGCATACACCATTCTGTCCGAGCTTTGCCCGAGCTTACGAAATCCCGAGTTGGCGGCACACTCTTTTCTTCCTTGTGAACCGAAGTCGATGATGGCTTACTTACAAGCCAACCGCAATTCCGCAACCGCGTGGTCTTTGTTTCTGTCTCTGATATTCAACCACCACATCAACTGCCCCCCACACCCAGGTTTCCCTGATGGAACGGCCAAGCGGGCCAAGATGCCCCCAAACTGGCCCCGGTCCAAACCAATCCAGCGGCGGCTCGAGGTGCTCCAGTGTTTCCCGTCTTCGTCTCCGGAATGACGGGCCATGCCATGGATGGGAATCCGCTCTTGACAACAACCCAACATTGCAGTGGTAAATGTGTATGCCATACCTGTACCTACAGGGCGTCGTTTTATAGCTCCGCTGACCCGTAGACGACGACGCCCATCTCATATAAACAAGGCCATTCTCTTGAAACACGCACCTGGATCTGGGACCAAAGACCCCTAATAATTGACCATCGAGCCATCCACCATCTTCGCCGACACACCGATGGCCATGCCAATTTCACAGGCCAAGCTAACTCGCCCATGATCTTCATTTTGCAGCAGGGTTAGCCAACCCTTTTACTCAACCGCTTCCTAGGCTTAATAACATCACATAACCAAGGCGGTTTCGTCCTAGAGCAGTCGGTGTCTTCCACCGGCAACTGAGGACCGTTCTCCGGAATGCCATGGTGAGGCGGTCCCTGGCTTTTCTCCCACCCTTCTCATCAAATGAAATGTTCCGACACCTGGGTTGGCTTCGCTCATCATTACACCGATGATCTTGGGGAGCGTCTGCACCGTGGTCCAACCTCTTTGGACATGTTGCACAGGCCGACAGAATTCAGAAAACCCGGAGTGTTCATCCCCGTTGCCGCGACACCCAAGCGTGCGAGTACATACAGTACACAGTACGGTACCGTAACGACACCTTCTCGAAGCAAGCCCTCGGCCCTTCTTCGTAACCCCCTGCGCTGCCGTCTCATCGCTGCAAAATCAAGGTGAAAATACACTCATCCCCGGCACCCCTTGGCGGTCGATTCATTTGTTCACCAAATGACGGGCGACTACGCCAAAAACTGATTCTACATCTCGCGGTAGAAGTGAATGAGCGAGCGAACCATCTGCGAGCTGCGACCTCGGCGGTGATTCCTGAAATGGAAATCCGTCTCGGCGTTTTAAATCATGGCTGATGATCGCCGCCGGGATCCTGCAACGCTAACACAGATGCATTGTCCAACCTCGGTCTGAGGGAACTCACGCGAGGATTTCACGGCCGCAACTTTGCAACCGCAGTTAAAATTTCGAAATTTCGACTTCGTTACGCACTGGCAAGCCTGGCCAGAGACATAGGGACCCTTCCAAACCCAAAAAGCTGGTGTTGAATGCAATTTGCGCAGGTCCGTCAAAGGGAAAGGGAAGCAACACCTTGGTGGTCATGACCGTGCTCCGGGCTGCAACAAATGGCCTGACAATCTGACCAAATCCCAGGTTGGCCGGTTGCTGAGTGTTCGTGATGTTGACCCAGGCCAGTAAGAGTTTCTGCCCGATACTCGAGATCATCAATGACCTGCGCAAGAATGCATACCGAGCCCCCCTTTTCAGCCAGCGCTACAGAGTGAACCAAAGAGTGCCGATTACGCCGATGCAGCAGTGATAAGCCTGCTGTAGGCGACCTATTACGGCATTTACTCGGCGTTGTTGCTGGCAACGAAGAACGGTGAAGTGAAGGACAACCGCCTCGTTGGCTGTCCACACAACTCATGAGTTCACAGCCTACGAGGCCTGAGACAATCTGAAGCTCTCCTGATTCGCATCATCTTGAGTCTATCAGAAGTTCAAGCTTTTGTGCTCCATCAGAGCGTATCCCACACGGGTGCAACGTCAAAGGTTCTAAGAAGCCATTGCCGACGGCAACTGCCCACTGGCAAGGGGCAACGGCAGCCGGAACAAACCGTTACGACCATCATCGACTTGGTTGCTCGCTTTGACTAACCCCACTTTTCTGGCCGCGCAACCATATCTGTGTCAGCCGTGCGAAAACTTACAAGGCGCATCACCAAATCCGCGTTATTTTGAAGTCATTCAGAGTCTCCAATCTAGTTAATTAATTAAGGTACTATTGAGGTTCTCAGAGTTTTTGGAATTAGTGTCGCCGTTTGCTACTATCTTAACGAAGAATTGGACAAGTGGGATGCGCTTCTCGATAAACTGGACAAGGGAGAGCAAGTCTACGATTTATCTGAAGAGTAACAGACCAAGAAGCGAAAGCGTCGCGGCGGATCACAGGGAAGTCGCAAACGACGCAACAACGATCCCATTGACAGCGGCAGTGGCAGCGGTAATGACAACGATAGCGACGGAGATGGCGATGACCTCAATTGAAGTACGAAAGAGGCTCGCGAATGCACTTGGCGATGTGAAGTTGGCGGGCGCGGTTGGGAGCCAGAGATTGAATTGATTGGCTGCACACCTAGAAAAGTGGGTTTAGTCTAGCCACGCATCAATTCTAGTCTAGCCATCTCTAGTCTAGCCATCTACCGCTTTTTTTCATTCAACTCGGATTTATCCCCACACTATTTTGGCCAATTATGTGGTTTGCTGGCTGCATACCCCGTTGAGTCGTCAGCATGCAAGTCCTTCACCAGATGTGATTGGCTGTACAACGTGGGGATAAATCCGACGGGAATGGGAAAAAGCGGTAACCTTTGCGTGATTTCGGTGATTTCTCCCGAGTCGTGGCATCCACGCCGCGGCATCGGCCTTTCGCGGCCTGGTCCTTGCCAGGAATGCTCCACTAGGCCGGGAGAAGAGGTCGGCTCACGGAGGCCCCGACTGGTCCGGTTTGCCGATGTCTTCTTGACTCCCGCTTGGCGGTCTGCTGCAGGCCGGCCTCCTCGCTCCGTTGTGCTCAACAACGTGGCTAGCGCTGTTCTTCGTTGCTGTGAGAATGTCTGAGATTTTTTCTCCTTTGCCTTGGTTCGCTTGGCTTGCGTGCTGCATGTCGATTTTTCGACCAATGGCCATTCTCCCTCTGACACTTGTCAGTCTCTCTTGAAGTCTTTTGGTGTAACCATGCAACTGCCTGGCCCCCAACTCGAACCAACTTCAAAAATCTCTTTGCTTTTATCTCGCGGCTGTGATGACCAGGGGGCCAGCGGTATTGTAATCGTATCGCGGTAATCTTGGTAATCAAATCAGGGAAGTTTTTGTTGAGGTCCCCTAGGTAGGTGCCGAAGAAGCCCTAACCAAAAACGGTTTGGTCAGGCAAGAGAAGAGAACCAGAGAACAGCACAGGTCACATGATTTTGAGTTTGGTTGGATGTTGGCTGTTTATCAAATGCTTTTGGTCGCCGAAGAGAAAGCACGCCAACGCTTCATTCGTCCTCATCGAGCGAGTTGACGTTCCAGGTGGAATTTGGAGACCCCCCCCCCATCTTCCCCTCTTTTTGCTCTCCAAGACAAAGGGACCCAAAAGTTCCCAGTCCCTTGGTGACGTGGTGTTTGGTGGTGGCCGCCCGCGCCTTATACATGTACCAAGGTGGTAAATAGAGGGGTAGCTTCAAGTGAGGTCAGGCACCGCACCATCCATCCATACGGCTACGTGGGACACTACATGATCTAGCAGCTCGGCCGCTGGAGCAGCAAGAATAAAGAAGGGGCTTAAAAAGTGGTTCGCGCGGGAGCGAGTGATGATGGAGGGGAACTTTTTTTTTTTTGGAGCGTTCGGCGCGGGAGGGGCGGTGGGCGCACCGGGGAAAACTGGGACTTCTTCTTCTGCCCACCCCCACCGCCGAGGATCGCACATGTGCAGAGCCCAAGCAGACGGGAGGGTCCACGAAAAAAAAATGGAGAGAGTTTTCCATCGATCCCGTCCACCCACAGACAACCCGCTTTCGTGTCCACCGCCCACCGCCCACCGCCCACCGTTCACGCGTTTCCTTCCTCCACCAGGCCCAAACCCACTCGAAAAGCGCCCGCATTCCCACAATTTTTTTGCGAATCGACTTTTGCGGGCACGCACAAGACACCCACATCACGTCCAAACGGGAGGGGATGATGGGATGGCAGATGCCAGATGCCAGATGGATGGATAGAGTTGCTCGGAAGATGAGATGGAAGGCTGCCCGCCCCGATGGATAGTGCACCAGAGATCTCGGGAACTCCACTGGACCCATGAGTTTAATGACACCCACGAGCCCACGAGCGAACCGCTGGATGGATGGGCTGAACAACGGTCGAGTTTGCCGAACGCTGGTGGGCTGTGGATTTCCAACCACTCCAACAACAACCTAGAGATCAGATCACTGACTGCACACTAGAGGTTAGGTATCGTATAAAACTCCACTATCTGCAACGACGACTAGGTACCATCGTTACGGATGTCTCTCTACAGAAAATTGTTTAAAGACACTGGGACAATGCAAGAAGACAAAAGCCAAAGGAGCCAAGCATTCTGCGTTTCTTTTGACATAATTGACATGGGCGTCTATCATTCACCGCATCAAATCCCAAGACCCCAGAACCATGGAACTCGGCCAGATAGGGGCCAAAGGGGGAAGGTGAAATGGCACCACATGACCATAGTGTCTTTTTTATTCCCTCGCTCTTTGCTCGCTACAAACTCAAAGAGACGACAGACAGAGAAACGAAAGGCAAGCTGTGCCAAAATGCGAACCTTGACGGCCAGCCAGTGATTGTGGTAGCCTGGCTCACTAGACTGCCAGATTGGCTAGTATCAGGCCTCGAAAAGGGCCCTGTGCTAGGGCCTGTTGGCGTTGCTTGGTGTGTTGCTTGGTGTGTTGCTTGGTGTGTGCTTTTGAAGGACCCTTGATCCTGGGTTGACGACAACCATTCTCCCCAACCATTCAGGCTGGAAAGAAACGAAAGGACTTTGATGCTCCTGGACTCTGGCCTGACTCCTGGGCTTCCATGAGTCGTTGTCGGTAGCAGACAAGACATGCAAGAAAGTGTGGCATGAATTTTGAGCAAGAAATGATGCTTGCTGTCTGAATGCATGGCACAAGAGAAAAGAATCATGGCAATGCATTGATACCTTTCTCATGTCAAGGACTCGCTCAGATCAGTAAACATGGACATAGAGCATGGGCCAGCCATGTAAAATGAATCGTTCGAAATGTTCCGGAAATTTGTCTTGGCGGCGAGGGGGTCTTTGAATTCCGCGAAATCACCAAATCACCATTTCACTCACGACATCGCCTATGGTCGGGGACAATTAATGTTTTGAGGTTTCAAGAGAAGATAACAAGCATGTGACTGACACGACTTGACGGGCCGGCATTCAGGTGTGAGAACACGGCCCGGAAACTGCTTGGTCAACTGGACCTGGTCGACTGGGCAGTGATGCTTGTTGGCGCCGTTGTTGCTGGTCAAAGTCATACCAGATGGTATTTTATGATCAGATTACGGGAGTGAGATAAGGTTTCTACATACTACGACGTTGCTACGTTGCATGGTAACAACGCTTGGAGAGAGACCGAGAAAAAAGTCTTTGACAATACCAATAGGCAATATGCCAAAGACGAACGAACGGAAATCTGTTCACTTCACAAAGAGATCGTCCGACTCAAGTCCGAAGTCATTAGCTGTTCTCTTTCCTATTACTCATGTCTCTCTGGTTGGCGCGTTTCAAAAGACATGACTTGAAAACTTGAGAGCCTACCATAGACTCTATATGCATGCCAGGTCAGTTAGGTGTAGTATATCTCACCTAATTGTTTCAACCCCTTGATCGACATTCGACCATTTCGACACCGAGGTAAAAAGCCGCCAGGCAGTTTAGGTATTTCCGGTCAAATGAACGACTGGGATTTCTCTCACAGCGAATCCCATTCTAGAGGGGCGTCTACACGGCATCAGTACAGCGCATATTGTCAGAACTAAATCTCGTTCTTGGATGCTTGGCTCTCGAACAGCAAGGCAACGGCAAGGGAACGGCAATGGCAACGCAATGGTAAACCCGAGTTCACCAAGCCCAACTCGCACAAAAAACGAGGCGAACGAGGCGAGACAGACAAGACAGGCGAGACAGCCGCCGTCAAAAAGATTAGACTACCTTCTTTGGTATGGCTTACTGAGACTACACATGCTTCAATGCCTGCCTGTCTGTCTGCCATGCCACTCTCATCACTGTTGCTGTTACTTGCCGTCAAGCTCTGAGCCTTGTTGACGTGGTACAAGGAAAGTGGCTCTTTGCTTTTCTAGGTAGTTCTCAACCTTAATGTCTTCTGGTCAATTAAAGACAAGAGGAGAAAACCTCCGCCGATTTGCATAGCATACCATACCATACTTTAATGTCTTCTGGTCAATTAAAGACAGAGGAGAAAACCTCCGTCGATTTGCATAGCATACCATACCATACCATACCTAGGCAGAATGGCAGAGTGATGAACCGCACATTACAACCATACTATGCACACCTAGGTGCCTGACCTGAGTTGACTGCGACTTTGAACTGTTTGACCTGCCAACTGCGTGGCACAATACCTACCTATGTATACTACACTACCACAGTGAGGAGTAGTGACTACCACCTCACTTACTCTCGAGAGCCTTCAACCTATAGCAGAGCTGAGCTCGCACAAAAGCTTACATTCTACAAAAGACAGACGGAATCTTCCGATAGGATCACTCACTCACAAGGGACAATAGGTACCTACCTACCTACCTACCTACCTACGAGCTGTCTGTCGTGGAATCGCACAATTCCTTTGCCATGTTGTGGCGGCTAGGAGGGGAAAATCTCCCATTGCTTCGATTTCGCATCGAACTAAGGATCTTTGAGACATTGAGGGACGAAGAGGACCCTGCATCCATCCCACTTGCTTCCCGACCATATGTACATACCCTACCTCGCTACCAAACTTTGTTAAATCGATCTAACTGGCTCGTGATGCGTGATGTCATGGCAAAAAAAGAAAAGGGCAAAGAAAAAGAAAAAGGGTAAAGAAATCGGCATCAGAGATTTCACACCGTTTTCGCCAGCCAGATTGCCCAGATTAGCGATGGTCACTAACTACTGTGTACTATGTAGATGGAGTGATCAACAGCGACTTAAGGGGGCCCAAGGGGGTCGGTCTTTGATTCTTTCTAAGGGGTGGTAGACACTACACTACCTTGGCTCCTTGGCTTGACTAGCAGGAATACTAGGTACCTAGTCGATCAAGCTGGTCGACCGTCGAGATGGTGTAGTAAGGCTTTTGTAAGCGAACCAGGCAGTTTGTGTTGGTTGTTGTAGATCTAACGGTGGAAATGGCGATTCTTCAAGCTTCAATCGCAAGTGTGTGTACCGGAAGGTGACTTACTACTACCAGGAAGTCAGAAGTGATGATGAGAGCTGAGTAGGAGGGTAGCTACCTAGCTGGACAGGGTCCGCGCCGACTTTGCGCGGAGTTCGCTCCGCGCAGATTAGGTATACTCGTCGTAACGGTTAGGTGGGAACGCTTGCAGCCAGCCAACCAACTCTGAAGGGACAGTGACATTGACACATTGACATGTGCCAAGTAAACAACAAAAAGCAATGTTGTCACCTTCAGGTAGCTTTGTAAAGAAGAGGGCAAGTCGGAATTTGTTCCGGAGCCATGGGTCCGCCAACAACAAACACACTTTGTCAATCAAGGAACGATCAAGGAAGTTGCCGTTTTCCTCGCTCAGGGTATCTGGAATAGAAATGATTGAAGTGATGGAGGTATGATAAAAGTTCCTGATATAGATGGGTGGTGAATGAAGTAGTATCTTACAGGAACAATTCACATGAACGTGAGCACGAGTTTGGACTTGAACTTGACCTTGGATTTGAACTAGAACCTGAACTTGAGCTTGAACATCAAGATCGAGATGTAAACAAATGCAAACGAAAAAAGGAAAAGGGAAGCGGGGTGGCGAAGAATGAAGATGAATGTCAAAGAAACCATATTTGAATGTCCAGGAAGTAGTTACAATAGGTATCGTGAGATTTGTCAAGGGGCCGAATCAGGGAAGTTACATCACGGAGAACTTCCTAGTATGGTCTTTAGCAATCTGCCATAGCTACCGGATGGAAGGAAGGCACTGTCGCTCTGTCAGGTTCCTTCATCGTCGGTTCGACGAAAGAGGCCTCTGTCAGTTTCTTTGGATCAAGTCAGTTGAAAAACAGGGGGAAACAATCAGATGAAAGGGGATAGCATCCTTCAGCAAGAGCATGACGTCTACGTCTGCCCAGGAAGAAAGATAGCCAAGACCGTGTTCTCCTATTGCCCTCCTTGTAAGTATCGTCAGATCCATCGGAGGCATAAATGAGAAAGGGTGAAGATTCCCGAGAACCAGGTTGTCTCCGGTCGCCATACATGATCAACGTGAATAAGGATATGCCCCTGTAGTGAAGTGCTGGTAATAAGCTGGTGAAGTGCCGGGTTGCGGAAAGCAAGAAGAACAGGATGAGGTATGCGAAGTTGTGAGAAGGAGAATATCTTGAAAAGTCGGGGATGAGAACATGAATGTGAATACCTTCTCCCGCCTTGAACCTTTCCCAAGGTCCATAGTTTGGTTCTGAGGACGGTATCCCTCACTGTATGATCCGTCATGACCTCAAAACACCTGATGCGAAAGAGTATCTGCCGTAAAAGTTAAGAGCCCCCCATTCGTACACCACAGAGCTCGTAAAGAATATAGGTATCCATGGTAGGGGGTTGTTCATCCATTAAGCTCGCCATCTTCTCACATATCATATAATATAAGCGATAGATGACCAAAGGAGTAATGACAAGGTAACACAGACACAAACCCAGTTAACATCTGGTCCGCAGTCAGTAACTCCATCGTTGTCAATCGTTAGTTGAGACGCATCACATCACCTCTTCATGATGTATGTACTTCACTTCGACTTCAACTTCAACTTAGGCGTCCACTTCCACTTCCCATTCATTCATCCCATGTCGTTCAAATATCCAACACCCCCTCCACCTTCTGGCGGGGTTGTAGTAGTTGATTTAAGCTTAACTGAACCGAACCGACGGAGCTCCACGGATAGATCTAGACAGATCAGCCTCAGATCAGACGGAATAAACTCACCTTTTCATCTGCTCTCGTCATTCACTTCTTTTTCACTTGGTTCTTTTATCCACCAGAATCCCCAAAAGCTAAAGAAAAGAAGGTTTGAGCAATCAAAAGGTAGGTAGGTAACCATTCACTTGCGGCAGGAAGATTGAAAAGAAATGAGGTGGCTTGGGTTAATAAACCACGGTCAAGGAAGGAGTGACCAGAAACTGATCACCAGAGTACCTAGAAACTCAGCCAAAAGGAAGGAAGGAAGGAGCGAAATAACCGAGGATGTGCCTACCCCTAGCGGGAGTAAAAGCGATCTCTACACAACTCATATTTCAGCCCCGGACCGCAGCACTTCAAGGGTCATGTTCTTTTTTTGGGAAGAGGTGATGTGTCTGTGTGTGTGTCTGTCTACCTGCTTACATAGGATCTATTGAACTTGCTCACAACCTCAAGATGATCCCAGTAGGTACTGTATCGACACTTGAGCCCTCAAGTCCCCATGTAGGACTTAACGAGTGTCTGCTATTCAGTAACATCTCTGCATGTACCTGCTTTGCGGTGGTTTGAAGTCTCTTTGGGATAGAGGTATGGAGGACTGACTGTCTTGGGCATCATTGCTTATGAGCCGGGCCTGATATAATAATGAAAATGTGGTTGTTGGATGTGGGAGAGACACTGTCGTGGGGTTGGCCTCCGTTCAGGTAGTCGGGGGCGGACAGGCTTTCAATAACTCTCGGTGTTCTCAGAGAGGTTGCCTTGGTTGCGCAGTCGAAGTGGTCGGAGTCGACCCCGCATCCAGATTCAACAAAGAGAAAGAAAGCACATGACACAAGCTGGCTAACTAAGCAAATGGGTATCAGTCCTGCTGCTATCTATCCTACGAGTGAGTGTAAACATAACCACGCCATGCCATGCCGCTCTACCCTTTCATAATTTAACCAATTGATAACTCAACACCATCAAACAACAACAACTGCCACGCAGCCATACCGATTGTTACATGTCCTTTCTTGCCCTAATAACCCATCCCATCCTTGTATGTACTTGTTCCATGAAAAGTTTAGCCCTGGTACCTCCTTTTTTCTCCCTCATAATACCCCATCATGTCCAACGCCAAAGGAATCATCTCCGCCAGACTCTCCCCTACCCTTTTCCCCAATACGTTCCCATTTCCATGTCCATGTCCATATCCCTTATTCTTACTAGCAGCAGCAGCGGCCTTCTCACCCAACCCCTTACACACCGTCAAGAAAACCTCTACGTTCTTCCTGAACATGGCGTAAAGACTTTCTGGTGAGTCGGCGGCGTACTCTCCGTCTTTGCTGGTGGCCTGTTCTTTGCTTTTGCCTTTCTTGCTGGTGCTGCTAGTGGTGGTGGTGGTGGTGGCTGGTTTTTTGTTGTTGGTATTGTGAGAACGCATTAGTCTGGCGAAGCGCAGTATGACGGTGAAGATCTCTTCTAGAAGTTTAAGGACGGGCGTTTGTCGTTTTCGTAAGAAGAGGGCTGACATGATTTCGTCTAGACAGTGGGATTGTTTGTCGCTGACTAGGTCGGGGGAGCAGCAGGATTTTTTGTTTTTGGAGTTGGATGAGGGGTGGGAGGTGCCTGACCCTGTTTGTTCGACGCTGGCGCTGTCGTCGGCGCCGTGACCGTCGCTGCCGGCTCGGGTTCCGAGGAACTCAGCTTCTATCGAGTCTAACCACTCCTCGAACTGGTTCCAGATCGTGGTGATCCCGGAGTCGAAGAAATAAGCCGCCATTTTGCTAACGAAGTGGTTCGCCTCCGTGCAAAAGCGGATGGTGGCGTTGCTGAGGCGAGTGCGGCGGGCAAGCAGTTGGACGTCGCGGGAGAGGTGGTTGACTACGTATAGCATACGTAGAATGCGGAGCAAGTGCTTGTTGATGCGGTCGTACTTTAAAAGGACAAGGGGCGTCATGATATACTGCAGTCCTGACGGAGCCTTGTACGATAGACGTAGAAAGTCTAGCGCTTCTAAGCCGTCAGGGTCCATGCACTTGTTAATCTCCTCCGAAGTAAGATCGCGCACGGCGAAGCTTAGGTCACCGGGTAGATCGGAGCTGTAGGTGCGGGAAAGCATGGACTTGCCCGTTCCTGTCGCCTCCTCCTCTTGTCCGTCGCTGTCCTCGCCAGCGGGCGGCTCGTAGCAATCGGAGAGAACACCCATGAGCGCCAGACGGAGTTCGGAGCTGGCTGGTGGCCAGGTATCTCGGCCGCCTAGTCGGAGACCCATGACACCACCGCTGAAGGCAACGCCGGCTTTGCGCTCGGCGGACTCAAGGTCAGGATCGAAGAGGGCGTGGGAGAGACGACTGCAGAGCATCCCGTTGCCTAGGAGGAAGTATTGCCTCATGAGATTGGTGTGCACTCGGAGCTTGTGAGGGCCGAGGAGCAGTTTCATGCATTCATCGTTGACTAGCTTTGACTGGGTGTCGACGAGGGAGCCGAAAGAGAGCAATGGAACGAGGGACCAGTGTGGATTGAAGCCCTCCTCTTTGTTGGTGGGTTGATCTGACGTTGAATACAAGCGGTTGTGAAGCATGGTGGTGAGCTCATCGTCGGACTCGTGGTTGTCGAGAGGTTGAGCTAGCTGGTTGATTGAGGCGAGGACAGCAGCAGCGACTTCCTCCTCACTCTTTCCGAAGTAGGTGAGTTTGTACTCGTTTGGTTCGTGTGTAGTGGATGGACGTGTCGAGAACTGATCTCCTGATGCTGCGTTTTGCACCAAGCGAGTCACTGCAGCTTTGTACTCGTTCACTCTCATCTCCAACAACGTGATGGCATCCCAGGAGAATTGCCACTCGAGTTTGGGTGGCTTGGTAAGTGCGACGACATTTCGTTTTGAGAGAAAATGGTCTGGATGGTGCTCTTTGAGGAAGCGCAGATTACGACCAGTGTCGAAGATGGAGCGGGCAATGTCTTGAGGCACAAATGAAGGCATCCTGTCCTCATCTAGAAAGAAGTCGGGTTCCTCGAGCTCAAAGCCGTGGTCGTCTATCCACATCTTGTCGGCCACTTTGACAAAGGACTTCCCTGAACCCGTCTTGGATATTGGGGCGCCTTCTTCGTTCTTTAGACCGATCCATTCTTCGACGAATTCGATCCATGGCTTTGAGGCAAGCCGTAGCACCTCGCAGGTGACCTCAGGGAGTAGGCCACCTTGGTACTCAACGGCCTGAGCTTCCCGGAAGAGGCACGAGAGCATTCCCTCTTCCGTTTTCTCTTGTGCCAGCTTGTTGCTGAGCGTGTGGAAGTACGTTAGGATGGCGTGTGCCGGCATGACAACAGATTGTAGCTGAAGTATGGACCTGACAGCCTTACTGCGGGCAGCAACCTCGGTTTGGACAGCCAAGACCAGTTGATCTACCACTTTTGCTAGGGCCACGCTTGTTGGCGTGGGTGATTCGAAATAAGCCGACTCGGAGAAGATTCCAAGGGCCTTGACGGCATTTCCACAGTCAAGGCAAAGCTGATCCATTCCCTGTATCAACTGAACAGAGACACCCGAGATCTTAAGGTGGGGTGCCGTCTTGACAAACGAGCCCTTTTCAGAGTCCCACGAGAAGAGGACAGAGCTTCTCCCCTGTGCCAGCCCTAACAGACAGGCGTAGTACAAGGCATTGTCGAGGATATCCGGGACAGGCTCTGTGCCATCGTCCGGGATCTCGGTTATGAGCGCGTCAAAAGCAACAGGTCCGGCCTCGCTGATAAAGACAACATCAGATGGACCGTGGTGCGCTGTTGGATTGAATGCCTCCCAGGACTTGTACTCGGGTGTTTTGGGTTCGGCGTCGTCCAGTGTGAGCCAGTAATCCTCCTCGTCATCTAGATCAGCCGGGGATTCGCCCTTCTTCCCGTTTCCAGCACTGCCAATGCCATCGGAGAAGAGATCGTCAGACAGCTGGGGTTCATCGCTGAGAGCGGCCTCTCGCAAAACGGGAGGTAGTCTGAAGAAGCTGGTCTGGCCCTCTTCTTGTAGCGGGCGTTTGAGAGAATTCAGAGGTTTGTCTTGGTTTCCGAATGGAAGAAACTGGAAGGAGGAACCTGGTTTACGGTTAACATGATTGTCTGCACCAGCGTACATGCAGTCACATTAACATACCTGATATTTCCAAGTTGGGTGAAAAGAGAGGGTTTGCTGCTTTGTCTTGGTCCAAAAACCTCGATGACCGCCAAAAATTGGGAATTGCAAAGAGGTCCGCAGAAGTCTCCCTTTCCTCAGCCATTTTGCCTGATGCTTGTCGTGAGCATTGGAGGTGAAAGAGGTTGTTAATGCAGCAATTGACGGGTTAAGGATTCACCAAACAGTCAATGAGTGAGAACCTTGATGCGCAGCCATTCGAGGCACTAAAGACGAGTGACAACCTGAAGAACCACTAGCTAGTTCCACTTCTTCAGCAGCTCAGTCACAGAATCGACAGGTTCTCTTCACCTGTGCTTCACGTTTCTTTTTGAAAGACGATGTATCGTCCCTTGTCGTCTGTCGTGTCGCGCTGCCGGTCGCGTGTCGAGCAAGCGGCATCGAGTTGACGGGACGGGAGTGGACAAATCCAGGCCTAACCCCGCTGAAGTAAACACTGAGACAGCATGTCTTTAACCCCTGCAACAACACCAGGCTCTAGTAACATCCAGGTCATGTCTCGCCGCTGCAGGCGCAGGGCACTTTGGTACTTCTAGAGCAAGTATCTTCCTACCAAGCTGCCTGCCGTAATTTTGATAACCATTGATGGCAGTGAGCATCTGAGCTTCAGCTTCCACTTCTCAACTTTCTACCGAACATCAACCACCACAACATCCACGACCTGTCAAATTTTGGGCACAGCATAGCATATTTGTATATCGCTACTCAGATCTACCATCTGCGACGATGCCCCCAAAGAAAAAGGGCGGCCGCAGCAGCACGGCCGCCGCCACGCCGTCAACGGCCACACCACGAGATGACGATGCCATGGACATTGACACTCCAGCCGCTGGAACAACACCCGTACCTGCACCGCCCGCTGCCCAACCTCCGAAACCCAAGTTCGACCCGAACGACCCTTGGACAGATGATCAGGTCGCCTCGCTGTTCAAGGGTGTGATTAGATGGAAACCTGCGGGGAGGTCACAACCCAAGTAGATTTACAGTACCCAGCTAACACCCAACTTCCCTCCAGGTATGCACAAGCATTTTCGCATCATATCCATTAGCGAGCATCTCCGCAACCACGGCTTCGACCCGTTCAAGAATCCTCACACACGCATACCGGGAATCTGGGCTAAACTTGGGACGTTTTACGACCTGGATGCGATCGACGAGCGAGAGAACAGCCTTGACCCTCCCGAAGAATGGGGCAAGCCCCGGCGTTACAAAGACTTCTCTCTACCTCGCGACGACTACGGAGATTTGATGCTACAAGCGGCGCTTGCTCCCCCGGGCGACCCGCCCAGCAGCCCACCGCAATGGGACCCGAACGAGACAAGCGACGAACGTAAGAAGCGCAGGCGCACCGAAGCTGGTACCAAGACTCGCAGTAGTACTGTGGAGGATACGGATAACGAGACTTCTGCCCCTAGTCCGGTGCGGAAGTCGGCCAGAGGAGCCCGGAGTGCGAAGCGGGCAGCTAGCAAGGCTCGCAAGACGAAGGAGGAGTCCCCAGATGGAGATGAAAGCGAGGAGGAAGAGGAGGACGAAGAAGAGGAATCCGGCGATGAGGAGGAAGCATCAGACGAAGAGGAGGCCGAAGCGTCCACAGCAAAGACAGGAAGGGGAACAAGAGCTCGTCCTGCTCCCAAAGCCAAACCCGTTGTCCGTGGTCGATCAGCAAGACCTAGTCGCCGCTAGAAGGGGCCTCGCACACGGGGTGTTTCCACACGGGGTGTTTCCACACGGGGTGTTTCCACACGGGGTGTTTCCACACGGAGTGCTTCCACACGGGGTGCTTCCACACGGGGTGCTTCCAGTCGACGTGGCGCCGGTCAGAGTTAGCTGGTTGACTGGCATTCTAGAACGGAGGGGATGTTATCTCTTTCTCACTGCATTTGGGGCGTACTGGTGTTTTCTGGACGGAACCACAGGAGCAACACGCTACAGGGATGGATGGCTATGGCTTATTGATACATGTTCAGCATGATTAGATACCCCGGAAAGACACAAGTTTGTCAAATGGTTGAATTAGAAACAAGAACCATAGTACAATACGAACCATACATGAAATTGGTTTCACCCGTGATGTACAACTTACACCCCCGGACCCCTGTAATAGCGGCCCCACCACAGCCGGCAATCAATGCCCCGCAACGCGACTCTACGGCCCATGACGCGCCGGAACTTACAAGCCAAGCCCGCTGCCCTTTACGGACTTCTACCGGCTCTTCACAAACAAAACAAAACAACAACAGAACCGACCAGCCCATTTGCCCTCCGAGATCATGTCAGTCCCCGGAACATCCAATACGAGGCCGCTAACTCTTACGGAGGAGCTGGAAAAGCTCGAGCAGTCCATTACTTTGACGCTACAAGGTCCGGTCATGCAGAACCACAAGTCCGACAAACAAGCCATTGCTGACCTTCCGTCACAGAAATCGATTCCAACTTTAGCAGAGCGCATCGCATTGTCACCACCAACATCTTACCACTAGTCGAGCAATACGGCGAGCATTCAAAATCAGTCTGGGAATCAACCAAGGTTCGACATCTCTTCAGCGCCTCGCACAACCTCCAACTAACAACCGTTGTGTTCTTAGTTCTGGAAACAATTCTTCGAGGCATCGGCCAATGTTTCGCTTTCGGGATACGAAGAGCTTGCCAATGGCAACGAAACCACAGTCTTGAACAGCAACGAAGAATCAACATCCGCCCACGATCAAACCACCCCAGCCCGAACACCTCACCCCCAGAGCGCCGGTCGCAGCCACGACATAACCATCGAAGATGAATCGTCTACATTCAATGCCCGAGGACAAGACCAGGGCCGGCAGCGCACAACAAACGATTCCGTCTTGACTGATACTGGCGATGACCTCAGCGGAAGCACTCCTCGCCCACCAGCGACCAAATCGATACCTTCACGTCCTCAGTTCGCCAATCTCGACTCTCCATACGAGCAACTCAGGCGCCGCGAGCTCAAGGCTGCCGCCGAAGCAAACAAAACACCCGGTTTCGGTTCCGGTTCCGGCGGCGACGCCATGGAAGACGACGACAGCGAGCTCATCTTCCGACAACACACAGCCCGTCTACCCGACATGTCCATGACGCCCCACCGAGCCCAAAACACTCCCTTCGGCGAGCAACAACAACAACAGCGCGGCGGAACAGCCAACAAGGACCCCATCCTCCACCGAATGCCAGACAGGAACTACCGCGTTGGGGCAACACCACACAAAGGCCACCAGGCGAGCGGCGTATCCCCGATCAAGTGGAAAGTCACCGAGAAGAAACCCCTTCTAGACCCCAAGGGCAAGGGCAAGGCGAAGGAGGACAGACCACTATGGCAAGACTCCTTCATGTCCTCTCCCGAGATGGAAGTCCCCCAACTCCGTTCCGCGGCATTCATGTCCCCCATCCGCTCCGCCTACCGGGGTAACACCCGCGCTGCCGCCGCCGCCTACGCTGCCCGCACGGCGCCTCGAACACCGGGACTAAGCGTCCAGACACCGATGGCTGGACGCAAGACAAAAGATGTCTTCAGCGCCAATGCCGCCAACGCCACGAACGCCGGCAAGACGCCCATTCCCAAGGGGACGGTGGAAGCAAAGAAGAGATACTTGGAGGAGATCGATTGGGAGAGTGATAGCGAGCAGGATCCTTTCGGAGGGATGAGCCCACCGAAGACGATCCAGTTTGCGTTGCCGCCGTCGAAGCTGTTGCAGACGCCGGCGAGGGAGGCGAGTAAGAAGATTGTGGAGAATTTGCTGTTGACGGCCGGGGAGATGCCGGAGGAGTCGGAGTTTAGTCCGAGTGTGGTGAAGATGAATCCGGATTTGATGGATGAGACTTTCTAAGGGGTGGTCCGGGAAGATTGAATTTACGGGATAACGAATTATGATGGAAAAGTACTGGGATGAAGATGATATACCCCTTTTTATTTATTTTCGTTGACGAGTAGCAAGAAATAGATTTGAAGCTCAAAGCAGGCCCCCTTGGTACGCTATCCTCCTCTTTCTATCCCGGGTATAATAGGTATGCATTCCATCCATCCAGTTCCCAGGTGGTTCGACCATCATTCAAACCATGGTCCTTCCCAAGAAACGCAGTCAAAAAGCAAAAATACCCGCTAGCCCGTACCCGTACCAAATAAGACATAAGAAACGCCTCCTCTTAACCAATTCCCTTCTTTTCCTGACCATGACCATGCCTATACCACCATCCCCCGTACCCCAGCATGAGGGTCGGCACGAGGGAGGGAATCCTTCTTCTATCCATGCTCGCTATGCTGTTTCACGGTCTGTCTGACCCGAACAAATTTCAGGCCAAACCGCTCATCTTAACCACCTAGAATCATCTCGATCGCATCGTCTCGTCTTAATACTGCCAACCACAAAACCGAAAAACAATTAGTGCCCCATCCTGATTTGCGAACCGAGTAGAAATAGCCCTTGCTGGCTGGTGCTAGTCATGGGCTTGCTGGGCTTGCTGTTGCTACTCACGGAGGACTTGGTGTTGCTGTTGCTGCTGTCCGAAGACGACGGCGAAGAAGAAGAAGAGGAACCAAACGAGGAGCGGAACTTGTCCTTGAGGAGACTGGTTCGGCTGGAGAAGCTGGAGGTTGAGGTGGTGGATTCCGCGTAGTTGTTCTTGGCAGAAGAGGACTTGGAAGTGGAAGAGGCGAGAGCAGGAGATTGTTGCAGGGCGCGGGTGCCTTCGACGATTTGCATGGCGTGAGAGCGGGAGGTGGGGTGGGAGGGGAAGTTGAAGTTTGTTGAGGCGGACATTTTGATGGGTTTTTTGCTGTTGTTGGTTGGTGGTGGTTTGACGAAGAGGTCTTGATGGGGATGTGATGGTGTTGAGTTGGTGTTTAGTACTCAAGTGTGTAAGTGAAGCTTCCAGTTGGTTGGAGGAAGTAGTAGTAGTTGCTCAGTTGTGTTTTTGTGTTTTTGTGGAAGGTATAAGGTAGTACTTTGAAGTGTGAAGTCTGAATGAAGTCTGAAGCTGTTGATGATGAACCAAAAACAACAACATCCCGAAAGACGAGGCCAGCAACTCCTCTTATATATCTTGGACAACTCTCTACTCTCTTCCCCCCATCTCCCCTTACCCATCTGACATTGGATGATCACCAACCACAACAATACTTACGGTGAGGACTGAGGGTAAGGCCGACTTCGAACAAAGCAAAGCCACCCCCGGCCTTCTCTCCCAACCGCCATCAAAGTATCAAGGTATGTGGGGAGAAGGTATGTACACGTAGGTGAGTACGTACACCCACCTGGTAAGCACTTACATCGAGGGATGTGTGATAGGTGTACTGAGATAAATCCGGAGCCTACACAACGACGACGACAACAAGAATAAACCCCAGGCTCCAATGCTGCATAAACCACGTGGAACCCTGGTCAGCTCAGCCCAACTGATTACTGAAAAGCAATCAAACCACAAAGCCATCTCATTATGAGTCATCCTGATCAGGCTGGAAACTTTTTTTTATTAACTATTTGTCAATGTCAATGCATATTGAAGGGAAAAGAAGCAAAGAAGACTTGTAACGTCGTCGGTGTAAGACTGAAACTTGAAGCTTGCCAAGCCATCAGTGTCAACGTAGATGAAAGTAAGGCTAACTAGGTAGTTGTGGCTGTGCCATCATGTGAAAAGACTTTGTGAAAGCTCTCGGTGTGATACACAAACGTTGAAGCCTTGACAATATAGCCGCGTGTACAACAGCAGTGACAGCTTCAAAAGACTCGTGAGCGAGAGACTCGGTAGTCCGTTGCCGAACGGCTTAGTGCGCTTATTTTAGTGCTGACAGCGGCAGGTAAAGGCTACGTTGACGGGTTACGTTCGTTTTAAGATTCGGGGGTTGTCAGTTAAGTTAAGGTTGGTGGTACGTAGGCTGACAGATTTTCTATGGGTTTTCAGTTTTGTGACTGAGCATTGAGAGGCATTGGAAAAAGCACTGCCGTCGTCATACCGCTTTCTCCCGTCTTTTCGCTTTTGGGATGTTGGAACGGGAGTTTTTTGTTCTTTGGTTTGACGTACGCAGCCACATGATAAGCAGCGGGGACATAAACCGGAGGTTGGGGTGACGGGGTCGAGAAGCTTCGTTACCCTAACTTTGAAAACCTTAATTGATCCGTTGGTCACAAAGCCCGGGGTGAAGGTCCACGCATAAACCGGTGATGGTGATGGTGGTGTACGTAGTTCAGCCTTGTTTTTCATAGGCAAAGTCAGGGCTGACATTGGGCGGGAAAGGGATGAGTGATGATTCTGAGAATAAGCTGCTTGAAGGTTACGAATCCCGGCGTCCATAAGAGGGAAGAGACTATTCCCAGCTGGGACACCGCTCGAATCTTTGGGAAGTCATAAGCCAATGGGTTTTGTTCCTGTTGTGACACACACACCGAAAGAAAACTTTCTTTTCGGGTTATCCGCTGTCAGTTTGAATTTGTCACTTTTGGCATCATAGCGTACGTAGGCGGTCGAGAAACCTTTTCCAACTTCGTTCGTGGCTTTCTGTAAGTGACTATTGTAGCTTGCGCCATCGTCGAGTGTAACGCGCGTTCGAACGGTTCGTTCGTGGGCCGTCCTGCGTGAACCTTGCATAGAGGTTTTAGAAAAAAATTCAGCCAGAAGAGTCACACAAGAAGCCTTTCTCTTTTTTCTTGGGGAAATAAGCTTGCGGCGGTGATGCGATTGGGTACCATTCCAGATGGAGGTGGTGATGGTTGGACTCGGACTTATGCGTTGGTGTATCAGTCGGTCTGGAAGACGGATGAGTCAACGGACAACGACCTACATGTAAGTCAGACTCGATCGAGCTGGCCGAAAAGAACGGGCTCCCCCATTATTCCTGGAATTGAATTTGTTTGATGTTGTCCATCCAGTCTTTACCTCATGATGCTCTTCGAAGGCCTTTGACCCCACTCCGCTCTTAAGTCGACTTCGCTCATTGCCAAACGTTCTCGACAACGAAACCATGGCTCATCACCATAGGACCATGAGATGTCTTTCATCCCATGACGATGGTGAGAGGGTGTTGGTCATAGACCGCTCTCTTCTGACTGAAATGTCCAGGAAGGACTTCGAGATCTACAGAGCGACGTTTTACACCTCTCGACGACGACCCCTGACAGCAGTGGACCTCGCTAGAAGCCTTCCAGAAGAAGCAGCCCAGTGAGCGCCAGGGGCAGAGCGGGCTGCGGCACCAAGACGGCACTTCGCGACGCGACGCGATGAGTGGTTCGACCGATATTGCCAATGTCGACGCCATCTTTGTGTGAATGGCGATCCTCTAATCTCCGTGAGAGACCGAAAGCTCGGTGGAAGACCCCGATGTATGATGGATGGTTTCGGTGAATCACTGACGCTGGAGCTAGTGCCTGGAGATCACTTCAGCTTCCGTTGTGGATGAGTCGACCCCTGATATGGGACTGATATGCAGGTCAACAACAGCTTGTCGTCCGAAATTCGAACCGGCCCTTCGGCTCAGAATGACAAGCAGATCAGTAGGGCGCCATGGCATATGAAAGATCTGGACTGAATCACCAGCGTTGGTTTCTCAGTCAAAGATCACACAGAGTTACAAACTGCCGCTTTGTCCAAGTCCCAAGCCCAACAATTTGATAAACCATTACAGAGACGGGCGAATACGAATACGACGGGAGCACGGGCCTCAACCGGGGATAGTGCGAGAGCGAACACTGGACAAGCTGGGCAGCTGGGCTAGGCCTGATAGGGCACTGCACAGATGTGCCCATTTGATAGAGGTGATGGCACTATCAACCTGTGGTAGACTGGTGATGGGTATACTCGAGATCTACCTACTACACAGTCTCAAAACAATGATCAGTATAAAACCCCCAGATATTAGCAATCACCATTGCATCCGGACATCGTACGCTACTCATGCATCATCGTCGTCAAAGAAATGTTTGCTGTGTTGAGGTGAAATGACAAAGGCCTATGTTTTGCTCGCCTAACACAATTCGATATTGGGAGCTAACAACAGACGGCTGTTGGCGAGCTTCCTCTTTGCGACAAAGTCTCACAGAGCCATTCCCGAGGCCGAAAGCAAAGCTGTAGATCCGACTAAAAAAGTCACACAATGTGGAGGAACAGGGAGCGGCTCTCTGTTCCGTGGGAATGGGGTGGTTCAGGTGGTTCCTGGTGTGGTTTTGCTAGCAAATGGCACTGATCGGGACCTGTTCGTGCCTGTCTAATCTCTTCTTTGCCCCACCCACCCGCTCGTCAAAATGGCCCAAGCTGGTCGAAGGCTCGAAGCTGGGAGCTGCTGCTGGGGTAAATGGCATGCTACTGGTCAATTGGCCCCCAGTTCGCCAAGCCAATGTCGAGCTCGCCGGCGCCATAACGCCAAAATCTCTTTTCCGGTAGCTCGTCCACAGGGGTCACTTCACAATCCTTGCTATCACCCGCCTATCGCCCTGTTGGACGGGCATTCGTTGTTATCCGCTGCCCGGGTCCCCTTTTTCGCCCGGTGTCTTTGTTACGTTATATTAGATATTGCACCTTCCTGGTACCACCTCCCTGGGGAAACCGCCCTTTTCGATTTTTCTTCTGCTTTCCCATCCTCACCTCCGCCTCCACACTCCCTCCCCCCATATCTCGCTTCACACCGAGCTTCTTAGAGGCCGTATCGGTGTAGGTGAACTCTTGGGCCCCCGTCCGAAACCCTACAGGCTTCCTCGTCTACCGGTAACCGCAACGCGCAACATGGCTTCCAACGCAACTAGCTTCACCTCGCCTCTGGCCAGCGCCAAGCTCGGCACCGTCGCTGTCCCTCCCCAGCTCGAATACGTTATCGATACCATCTCCAAAGCGAGCGGCTGGACCATTGTCTTTACTCTTCTTGCTGTTCTTGTTGCTTGGGATCAGAGTATGTTGTCCCGCTGGGCGCAAATGTCGAACGATAGATACTGACGAGTCTTGCGCGCGCAGTCAAGTATGTCCTCAACAAGGGCACAATCGCTGGCCCATCATGGAAGATCCCCTTCATCGGACCTTTCTTGGAGTCCCTCGACCCCAAGTTCGAGGAATATTATGCCAAGTGGTTGAGCGGTCCTCTCAGCTGCGTTTCCGTCTTCCACAAGTAAGTCGAGCCCACGTCTGAATCGCGCCGAGAAATCCTAGCCGGAAAACTAACGCGACAAATCGCAGGTTTGTCGTCATTGCCTCGACTAAAGATATGGCCCGTAAGGTCTTCAACAGCCCCGGTTATGTCAAGCCCTGCGTCGTCGATGTCGCCCACAAGCTCCTCGGCGCCGATAACTGGGTCTTCCTCGATGGCCCCGCCCACGTCGAGTTCCGCAAGGGTCTCAACGGCCTCTTCACTCGCAGGGCTCTCGAGATCTACCTTCCCGGACAGGAGGAGGTGTACAACCGCTACTTCAAGTCCTTCCTCGAGATCACCAAGAACGCCGGTGGAAAGCCCGTCCCCTGGATGCCCCACTTCCGTGAGGTTATCACTGCTGTCTCTTGCCGTTCCTTCGTCGGCCATTACATTTCCGATGAGGCTGTCAAGAAGATTGCCGACGACTACTACCTGATTACCGCCGCTCTCGAGCTTGTCAACTTCCCCATCATTATTCCCTACACCAAGACGTGGTATGGCAAGAAGGCGGCTGATATGGTCCTCGCCGAGTTTGCCAAGTGCGCTGCGAAGAGCAAGGTCCGCATGGCTGCTGGAGGCGAGGCTACCTGCATCATGGATGCCTGGATCAAGCAGATGATTGACTCCAAGAAGTGGCGCGAGGCCGTTGCCAGCGGTAACACCGAGGGTCTTGAGAAGCCTACTCACCTGCTCCGCGACTTCACCGACTATGAGATCTCCCAGACCATCTTCACCTTCCTCTTCGCTTCCCAGGATGCCACCAGCTCCGCCGCTACTTGGCTCTTCCAGACCATGGCTCAGCGCCCTGATGTCCTCGACCGTGTTCGTGAGGAGAACCTCAAGGTCCGCAACGGTGATATCCACGCCCCTCTCAACATGGAGCAGCTCGAGTCGATGACCTACACCCGTGCCGTTGTTCGTGAGCTCCTCCGTTACCGCCCTCCTGTGCTCATGGTCCCCTACCTGGTCAAGAAGGCTTTCCCCATCACTGAGGATTACACCATCCCCAAGGGCTCCATGGTTGTCCCCACCACCTACATGGCTCTCCGCGACCCCGAAGTCTACCCCAACCCCGACTACTTTGACCCCGAGCGTTACTTCTCCGGTGATGCCGAGGCCAAGGGTGCCAAGAACTATCTCGTTTTCGGTGTCGGTCCTCACTACTGCCTCGGTCAGCAGTATGCTCAGCTTAACCTCGCCCTGTTCGTCGGCAAGGCTTCTCTTCTCCTCGACTGGAAGCACCACCCCACTCCTCTCTCAGAGGAGATCAAGGTGTTTGCCACCATCTTCCCCAAGGTGAGTTCCAATTGAATCTGCTGTTTGTGTATAGGTCCCTTTGCTAACGTTGTTTAGGATGACTGCCCCCTCACTTTCGAGGAGCGCAAGTGGTAAACGGAGAGGGTGTTGGGTGCGGATGTCGATATAAAAAGAGATCTTCCTCTGATCTGGGAGATCGGCGGAACAAAAAAGCATAATATCGCGGGTTTTGGTCAACTTTAAGGGGCCACGGAAGAACTTGACGAAACAGACACATGACGAACCAAAGTCCAGTCATCCTCCGATTGCCCCCTCGGCTGTACATTATACCCCCCCGCCGGAAAGAGCTTTGCATTCTGGATGACGAAGATTTCATGAGGCGCCAAAGGGTTGTTGGAATGGGAGGCCGGCGTGAAAAGGGAAGGATGACATGGAACCTAATGATGGATAATGATGGTTTTCTGGGGCGTCGCTGGCCCTGACTGACAAATGTCGAAGGGGCTCCTAGAAAATAGAAAGCGACCGGGCGTGGCTTGATACCAACAACAAAGATGTAGTTAATATAATACCATATGAAATAACTTGAGGCACCGAGTGAAAGGGAAGGGATCGACGTGGTAATATATGTACTTGAGTTGAGCCTCATCCAGCCCAAGCACGGGATCCTGAACGGATGCCGACGGGAGGCACAGTCACGCTTCGAACGAGTCATGAGATTCCTTTACGTACGCCCACTCGTCACCGTACCCGGCTGGTTGGACAAGGACCCAGGGCTGAGCCGGGGTAGCTGCATTCGGCATTTGGCATCTGACAGTTTTCTTTGCTTGATCACCAGTTGGAGGACTGGAAGAAGTGATAAGGAACATGTTACCTATACGGGTTCGATGTTTCGACTCCACCATTGGGGATAAGGTGACGTTAAGATAGTGGGGCCGAATTGATGTACCTACCCCGGCTCGCCCGGGCGGCCCGCCTCCGCACCTCGGGCGCTGGCGCATCGCCATACCCGCACTGCTGCCGGCAAACTGTCCGATTTCGATGCACTGACATTTGAACTTTTGAATTTCGAGGCGACCTGGAGGTGACTTATACCTTTCGGACTTTGCATTCCAAACTCCGACAATTCTCGCCACAGCATCTTTCTCTACGTTACGGACCAAACAAAAGTACATAACAGACAAACAACAGCAACGACGAACATCACCATGTCCGCCCTAGCAAGACGTTCCATCGCACGCCTCAGCGGCGCCGCCGCCGCCGCGCAACCCGTCTCCTTCGGCTCTACTTCCCCTGTAACTACCGTCACCAGCGCGACCCTGCGCAAGGCTGCTACCGCCCAAGCGCAACAACAAGTCCCGACGCAAAGAGCTTTCTCGACTGCTGCTCCCGTACGGCCCAAGGTTAACGCTCAGGCTACCGGACCAGTGGCAGTTACAACATGGACAGCGAGAGCCAAGGAAGCTGTCGAGAGGTCGAGGGCGAGGGCTTATTCGCAGGAGGCGCAGGGAAAGGGAGAAAATAAGATTTTGGGGTTTGAGGACGTAGGTTTTTTTTGTTTACTTCATACTCTGGAGTATGGCTTCTGGAAGAAGAAGCAGAAGGGTTTGGGATTGGAAACGGACAACCTGAATGAGGACCAGAGAGTCTGTGAAGCGAGGTGGAAAATGGAAGAAGAAAGTGGAAAGCAGGAAGACGAGGGTGGAAAATAAGAACAACCTAAGGAAAACGGAAGCTGACGGGGATACAAAACAGATGCAAAAGTTGATTGAAGATCCCAAGAGGAGCGTTATTATCGTTGGTATGTTCTCTTCCCTCCTCCTCCTCCTCCCACTTTCCCAAGCCATCATCCCCAACCATATGTACTAACATGTACCTACCCCACAGACGTCCGCGAACCAGGCGAACTCATCCAAACCGGCCGTATCCCGGGCGCCATCAACATCCCCGTCACCACCTCGCCCGATTCCTTCTTTATTTCCGAAGACGAATTCGAGGACCGCCACGGTTTCCCGCGCCCCTCCAAGGACAGCGAGGTGGTCTTTTACTGCAAGGCTGGCGTGCGCAGCAGAGGCGCGGCTGGATTGGCGAGGGAGGCGGGGTGGGAGAAGGTGAGTGAGTATCCCGGGAGTTGGTTGGATTGGGCGGCAAAGGGAGGGAAAATCGAACATTAGGGAGAGCATGATGACATGGAGCGGTGCAGTGAAAGGTGTTGAAGGATGTAGGGATCCAAGGGTGGGTAGGGGAGCTGTCAGGATAAAAGAGACTGGGAGAGGGTATTTGATCTAGAACGACAGGCGTTATGGACTGGTGTCGAGCCTGCGCAGAGAGCGAAAGGGAAAAGCAATAGATAAAATTGTTTAGAGGTCCGATATACACGTGGCTGATGGAAATCTGTTGCTGAAGAAAGAAGCAGATGGGCGAGACAAATCGCCAGCACGAATTTATCAAAACTTTCATGGTTTTATAATCTGATTGAACTTTAAAATATGACTTCCAAGATACCAATCACGGCAAACGCCTTCCCAAAAGCTTTCGGTGATGATGATAGTAGTAAAACATCATATATCAGATACAAAATCACAGTTCCAGACTTACCCCTACCTATTAAGCCAGTCTCCCTTATGTGCTTCCCCCCTTCCCCTAGAACATCATCATCGTAGCCGGATCAGCAGGCTTCGCATCCCCACCACCAGGGGCAGCTCCCTTCGGACCATCCTTCAACGCCGGGCTTCCATGCGCAAAGAAGAGCACCTTGATGGCTAGGGCCAAGCCAAAGTGCAGCGCCACCACAACGAACAACAACACCTTGCTCGTCTGGCGATCGGTAGCGCTGAGCACAGGATACAGGTTCCTGAGCAGGAAAGCAACCGACACACCGAACCCAACGCCCACAAACACCCAGTTAAGGATAGTAATCGGCGACCAGCTAATCAGCGCCACCGGGATCCAGATGAGGTTGGAATAACCGTACAAAGCCCAGCACTCGAGCAAGTTGGCGGATTCCGAGCCAAAGTACCGCAGGGCGAGGTACAAAGCGACTGGCAGGACGAAGGTGTAGCCGTAGATGAGACCAGCGGCACCTGTTGTTTCCTCATAGTTAGCAACCCATCCACCTCCTTAAAGAAAATGAACCACAGGGAGTGACCAAATAGACTTACCGCTCAACAACCGAAAATCATAAGCAAAAGGCTCATGCCCCGTCTGCGCCAAATAATCACTAATCGTCCCGCCCAAAAACAAAATAAACACCACCGTCGTCGCGATCCAAAACGGGCCGTACAGATCCGGATTTCCCTCCAGCACGTCCAAGAAGTTCGCCCGCGGGTACAGCGCCGCCCAGCACCGCTGCAGCACGCTGGACGTGTCGACGTCAAAGAACTGCGCGTAGAAGGACAGCGTCCAGAGGAAGCGCTTGCTGGAGCCCGAGTTGGAGTTCGAAGTGGCGGTTACGGGCGCGGGGAGCAGGCCGAGGCCGCCGCCGGAGGAGGAGGTGGAGGTGGTGGTGTGTTGGGTGGACTTGGTTCCCTTGCGCCCGAGGGGGGAGGATTCGGAGAAGTTGGATTGGTGGAACTCGAGATCTTCTTGGAGGTCGGTGTGGCCTAGGTCGCCCTGGGTGGGGAGGAGAAGGAGTTGTTAGTTTGGGTATAAATGAGTAGGAGTGGATGGGATGGGGGAGGGCGAACCTCGTCGTCGACGTCTACGACTGCATCGTAGCCGGATCTGGACATCTTGTCGGTTGTTTCGTCTGCTGGTCGAATGCGTAGGTATAGGGATGACGAATGCTTCAGTGGTAAGTTGGTTGGAGGTTGGGAACACGTCGATAGTTGTTTCGGAGTGGTCGGAATCGCCTCAAAGTCAAACGGTGTCGTCGTGGTTCGTTTGTGTTTGGTGTTAGTCGGGTGTCAGAAAGTGTTATTGATGGATGAGCTCCAACTGAATTTCAGAAGCTGGTCCCTCCGGAGCTGGTGGACAGCTGTTTCAACGGGAGCCGCGTAAAGGGTACGTACCGCTGTACGATTGCGTGCACGCCCCCTGTTGGGGTCCTGAAACTGCAGCAGTGCACCCCCCTACGGCTTCCCGTCCCTGCACTAACTCCCCGCAAAATGTCACGTGGGTCCCGGGAGGCCATCAAGGTTGTTGAACTGCTACGAGCGACATTCGCGATTCGAGACGGGGTTCTGCTGCGAGTTCACTTAAACTTTTCTAGGGGAGCTTCCATGCCTTATTGTACGCCTCTACGGGCAATATCCGAGTTCGTTCACGAACTACCTAGGAGTGTTCGACTAGATGGTCTATGCTGTAGCCATTCCCAGGTCCCGTGTTTCCCTGTCCTGTTATCCTTATGCCGTTGCCGTAACCATGCCCGTTGCCCCCGAAACCCAAATGCGCCAAATCCTGATGCCGGTACGTAAGAGGGAATCGTCTATTTGAGCTTCTTCTTGGGGCGGAGCTGGTTGGTGTGTCCGCACTTGCGCTTACGGCAGTTGGTAGCGCGGGGAGGCAGACGAGCCTAGAATCAAGTTAGCCCTTGATTCGACATGCTGAAAAGACCAGAAACTCTAGTGTAAACGTACATAGCACTTGCGGCAGATCATCTTGTCGCAGTTGAACTTGGAGGCAAGCGCCTTGAGCGAGGGCTCGATGATACCACCGCGCAGACGGAGGACCAAGTGGAGGGTGGACTCCTATAGCAGAAAGCCTTGTTAGCAAATCGAGCATGACACCAAGCAACTAAATACCATTTCTGTTCCCATCACCATCGCGACACTGGACGTTGACCACAACCAGTTGTCCTCCCATCTCCAACCCCTATACCAAGTACGTCATAAGCCCAGTGTGGGGCCACCACAAGTCCACTGACCTTCTGGATGTTGTAGTCGGAGAGGGTGCGGCCATCCTCGAGCTGCTTGCCAGCGAAAATCAGGCGCTGCTGGTCGGGCGGGATGCCTTCCTTGTCCTGAATCTTCTGCTTGACATTGTCGATGGTGTCCGAGGACTCGACCTCGAGGGTGATGGTCTTGCCCGTAAGGGTCTTCACGAAGCTGCACCAGGGGTACGTCCGTTTGTTAGTGACTGACTCCGCTTGATTGCTTCAATGGGCTTGTGAGTCTGTCGGAAGCTCGAAAAACTCACATTTGCACTGCGATTCACTTCAGGTTAGCATCTCGTCAGGTTGAAGGATTGGTCTGGAAAGCAGCGCATCGCAACTTACTCTTGACCGATTATTCCTAGGCGAGGTCGGTGGTGAGGGAGTGATGGGATGATGTCGGGGAACGGCAAGCCATGGTGGGGGTTATGGAAACGGCCGCTAGGGCTTTCTGGGCAAAGTGGTACGTGCACATAGCACAGTGTTCACCAGCTTCATATCTGCACTGTACCTTCATCTTCAACAACTTCACCCAGCCGGATGGTCATCCTCAACATATAACCGGGATTTGTGTCCTTGTGATGCTCGATATAAGTATCCATGTCCCAGGCTCAACCCCGTACTCTTCCGATCTCGAGCATCTGCCTAGGCAAGTGTTTAGGCAGATCATACCTCCCCCAATCTCATCCTTCTCTTCTCCCTCTTCTCCCAACCATACAACAGCTCTTCCAGACTGTAAACCGCCTTCACCAAAGCCTTCAGTGACAGACCAGAGATCTCCGCAGCTTTCTCATGGAACCGTCTCGCAGGACCAGACTCGCCAAGTTGCTCAACGGACCTAAACCGCTGGTGAAGCGATCCCAGCCTCTTAATGTTCTTTCCATTGTCAATTTCGGGCCTCGGTTCAACCAGCGTCATGGACTTTTGCACTCGGTGCATCCGAGCAATGAGCTCCTCGTCCGTCATGTCTTTACTGCCGGGCTCTGGTAGTCGTAATACGTTCTCGAGGGGGAAGAGCCGATCAATTTCGGTTTCGTCTGCATCTTGTCAGCCAACCTTGCACACTTCATTCAGTTCCGGGGGAAAGGGGTTACATACCAGCGGCACTCCACCCCTTCAACTGCGTCTCCTGATACCAATCCAGATACTCCACCATCTGCTCCTTACTCAACGTCCACACTTTCTCCGCATCCATGGCCGCAAAGTCCAGTCTCCTGAGCGGCTTTTCAGGCGGATCCGCAAACTCGGCCTCCCAAGCATCCCAGTCCATCTTCAAAGTTAATGGGTCATTGTTGTCTCGTGGGTACCGCTTGACGCCGTCCATGGGGTACATGTACTTGGTTGCTAGCACGAGAGAGGCGACCAGTAGCACGTCTGGGATGTCGAGGAGGGTGTAGCGAGAGGTCTTGCCGGTGAGGGAGGACGTGTCGTCTTTGATGTTTTGGCGGGTTGGGAAGGTCCAGGAGAGGTTGAGCATGAGACAGATTTGTCGGGCGTGGAGGTGGACCTCGGCTGTGTCTAAGGTTAGATAATGGCACTTGTTTGAGGTAAAAGGGTAGTAGAACGTACGTGGAAGAGCCAGGTCTTTGAGATACAAGACTAGTAATGACGGTGCTGGAAGTGGTGGTGATACCATGCCATAGTTCTTCTTAAAACCTAGGGTCAAGGTCAACAACGACTTGTGCAGCTCGCTTCCGTCGAACTTTGCCCATCGTGTTAACAGTGTTCGTTGGGCCCAACCCGGCAAGCGTTCTTTGAGCTCGTTGGGTACCAGCTCGATCTAGCAGGAGGTCAGTAAGAGAACTTCTTGTGAGCCCAAAACACACATGAACTTACCGCACCAAGAAACGGCAACTGGTTATTCTTCGCCCACCAATAAATATCCCCCACCCTCACCGGCTCCTGCTTCAGCAAACACCCCATATAAATCAGCGCCAGCACCTCCATCGGCCCCGGCAAATCCCACAGCTCGCTTTCCCAATCCTTCACTCTACTGGACCTCTTCCTCTGACTCTTCACACTCTCATCAGCCGACGTATCCGTCGTCTCCGCCTGCGAGCTGTACATGACCATCTCGCTGTCCGAACCGGATTGCGACAAGGCACCGCCATGTTGCGACCCCGTTCCATCGTGATCAGCGCCCTTTCCCTTTTCCTGGAGTGATGCCCTAGAAACGCTTTTGAGGCCGATGAACTTGCGGATTCGTAGGTCCCAGAGGTCGCGGCAGATAGACTCGAGTTCGTCGGAGAAGCCTTTTTCGCGGATCAGCCAGCCTATTTGTTTGCGCAAAATGATCTGGAGACAGTCAAGGTAGAGTTCTTTGGCGTCGTTGCCCGAGAGATGCTTGCGCTCGGTTTCGCGGACCTCTTTTTCTTTGCGCACTACTTTGCCGGTTTTGCCGTAGTTGTCGTCTTCGTCGACGTCAAATTGGATGTACCCCTGATATATGTGATCAGCGCATGGATCTTGAATTGGATTCAATTGGGTTGGTGGCCTTCCTTGCAAGCAAACAAGGTTTTGAGCGTGGTTAAACGTACCTCAACTTCATGACCGCGCTGACAATATCTTCGTCCATTCTCAGAGTAGTACTTTCGCGCACGGCATTCGGTACATCTCTGCCCGTTGGGAAACTTTCTGAGCCTCTGTTCATCCATACTCAATAGTGCTTGCCTGCCTGCGTGCTTGCTTGTTAAGACTGTAACGTTGTTCCTATGTCCCGTCACTGATGACGCAGGTCGAGCGGGGTGAGTGAATAATGAAAACGGGCGCACGGGTTCACGAGGGGAAGGTCAGATGATTGAGAGTTGCAACGTCTCTTGGGTAAAGTAAAAAAAATAAAAAATGGGTATAATTCAACTGAAAAGAGGATGAAATGGCGATAGTTACACTTGTGTTGAAAGCATGTTGGCGGACATGCGACTCGCCGACAGATAATGAAAATTTCAAACCTGGGCAGAACAGCGCGAAACCGGTTTGCCTTTGACCTTCCTTCTGACGAAAGTCGCGAAACTCGCCAAAAACACGCAACGCCGCTTTGCTCCTGCGAATCACTTGACAGACAAGAAGCTGCTCTTCAGTCTGATGTTTCGCCGTCTGCAGTATGAAGTGAAATTAAAGTGAGAAGGCCTGGCTGACCCACCGGACACATTGACCTCTAGATCGCTAGTGGAGGCATGATTGGTATACATAGAGACTACCTTCATTGATGCTTTTATAATATCCTAAGTATCGAATGACCCACACATTCACATGGACTAGCACATGCTTGAATCGTGAAAGCCGATATGTACATGTCAACGTCAGTTGCGCCGCCAGTCATGTCTCGGTATCATATCCCCACACGGGATGAACTTCGCTCGTCCTATCGGAGACTAAACGAGACCAGAGAGGTACCCAACAGCTCGAAACGGGGAAGCCGAGCTGGACCAACATCTCAATCCAGCGAACGTTGTGCTAACAAACAGCACGGCTCTTTTGCGATTCGCAAACAACCCGATTCAATGACTCGCACCGAGAAAAGACCATGAGACGCGCAAGATGTTTGGCAGACGTTAGCTTCTTGCGATTTCCTGAAGAAGTCGCGCCCTATTCCAGCAGCTACCGGGTCCAACAAAACGGGAAGACGTGAAACCATTCATGTGTGACCCATAAAACACTTAGATATAGCGCAAAAAAGACGGATATCTCTTAGCCAGGCAAAAACCAACAGAACCGTCCCATGAAGCCATCGTTAAATGCCAAACGTCCGGTGTCCCTCCAACTCCTCAATTAGACTTCCTTTAGTCCTTGTTGGCAGCCTCCTTGACATCGATGGCAGCCTCCTCACCCATGGCGGTCTGGACACCGACGACTGTATAGCAGTATTAGTATCGCGCAAGCTGAAAAGCGCAAGTGTCGGGAAACTTACAGAAGTCCTTGCCCTCCTCCTCGAGCTTCTCAATGCGCTTGGCAAGCTCACCCTCGGGCATCTTGACGTCACGCTTCTCCTCACCGTTGGAGTCGATAAGGACAAGGAAGTCCTCATCGATGTAGGACTATTGCAAAGTTAGCTTCCAAATTCCTGACCCAGCGATCGGGGGAGCGTCCGGATAATACGTACGAACTGGTAGTCAGTGCGCTTGACGTTGGGAACGTCCATGTTGTGGGTGGAGGGGCAGAGATCCTCGAGCTTCTTGCCAGTGAAGATATCGATGGCAACCAAGTGAACCTTGGCGTGACCGTGCTTGCCGGTCTTGGAGGTCGACATGTCGACGATCTTGCAAGGACGGTTCTTGATCACGACGTGGCCACCCTTACGCAGAGCAGAGCACTGCATGGGGTAGGTGGCGGACGCACCAGCGTCGACGGAGTCGAAGGTGTGCTCATGCTGCTATATATGGGGTCATTGCGGTTAGCATCCAATGCTTCGCTGATGATGGACGCGGCTATTGCGACGGGTGATCAGGTGAAGATGATGCGATTCGGATTCGGTGCGTTGGGCGAATAAGAGGCCATTCCCGTCGAAGGACCACACCACGGGAGGAGCGAGAGGGGGTGCGCGATGAACGATGCGGGGTGACGACTCTGCCTACGCAGACAGCCGCCCGCAAGCGACCACCATGATGGAGTGTGACGATGATTATGAAAGGGCGCGACAGCAGGTGGAAGATGGACTTACAGCGTCGTCGTTGGGGGCAGACATCTTGAAAGGATTGACAAAGGATAAACCGTCGAAAGGGCAAGGAGAGACAGAAGATGATGGATCAAGACGCTGGAGGCGGCACGGGGGAGGAAAAATATGGAGGGAGTTGAAAAAGGAAAAAAAAAGCGATTTTGAGCACGGGAGTCGAGAGGGACGAAAAAATGCAGCATCCCCGCCAGCGGTCCAGTCAGGAAAGGCCCCTCCTCCCTGCCACCTGGTGGGAAGCACCCACAACTCTCACACTTTGGCGCACAACTTGCACTCCAACAGATTTTTGCCTCTTGAGTTTCAGGTTGCTAACAAATTGACCCTCCAACCGGTCTGGGCTTGTTGCATTAACCCTCACTTAACCCTCCCCACGTGCCACATTTTCAAGCGGTACTCACCTCTAACCCTCCAGTCCCCTTCGCTCCCGCCCACCCTTCTTTGGTCGTCTCCTCACTTGTCTGTTACGACGGACTCATGTCTGCAGTCTGCACTGCACCAGAGACCTCTCTTTTCCTCGGCTCTTCTGAGTTCTGACTGGCCGGCAACTCGACCCCGCTGTTGGTTACATGAATAGCTCGACAATACAGCATCAATTGCCTTCGCATTATGCCTCTACTAGGTACTGTTGAACAATCTTAGCCTCTACTTGAGGGTAGCCGTCCCTTCTGAGCAAACACGGTAAGTACAAATGGCATGTACACGCGATCGTGATCGATCTCCTCTTGTGGTGTTGCGGAACTGGAGAGGTCAGTTCCCGCCCCGCCTTCTGTCTGGCTAAGTGGCCAGGCTAGGCCGTATGCGGGAAAGCTCTAATGTCTCGCACGGGACCCGCACGACGTGAGTGGTGGCGGAGGGAATTCACCAATCAGAATCCATGCATAAAAGTGTAACCCTCACCATCTGGTAGAGGACAGAGGGCTAGCCTGGCCAGCCTTGTGTCGGGCGCCCTGGACCCAGCTGTTCGCTGCCGCCAATTGCTAGCTCCCATCATCCACTTGCCAAGCCAAGCTGGCGCGCATTCGACGATTCCAAGGGTCTCCTGGAGACAACGAAACTGCGACGGAGAGCGGCAAGACGGTCCTCGCCCAAGTCCAACATTTATCGGCATATGACAGAAGACGACGACGCCGACGACAACATTTCGAGTCCGCCAGCGTGATCCTGTCCCATATCGATTTTCTGCTGCACCAGCATGCTCCTCGCGCCTCGTCTCTGGCGGTGCTTGATTCGCTATGTGGCTTGATCGACGTCCCGGCCAGCATCCAGGAAGCGCAGCTCCTCCGCCGAACAACCGTTCCGTCTCGCCGCTGCCACAACGTACCAGCTCGCGCGGTCCATATCTTGCCCCCCAGAGGCCCGGACTTAATACGAGAGGGTCTTCTGCATTATCTTTGGTCTCGAATGACTCGTCGTCTTCCCTCCTCGCCTCGGCAAAGAAAACCAATGGCTCCTCCTTGAGGCAGTCTTCTACCGTGGACGATGCGCCAGATCCCGAAGAGGTCCTGGCTAGGATTCTAGGCCAGTTTCCCAGTACCAATACCACACAACAACCGGAGGCGAAACCAGCGAGCGGCATCACCGAAGATGACCTGGACTTCGACGTTGACTTTGGCGGCTTGACCCTGACCGAGCTCGCCGGCTCTGACGTCAGTTCGCGCCAAGTGGACAACTATAAACCCCAAAGTGTTCAAGATTGTATGGTGCCATCTTATTGTTCCTATTGCCCTGCCCTCCAGCCATGCTTATAAAGTGCTTTCCAGATGAGCGAGACAAGGCCAAATTCGAGGACCTACATCGGTCGATCCGCGCGTGCGATGACATCCTGAGCTCCGTTGAATCCAACCTCACCAACTTTCGCAATGACCTAGCTGCTGTGTCTGCCGATATTGAAAGCCTCCAGGCGCGATCAGAAGCTCTTAACGTGAGACTAGAAAACCGAAAGGCTGTAGAGAAGGGTCTGGGACCCTTGGTGGAAGAGCTGAGCGTCTCTCCTCTCGTAATAACAACGATTGCCGAAGGTCATATCGACGAAACATGGGTGAAGGTCCTGGCCGAGGTGGACAAGAGAGCTACGGCTCATAAGAAGAATGCGCAACAACCCCAGAGCAAAGCGCTTGCTGATGTTGGCCCATTGCTGGAAAAGCTCATCCTCAAGGTAAGGATTGTTGTTCGGGTCTGGCTGTTATGTTCTAATGCATTTTTCTGAAGGCTATCGGACGAATACGGGACTTTCTGGTTGCGCAAATCAAAGCATTGCGGTCGCCTCACATCAATGCCCAGATCATTCAACAGCAGAACTTCCTCCGGTTCAAAGATCTGTTTGCGTTCCTCCAAAAACATCAACCTACACTCGCCGGCGAGATATGTCAGGCCTACATGAACACCATGCGGTGGTATTACTTGAACCAGTTTACCCGCTACAAACAATCTTTGGACAAGCTGAAGCTTCACATTATCGATAAGAACGACGCGATGGGACACGAGGACACCTCTCGAAGAACGACTGTCCTGTCTGGATCCAAACTTGGAGGCGCGCCCCATGACGCCTTTAGCATCGGCCGAAGGAATGAACTGCTCAAGTCTAAGGACCAAATAGCAATGTCGTCTTACCTGGCCGACGAGGACCAGACCACACATTATCTTGAGGTTCCGTTCCGCAACTTCAACCTCGCCCTTGTCGACAACGCTACGGCAGAGTACACATTCCTCGTGGCCTTCTTCAGCCCGGCACTATCACTTTCGCTCATCTCGCGTCACTTCACCTACATATTCGATCAGACCTTTGCCCTTGGGCAAGCCCTCACCAAGCAGCTTGTGTCCGACACCTATGACGGACTCGGTCTGCTGCTATGCGTGCGTCTGAACCAGCATTTCGCCTTTGAACTCCAACGGCGCCGAGTTCCCGTTGTGGATGGTTACATCAACGGCACCGCCATGGTGTTGTGGCCACGCCTGCAGAGCGTCATGGATGCCCACTGCGAATCAGTCAAGACGCTGACTTCTGCGCTCCCCAACAAGGCCGGATCCGCTTCACAGGCAAAGACAGCCTCAGCGGCTCCGCACGTCGTCACCCAGCGATTCGGGCAATTCCTTCACGGTGTGCTTGCCCTCAGTGCCGAAGCAGGGGATGATGAGCCGATCGTCAGTAGTCTACACAGACTGCGTATCGAGGTGGAGGCGTTCCTGGCCAAGCATAGCCAGGCGCAACTGGGAGCGGATTCGAGGAAACGGGACAGGTTCCTTTATAATAATTACAGCTTGATTTTGACCATCATTAGCGATGTGAGCGGCAAGCTTGCGACGGAACAACAGGACCATTTTGAGTCACTTAAGGCAAGCGTACAGGAGAATAGCTAGAAGGTTTATGACATGTGGGGTAATAGTTAGAGAAAATATCTGGTCGGAAGGGTTCCCACCTTGTATATACAGACATGATGAATTGTATCAAAATTCTAATTCTTTTAAATTGATTTGCGTCTCCAGTTATTGGGTATCAGGTCTCATGTGAACTCTCGCTGTTCGATGGCCATTACTGCACACGTATATCCGCTCTTGGGAATCTTCTTTCACGATCTTTGTTGACACCATTCCATTTTTGCTCTATTCACCCACCACATCTAACTCAACCACCACCGATTCACAACCGCCATCACCCAAGCCATCGGGCCCCCCGGCACCCTCCTCAACAATATAGCAATAATACCCACCAACACCGCCAGCCCCAACGTCCTAACCGGCCTCCTATTCTTCCACATCCACTTCCTCGCCTTCTGCCTCCTCTCCATCCACATCAACTCCCTAACCTGCCGTTCAAAAAACCTCTTCCCATCCTCCATCGTCTGCCTACTCGCCACTTCCCCCTTCCCCTTTCCTGTCTCGTCTCTGGCCGTCTTAAGCACACTACACCCCGAAATCCCCCACCTCCAACTCGGCAACTTCTCCGGCGGGTACGCCTCAAACAACGCCACCGTATCCCCAATCAGCCCCTCCAAATCCAGCGGCTTCGGCAGTTTCGAGAGAATGGAATGTAACATCTCCGGCTCGTCTTCAGGTGTATCAAACAGCTCCTCCCTCCTCGACCTCACAATCGCGGCGAACATGTACACGCTAAACACGGGTTCCCTCGCCAAAAGGACGTCGAACAACCGCGTGATTTCTCCCAGCGTGGTGATGTCGTGGGCATACATGGTCAGCGTCCCTGACAAGGCAAAAAACGGTTCGGTAATACCGGATAAATGCCGCCAAAGTTTGGGGTCGGAAACCCGTAAGATGTCGGGGATAAGCCGGAGTTGCGCGATGGCGGCTTGTAAGTTGGGAAGCATGAAGTCGCGGATGCGCAAGGCCGAGAGGCGGGCGAGGGCGGGGGAGCGGAGGGAGGGGGGAAGGACCAAGAGGAGGACTTGGCAGATGTCGTGGTAGCCTTGGAAGTAGTGGAGGTAGGGGTGGCGGCGCAGGACGGAGAGGATGAGGGAGGAGAGGTGGGATTTTTGGAGGGTGCGGGCTGATTCGGTTTCGTGGTCGGGGTAGTAGGTGAAGGCGCGGTCGACGTCTAGTTGGACTTGGTCTTCGTCTTTGTGAGGGGGGAGGTCCTGCCAGGAGGAAGAGTCGTCTTCGTAAGAGCATTTTGGGGGGAGGCCTAGTAGGACGGGCCCTGGTTGGGAGGGGGAAGAGAGTAAGTAAGTCTTTTGGTCGATGGTGTGTGAGAAAGGAAGGGGGTTGGTATGTATCACTTACAGGCTTGTTGACGAATCTCATCGTTCAGGAATCCCCCCTGAGATTCTGCGAGCGCTCGTAGCTTGGCGAGGTCCCTTTGTTTACACGCCTTGAGAATAGCCTCCTCCTTCTCTGCGTGGAAAGGGTCGATGATCTTCTCTTGAAGAGAATCACCGCTTTCACTTGAGCTGTCCATTTGTGACATCTGCCGGAGTCTCCTCAACTGGACCGGGACTGGTTATTGACTATAACGGTGGTTTTAGTTCTAACTGGTGAATGATGATGAGTCTCGATTACTGTTTGAGCTCTTGACGGCAATCCAGAAGCTTCAAAGCTCAAGTTTTCGGATCTGTAGATCGGTTAATGTTCTGCCCCTGGAAGAAGCTGTAGGAAGCTTACCTACGCAACTGCTGATAGCGAGACAGCGTGATTCTGTCAACGTTGAATGAGTGACGTCGTTGTGAGTATTTCGCTCGCTCGGTTATGTTTATATATCTCTAGACTGTTCGGACTTTCAAATGGTGATGTATCTGTGGAGAGTTGGGCTTCCAAGTTTGGACATGTGATGTTGTTGACTTTGGGTGAGGTTGTATGGAACTTTAGGGCATCCATGCTAATTGTTAGCGTTAGAGGAGCTCTCCACTGCAGCATGGGCAACGTGCGCCTATGTCATAGGGCGAGTCGTGTCCCGGATAGTGGACCAGGTACATGCTGCGACCCCGGCGCCGAAAGAGGAGAACCCGAGATCCAAGGTTCCGGTTGCCGACAAACCTTAACTGGACTGCTGCCCTGCGGCCTGCGCCTGCCCTACCGTATGGATGTACATCTCAGGTCTTTTCTTCCTGGCGTCTCGATGAACAAATACATAAGATAATGTGTTTATGCGTGAAACATGCAATGGATCCCCATTCCATGTTTGAGAGGGAATGGCTCTCGTAGGTAGAGGTACTTGTGGCTGCTGGTACATCTCGCGGCTGCTGTAGCAACCCAACGGGGCGGGCGTGGAACATGGGGACTGTCTTGGACCCTTGGTATTGTCTTGTCTTGAATATTTGTTTCTTCTTGGGTTTTATGCAACAATTCTCGTCCATTACCTCTCATGTACGGTACATTTGAAATTGGGATCACAACATTGTCACATCCAAGTCTTGATTGTTGTTTATATTGATGTGAAGGAAGGCACCTGCTTGCAGTTACCCTGCACTATCTAGCCGCCTGGAACTTCCATTACTTCTGCCTCAGATAGAGTACAAACACTAGAGGTAACAACACAGCTTCTTTTCACCCCACCTTCAACCTTCCATCTTTCAACATGAAACTATCAACACTTCAGCCGGTCAGTTGTTGATGGTGCTGAATCGGGACTTCGCTGTCTTTTCTCTCTCTGCTGCACACCAGTTGTTTGTTTCTCTGGTTACTGCCGCTCTTTTGCACTGCGGCAGTACATTGGCAACGTTTACTTGCTCCCACCTGTTTACTACACTTGGTATGGTGGTACAACCTACAGCCCAAGGTGAGTACATCTGATATCTCTTCCATCACTGAGACTCGCGCCAGCTTGTTCTCTGCAGAGAGACAGCTGTCTTCCATTTTTTTTGCTCAAGGTGCCTACTCAACACTCCGCTACTCTTTTTCTTTTGAACCCACCTTCTTTCTTGGACATTCATGTCTTCATTGGATCACCCTCAGATCAAGCATCTCGTTACCTGAGAGGCCCTTTGGCCCAGGAACATCCAATGCGTTTCAACCAGAAACTAACCTGAAGACCAGGCTGAATACTGCACCTTTCCGAGCCGGCCGACCCGTGACGGAGCACATCCTACCAAAACGCCGATCCGCCTATTTCCACCAATATGGCTACCTTCCGGACCAATGTCCTCCGCAATGGCGAATGGGTCACCGAGACGGTCGACATTCAGACTTTACTCAAGGCAAAGTCTGCTCAAGGTCCTAAGAGAGCAGAGCAGACCGAAACTCCAATATGCGGACTACTCACAAGGACCATGGCGGACAGCCAGATGGTGAAGTCTGTGCTACCCGTAAGGCTCAGATCGCCTCATCACAATGATGTTGCCTTTATAGGCGTAAGTCGAAACTTTGTTCTAGACTTCTTTTGACGGAGCTGACCTTACCTCTAGCATCGTTCTGTCCAAATCCGTGAATTTCAAAGCAACGGCCAGTTCCGAGACATCCTCTTCCGCAGATTCCCACACAATATTCGCAACGCTTGTGTAGTTGGCCCTTTCGATATTCCAGATGGCGTCGACGACCTCAACCCTGCTATGGACATTGAGACCCCAGTGAAGGTGGAGGACCAGGACGTACACTCGGCAACCCCATTTGGTTCGACATCTCAGCTGCCGCCCCAGTTGCTTGCGCTGGCCATGGACAATGCCGATGTTGTTTTCCTTTGGATTGGCCCAGGGGCCGACGGTCGACCCGAGTTTTACAGCTCTACCCAATTCTTGTTTCGACGGCCTCCACAGTTTCTGAACGGTAATCTTGGGGCTCACATGGCTGTAGATCCAAGCTCGCGTTACATGGCCTTAAGTAGCTACCACGGTCTCTTTGCCGTAGGTGAGCTCGAGTCTCTCGCCAATTTCACTCAACCTCAAGACGAAAACACCGTGGAGATAGTCAAGAGCTGGCGTTTGCGGAGTGTTCAAGGCGTGATACAAAGCCTCACGTTTCTCTACCCACGTCCAGAAGACAAGGATCACATCATTCTTCTGCTTATTGTCGTCAACAACGGCAAATCAAGAATGGTTATTTACGAATGGACGTTGGGAGACGACCTCGCCACTGTCTTCGCCGAAGAGAAGCGTGGCCATCGATTGCCAGTCGAAAATCAAATGCCCCAACTTCTCATTCCCTTAACCGTCGGATCAGCTTTCATCGCCATTTCTCCAGAACAGGTTGCTGTGTGCACGGAATGCTTGCACGGGCCGCCCAGATTTGATACTTTGGAGCTTGAGGCACCTCCGAAGAGCCCAAATTACTACGGTACTGGAAAACCGTTGTGGACAGCCTGGGATAGGCCGTATAGGTTGCCACGTTATCTCAAAGGCAAAGACTGCTTATACCTTGCCAGAGAGGACGGCATTGTTGTCTACATCGAAGTTGATGAAGATCATGCGTTGGAGCGCTCGACCTTCATCGACGCCTTCAAGTGCAATATTTCGTCGGCATTCGCCTACTTGTTTGATCAGTACGCAGATGTTCTCGTGCTGGGCAGCGATAACGGCACGGGGAGCGTTTGGAAGGTTTGTAGACTTAGCCTCGCCTTTGGTGTCTTTGACTGACGTTATTTTAGATCCCCCCACGAGACCATCCATTGCAGATAGGCACCTTACCTAGTGGTGCCCCCACCCTAGATTTCGCGACGACTGATTCTCTCTCTTCAGGAGATAAGGCTCCTGACTCCTTTGGAACGAGCATTGCACCGTCGGATGACCGGCAGCTCAGAGCACCTGACAGGATATTTGCGGCCTCTGGTCATGGACTGACAGGCTGCATCACTGAATACCGGCATGGACTAAAAGCAGACATTGGATTGGAGCTCGAAATTGGAGATGGGCTGAAACAAGCCTGGCTTCTTAATTTCTCCAAAACACATGGGCGTTACGATTTGTTGTGGACTACCCCTACTCAGTCGCAGGTTCGGGAACTGCCAGATGATTTTTCAGACTTGATAGATCCGGAACCCGACCAGGTCCTCTACGACTTGTCTTCGCCCACTTTGGCAGTGGCTCAGGTGAATGAGGTTACTGTTCAAGTAACCACCGCCTCAATCACACTCTTCAAGAACGAGGCCCGGTATAGTGCAGACGAATGGTATGAAGCTCCCGAGCCCACGGGTATGAGTTATTCTAACAATATTACAGGAACCGATTGTCTTTTGACAAGCTTCTACCGGATCAGCCGCAGGTATCAGTGTCTGACGCTTACATTACGGACGACTGGATCACTGTCTCAACACATGTTGGACCGCAGTTCAGAATTTACAGTTTCAAATTCTATGGGACTGCAGTTGTTTCTCAAATCCAGTTCGACGTACCTGGGGACGTGACTTCGCTACACCACAGCAAGGACCTTGGGATCATTGTCGGTCTTTGGAAGGACGGACGTCCATATTTGCTCATCCGTACCCCGACGTCTGAGACAGAAACACAAAATATTGAGGAAATTGATATCACGGAACGTAGGTTGACCCAGCACACTTAGGGCAGCTTATCCCATGCTGCGTTCTGCTGCTGATTCCAATATACTGACGTGTTCATAGGACTTATGACATCGGCTGGAGATACCGGATATCGGGATAGCGTGCCTCTCAAAGCAATTGGAAGCATCGCTTCTGTTAATAGCGCGATACTTCTAGGAACCAGAGGTGGAGAGCTCATTCACATTTCGAAAGAGTGGAAGGGTACTACAATGGCCTACTACCAGCAACTCGGACTGACCGCGGTGAACGTAACTGCGGCCCGGCATTCTCAGACCGCGAGACCGAGGGTACTGGTCTCCTGCGATCAAGTCTTGATTGAAGTACAACTCGATGAGCACGGGCCTAATGGTTCTGTTTATCACTTGGCAAAACACCGTGTCGTGCCTGTCAACGCAGGCAATCTGGGTGCTCCTCTACCACTTGTAGAGTACGGCGTGGCAATCGATATTCCATGCGCGAGTGAAGGATTCACCCCGATCCTCATGCTAGCGGGGCCGAGCGTAATCATCGCCGAGCTACACCAGGAGCCTGGTCCAGCTCATCGATATATCAGGATTGGAAAGACACCAGTCAAGACGTTCTTCTCACCCAACCTGCGTTGCCTGGTGGTCGGTGTTAATGAGGAAGGAAACAAGTCCACGCTGATGTTCATGGATCCTGACACCGGAGAGGACATCGGAAGACCGGTCCACAAAGCAGGAACTCCTGTTCAGTATATTGTTGGGCTGGGTAAGCCTGACGACAGAATCCATGGTCTGGCTGAATGGGAGTATAAGAAGAGTGGCGGGACGTGGCGCTACCTTCTTGTTGGTACCAAGCAGGGCCAGCTCATTATCGTATCGACGGAAAAGGAGCCATCTGAAGGGGACCGCCCACCTTCGATAAGGTACTGGACACGGTTCAAGAGAAACTGCGAAGGACCGGTCTACTCAGTGATAGGTCACGAGGAAAGCGTGATCTATTGCGTCGACCATACACTTCACTGGGATGTACTTGACCCTGTCGAGAAGAAGCTGAAGCCACGCAAAGTGTTTGACTTGCACTCGTTGGCTCTGGAGCTTCAAATCTCCGAAACCAAGCTTCTAGCCTTGACATGGGGCGATTCACTCCAAATGATCGACCCGGCGCTTGACGACGCTAGTGAGAACTCTGTAACAGTCGAGTTCCACGATCCTCGCACAGTTGTACCAACCTCGTCGATGAAAATTGGAAGCAACATATTCCTGGTTGCAGATAAAGACCGTGGTGTGGCCGGTCTCTGGCAATGGTCTAGAGCACCAGGACCTCATAACTGGACTGAGTTTAAGGTGCTCTTCCAGGGGATACTTCCAGTCAGCATCAGGAAGTTCCGGCGCGGCAGGACACGGCCAACATGGGAGCAAGGAGCCTGGAACGCACCCAAGTACGGCCGGCTCATCAGCACACCGGACGATGCCGAGATCTTGGGAATATCGATGGACGGCACCATGGTTCACTTCACGGTGCTTGACCAGCACGCGTTGCGTTTGTTGCGATTCATCGTCAACTTGTATAACCGCAGAGGGAGGAGAGACGAAGAAAAGCTTCTACACGCGGAGCCGAACCTGGGGTACACTGAGTCGATGCATGTGGATGGTGACCTTTTAAAAACACTCTTGGATGCGGAAGTCTTGCAAGAGCTGATAAACACGGAGGAGCTGTTGGCACGGTTCAAGACCCTGTTGGATAAGTTGGACAGGGGAATACACACTGCCGAGTGGATGGGCGAGGGCACTGCGGACCATTATTATGAACTGGCGTATAACGTGTTGGTGTATTATCTTAGGCAAGTCTACTAACTGCTTGGGATTCTGATGAGGGGGGGAGGTAAAAAGGAGGAAGGGCAAGACAGCTGGTGACCAACATACATATGATCCAGTACCTGCCTAAAAGCCCCCCTGAAGGATAATGTCGGTGTTGTTACAGCATAGCAGACGAATGAATATGATATTCTTAGATGCCGTTCCCAGAATAACTCACTGAACCAATATAGAAATACCCATGACAAGTTGAGGGTGTTGGGATGATGTTTGTCTCACGGCCCCCGAGTCGAACAAGAAGCCTGGCCCCCTTGGATGAGATAGCGTGCAAAATGCACCGAAGTAGCTGTAAGTAGATATCGAAATTAACAATTAACCCACTAAGTCCCACTTATGGTTTCGCCCAGTGTCCCCAAGCAACAGTTGCCCCGCATTCTGCGCTAACAATTTGCCTCAGTCAAGGCCCGGTCAAAGCGACCCGGCTCTGGCAAAAAAAGCTTCCAGTGGCGATCCTTGTCTAGATTTTTTTCTCGATCGAGACTTGGTTATCGAATCAGAAAACGGGACATGGTTGCCGTTTTTTACCGTAAAAGGAGACAATATCAAACACTTGAGACGGATTGAAAGAAAGGCAGACAGCACAGGTACCGAGATACCTGACCTCTAGCAACAAACCAGAGCGGGACTCGATACTGTGTAAAGAACGGGCCCAGAAAGATCCACACTGCAGCACCGAAAAGTGACAAGCCCTATCCCATCGACAGGGCCTACAGCACCAAAAAAGTACGCCGCCTGCCTCTTTAGCAGCCAGCCATATCGCATATAACGGCCCAGTAGCCCCAGTCTGCGGCCCCACGAACCCACCACCAGAACCACCTAACGAGTAACGAGGTCTTCACCCGTACTCCGACTTCGTCACAAGGAAGAGAAGGAGCCATCAGGATCCTCCCCCCATCCTACCGACATCCGCCTCGAGGTATACAGCCCAACATGGCGCCCAAGAAGAAGGGAAACAAGAAGGCCAACGATGACTGGGAGGCCGAGCTGGGCGAGTCCATCGCCCCCGTCAACAACGACGCCGCCGATGCTGCTGCCTCTCCCGCCCAAGACGACGAGGCCGCTTCCGGTGGTGGCGGTCTGATGGCGAGAATGCGCAAGGCCAAGGAGAAGCGCAAGAAGAAGGGTCTCGACGACGACTGGGAGGCCGAGCTGGGCGAGGATGCTCCCGGCGCCGAGAAGCCCGCTGAGGAGCCCGTCCCTGATCTGTCGGCCAAGGTCGCCGAGGAGGCTAACCTCGACGACGAGTTCGCCCTCCCCGAGAAGAAGGGCAAGGGCGGCAAGGGCAAGCAGCAGCAGCAGCAGCAGCAGCAGAAGGCTGCCCCCGCCGCCGCCGCCAAGAAGGACGAGGATGCCGATGAGGATGGCCCTAGGGTGTTGACCAAGGCCGAGAAGGAGAAGCTCAAGAAGGAGCGCGAGAAGCAGCGCAAGAAGGAGCAGGTGAGTAGTTCATCACCACTTCTCTTTTAAACGGAAGACTGACCAACTTCTTCACACTACACAGGCTGCTGCTAAGAAGAAGGGTACCACACCCGCCGACGCCGCCAAGGCCGAGCCCGCGAAGGAGGAGAAGAAGAAGGACGAAACCCCCAGCCCCGTCTCGACCCCCGCTCCCGCTCCCGAAGCCGCCGGTGGCAAGAAGAAGAAGCTCCCCGCCCACCTGCTCGCCCTCCAGAAGCAGCAGGAGGAGCTGCGCCGTCGCCAAGAGGAGGAGGCTAGGCTCCTCGCCGAGGAGAAGGCCAGGATAGAGGAGGAGGAGCGCCTCGCCGCCGAGGCCGAAAAGCGCAAGGAGGAGGAGAGGGCCCGCAAGAAGGAGAAGGAGAAGCAGAGGATCGAGCAGCTCAAGAAGGAGGGCAAGTTCATGACCAAGGCCCAGAGGGAGGAGAAGGCCCGCAACGAGAGGAAGCTCCAGCAGATGTTGGCGGCCGGTATCAAGGTCAACGCGCTTGAGGGTGAAGAGGCCAAGAAGAAGCCTGTCTACGACGACAAGAAGAAGAGGGCTGCTAACAAGAAGGTGAGTTCTGCCACAGTTCCCTGGTGCACTTGCTATGGACAGCGCTAACCAAGTTTGCTTGTTACAGAGAGACGAGGAGAAGGCTCTCGCCGAGGCCGCTGAGCGTGCAAGACTCGCCGCTGAAGCCCTTGCCAAGGAGCAAGAGGAGAAGGCCCGTATCGACCGCGAGAAGGCTGAGAAGGAGGCTGCTGCCAAGGCTGCTGCCGCTAAGGCCGCCGCTGAGGATAGCGTCGATGAGGACTGGGAGGCCGCCGTTGCCTCTGACAAGGAGGATGTCAAGGACAGCTGGGACGCCGACTCCGACGAGGAGGAGGAGACCAAGAAGGAGGCTGCCAAGCCTGCCACGGCCAACGGCAAGGCTCAGGCCAAGAAGGACGAGTCCGAGTCCGAGTCTGAGGAGGACTCTGAGGAGGAGTCCGAAGATGAATCTTCCGAAGACGAGGAGGCTACTGCCAGGCAACAGGAGGAGGCCAGGAGGAGAAAGGAGGCTGCTGAGCGTCGCGAGAAGGCTCACCAGGCCGCTCTGGCTGCCAGGTCTGCGGACAACCTTCGCTCGCCCATTTGCTGTATTCTTGGTCACGTCGATACTGGTAAGACGAAGCTGCTCGACAAGATTCGTCAGACCAATGTCCAGGAAGGTGAAGCCGGTGGTATCACTCAGCAGATTGGTGCCACTTACTTCCCCGTTGAGGCCATCAAGCAGAAGACCCAGGTCGTCAACCGCGACGGCAAGTTCGAGTTCAAGGTTCCCGGTCTCCTTATCATCGATACCCCCGGTCACGAGTCTTTCTCCAACTTGCGTTCGCGTGGTTCCTCGCTCTGCAACATCGCCATCTTGGTTGTCGATATCATGCACGGTCTCGAGCCTCAGACTCTCGAGTCCATGAGACTTCTCCGTGAGAGGAAGACGCCCTTCATCGTCGCGCTCAACAAGATCGATCGTCTTTACGGCTGGAAGAAGATCGAGAACAACGGCTTCCAGGAGTCGTTGGCCCTCCAGAACAAGGCTGTCCAGAACGAGTTCAAGAACCGTCTCGAGCAGACCAAGCTCGCTTTCGCCGAGCAGGGTTTCAACTCGGAGCTTTTCTACCAGAACAAGTCCATGGCCAAATACGTCTCCTTGGTCCCCACCTCTGCCCACACCGGTGAGGGTATCCCCGACATGTTGAAGCTCATCATCCAACTCACCCAGGAGCGCATGGTTGGTTCTCTCATGTACCTCTCCGAGGTTCAGGCTACTGTCCTCGAAGTCAAGGCCATCGAGGGTTTCGGTATGACCATCGATGTCATTCTCACCAACGGTATCCTCAGGGAAGGCGACCGCATTATACTGTGCGGCACAGAAGGCGTCATCAAAACAAATATCAGAGCCCTGCTCACGCCCGCGCCGCTCAGGGAACTGCGTCTCAAGTCGCAGTACGTTCACAACAAGGAGGTCAAGGCCGCTTTGGGTGTCAAGATCTCTGCCCCCGGCCTCGAGGGTGCCATTGCCGGTTCCCGTCTCCTTGTCGTCGGCCCCGACGACGACGAGGACGATCTCGAGGACGAGGTCGAGGCCGATCTTGCCTCGCTCTTCAGCCGTGTCGAGAAGTCCGGCCGCGGTGTCTCCGTCCAGGCCTCGACTCTTGGTTCGCTCGAGGCCTTGCTCGACTTCCTCAAGGACTGCAAGATTCCCGTCGCCAACGTCGGTATCGGCCCCGTCTACAAGCGCGACGTTATGCAGTGCGGTATCATGTTGGAGAAGGCGCCCGATTATGCGGTCATGCTTTGCTTCGACGTCAAGGTCGACAAGGAAGCGCAGGAGTATGCCGATCAGCAGGGCGTCAAGATCTTCACTGCCGACATTATCTACCACTTGTTCGACTCGTTCACCAAGCACATGGATGAGCTGCTCGAGAAGAAGAAGGAGGAGTCCAAGCTCCTCGCTGTCTTCCCTTGCGTGCTCGCCCCCGTTGCCGTCTTCAACAAGTCTGGTCCCATCGTTATCGGTGTCGATGTCGTCGAGGGTCAGCTGAAGATTAACACGCCCATTTCCGCCGTGAGGCAGAACCCTGTTACCGGTGCTAAGGAGGTCGTCGATCTCGGTAGAGTGTATGTTTCTCCCTTTCTTTTCCCATCTCTCTCTCCTTTATCCCACTATTTCCAGGTACACTCACTAACATAACATAAAACAACAGCACCTCCATCGAGCGCGACCACAAGCAGATCCCCGTCTGTAAGAAGGGCCAGCCCTCGGTCGCCATCAAGATCGAAATGGGCGGCAACCAGCCCACGTACGGCCGCCACCTCGAGGAGAAGGACATGCTCTACTCCAAGATCTCGCGTGCCTCGATCAACTGCCTCAAGGAGTTCTACCGCAAGGACGTGACCAACGACGAGTGGCAGTTGATTATCAAGTTGAAGCCCATGTTTGATATTGCTTAAGCGGGCTTTTCTTTCTTCTGTCCACACTGTCCGGACGAGCGGTTATGCGAGGTCAGGATAGGCGGGCGGGTGGGAAGCAGTAAGTAAGGGTGATGGATGGTATAGGAGGGAGGAAGAAAGATGGATGGATGGACTGTTATGAGCAGTCCCCATCTATCATCAATGGCATGGATAAAATGAGAATGAGAATGAGAATGTTGCCGCCACGGGGAGGAACAGGCAAGGAAAGGAAAGGAAACACAAAAACTGCATTTGCTGGTTGGTGGTTTGGGAAATATAGTATGTGTGTGTGTATGTACGTTTATGAACTTTCTTACTTACTAGGTACTATAAAAGGATTTTCGATTTGGGTTAGTAAGTAGTAGTACTGGTATTTATTGATCCTGTCGTCGTTCGGGTATGATGGATCCGGTAGGTTTGATGGAAGCCTGGCCTGTTTGGTCTGATGGAACCGAACTGGATTTTACATGGTTGAGTGGCAACTCATGATATTCTTGTCTTAAAGCTACAAGCCATTCAGGGTTACCTAGCTCTAGTCTAGAATGTTCACAATGTCTATATACTATCTATCCTCTCTCCCTAATCCGACTCAACGTCTTATTTATGTCATGGGTCTGTCTCAACGCGGCATAAATACATGACATGCCATCTTTGCTTGCTACATAGCTATTCGAAGAAGACAAGTTGATGCTTGTGTGATTCGAAGATGATTCTACTTCTCTCTTCACCTCTCTCTTCACCTCCCTCTTCACCTCCCTCTTCACCTCCCCCTAGACTCTTGAAAGAAGACGGACGCTCAGCATCACAGTTATCATCAACACCAAAATTATGAGGCGACGAACGATACGATACGATATGTTACGGGTAGCCCCGGAATCTATATAACCAAATGGAGGCTATAAAGTCTGTGGTGTCTTGTCTATTATTTCGTTCGTCCTCTGTCATGTTCGAAAACGGGAATAGCGAGAGCTTGTACGGAGAACCGTAACACATGCGGCGAAAATTCTGGTCTGGAGTGCAGTCAGTGGTCATGAAACATCTCTCTCTTTGAAATTCTTTTCCTTCTTCTATGAAAGCTGTATCAAAAGAAACTTTTATTTCCGTCTTTTCCCCCCCTTCTTACCCGTGAGAGTGTGTGAATTTGAAACCGTCATAAAAAGAGAAAAAAATACAAAAGCTATATCAACACCGTACAAAGTCTTTGAAGTTCCAAATTGAATCGGTCATGACATCAACAAAACGTAAGCGTGAACATGAATGTGAATGTGTGTGAAAGTATGAGTGGGTATGTGTGGTTGGGTATGCTGGTCTCTTCTCTTCTTTCAATTCATCATTAACAAGCCTTGCCTCTCTCTCTCTCTCTTTGGAGTAGGGCATAGCATGTCATATCTTAAGTCAAATCCGCCACATCCACATCCATCTTGTTCGACTCCTCGGTATCCGCCGTCAAATCCACCACATCCACATCCATCTTGTTCGACTTCTCGGTATCCGCCGACTCCGCGGGGTTCGGTGCCCCCGACTCTGAGTCCGACTCCGACTTCTTCTCGGCCTTTTCCTCGTGCTTCTGCTTCGAGTCTACGACTTTCTAAGCCTCCTCGACGACAGGCTTCTGAGCATCGGCATCGGTCATCTCCTCGTCCTTAGCACCTTGGGCGGCCTTCTCGGCAGCCTCCTTGGCCTTGCGAGCCTCCTCCTCAGCCTTCTTGGCGGCCTTCTCGGCCTCGAGCTTCTCGAGGAGGGCTTGCCTCTCAGCCTCAACCTTGTCGAAGTGGCGCTGGACGACGGGGCCGGCAAGGGCGCGGATCTCTTCGATCTTGGCGACGTAGACGGCCTTGGTGGCATCGTCACCCTCATCGTAGAGCCAGTCCTGTTGATTTAGTCAGTATCAGCTGATCACTTTCTCTCGGGAATAGTCGTAAACATACCTCAATCTCCATAAGCTTGGCCCGGATCTTCTCCTTCTCCTCCTCGGAGGCGAGGTCGGCGTACTGGTCGTCGAGCTTGTTGCGGAGGTCGTAGATGTAGGTCTCGAGCTCGTTCTTCTTCTCCTCGGTATCGGCAACGAGCTTGTCCTCCATGATCATGGCCTGCTCCTTCTCAAAGGCAGCGTTCTTGGCGGAGGCGTCGAGGGACGGGGTGGCGCTGACGATAGGAAGCTCGCCCTTGCGGACCTGCTTCTTGACCTTGCGGGTCTTGGGCTTGTCGCCGTCCATGACAACCTTTTCGTGGGTTAGCTTTTCCTCATCCAAATTTTCGTGCGTTCCACCATCGAGAGACTGCGTTGAGCCATCGAAAAGTTTACGGCGCTTCGTAGGACTGTCCGATGACATCCCGTCTTCACTAATAAGAATATTACTCACATCACCGTTCTCATCCTTGATCTCCTCCTCGACCTCCTGGTCCTCAACGTAGTAGGCGCTCTCGACGTTAAGGATACCGTGAATGTTGACGCGAGCCTTGAGCTTGCAGATCATGAAGTCCTCAGCACCCTCGGTGGCATGAACACCCTTGACCGAGAAGCGGCCAATGAAAGGAGAGATCTTGCCGGGGAGCTCATCGGGGTTAGTGTACCTGGCCTCGAGGTCGAAAGGCTGCTTGCGGTAGAAGGTAAGGATCTTGGTGGAGGGGAGGACGTTGCCCTTATTGAAGACAACAAGGCTGGTGTCCTCATCGGGAATATCGGCATCCTTCTCCCAGGTGAACTCGATGGGGTAGTTGATGATATCCTGGACCTGGAAGTCACGGACCTTGAAGACAGGGGAGAGGATAGCGCAGCTGAAAGCGCAGCCACGGGCGATGGCCTCATCCGCGTTCATGGTGAAAGAAAGCTGCTTGCCGAAGAAGTCCTGGATGCGCTCCTTAACGGAGGGGACACGGGAGCCACCACCGACGACCTCGATGATGTCAATATCGTCCTTGGTGAGCTTGGCGTCGGCGAGAGCCTGCTCGAGGGGACCGTGGACCTTGGCGAGGAGGGGCTCAACCATGGCCTCGAACTCCTGGCGGGTGATCATGGCGCGAACATCGATGTCGTTCATAAGGGACTCGATGTTGAGAGGAGCCTGCTGGTTGGCAGAAAGGATCTTCTTGAGCTTCTCAGCAGCGGCAAGGACACGGCAGACGGCCTTGGGGTTGGTGAAGATGTCGATCTTGTACTTGCCAAGGAACTCCTTGTGAAGATGGTCGAGGAGGGCCTTGTCGAAGTTGCGGCCACCGAAGTGACGATCGCAGGCGGTGGCCTTGACGGAAAGCTCACCCTTCTTGAACTCGACAATGGAGCAGGTGTAGTTGGAGTAGCCGACATCGACGAAGGCGACTCTCCTGGGCTTCTCCTCGGGGCCGGGAAGGTCGAGTTTTGTGATACCCCAGCCGAGAGCGGCAGCGGTGGTGTCGTTAATGAGGCGGAGGGGACGGAGGCCGGCGATCTCGGCGGCATCCAAGATACTCCTGCGCTGCTTGTCGGTGAACCAGGCGGGGACGCTCATGACGAGCTCCTGGACGGCGACCTTGACCTCAGCCTGGGTGGTCTGCTTGATCTTGCTCAAGAACATGGCGATGAGCTCTGTGGAGGTGAACTGGCGCTTCTCGCCGAGGTAGGTAACCTCGGCACCGACCTCGCCATTGATGTCGACCAAGGGGGCCGAGATGAACTGCTGCTCAATGGCGACATCGGGGTCGTTGAGAGAACGGCCGGCGAGGCGCTTGAGGCAGCCGACGGTGTTCTTCAGGTTGGAGATCTCCTGGGTCTTGGCGGGCTCACCGAGATACCGGCTCTTGGGGCCAAATCCAACGAGCGAAGGAGTAGCCCGGTTGGAGACTTCGTTTGTAATCTGCCAGACAGAGAGAGGTTCGTCAGTACTTGGTCATCCACTGCGTGTGTGAAGGCGCTATCGCCCCAGCGCAAAGCATCCTCCCCTTCCCTTCGAGACAGAGTCTATGCGATGAGCTGGGGACGATGGCCAGAGGGAGGTCTAGATCGAGAAGGGTACGTACGACATCGACACCGCGGTTTCTGGCAACGGCAATGACGGTATTAAGAGCGCCGAAATCGACACCTGCAATGCCCACTGTTAGCGCATGCTCTCTTGTCCTGGACCGGGACCGGCGACAGTTTGGTTAGGGAGAGAGGAAGAATGGCAACATACCGACGACAGACATGGTGGCGGTTGGATATGAAGAACTGCTAAAGCAAAGACTATGTGTAAATAAAACTGGTCTTTCTCGGGGTATCTCGTGTGGTGGTGGTGTATCGAGTAAGGTGGAGGGGAGGGGTAGTCGAAGGTTGTATGTGTGTAAATGTCGAAATAATGTTGGAGATATGGAGGGGTCGTTGGTTTGCTCACCACAACAAAGAAGGTCTGCGTTGGGGGTATATGGAGGTTTAGGGACAACAAGGAGACGTTGACAGACAAGATATGGAGATGTTCAACGTTGAAGTCACAGAAGTGAGACTGAATGGCAGTGTGAAGTTTATCGCAAAAGTGGATTCCCTCTCAGCAGCGGGACAGGTGGACCCGACTTTCAGACCAAGCAAACTGGAAAAATCAGCGAAAAATGTTGCCCGACCACTGGACTCTGGGAGCAGGCAAGAAGTATCCGTCGGGCTACAGGGACCTTGAGGACCCCAATCTTGCCAAGAGGAAAGGTGCCCCTCTAACCCCGCCCCTGGGGGGGTCGTGTCCGGGCCAAGCCATCCCAGAAGCTGAGAGAAGCTTCTCGATTGGTTCGCTCATTGGCGGTGTCATCATCCCGACCTGATTGACTCGGGCTTGTATTAGGTTGAAGAAAGAGATCGAGTGTCGAGCTGTCATCTCGAATTCAACTGCGTAGTAGTGTAGGACATTGCTGGTATAGAAGATAGGTTGCCCTTGCCGGTGACACTTCTTTTCTATGGCAGGCGCTGATGATGTTACAGGAAGGCACGTCACTCCGGACAAGCAGCAGCAGGCAGTGACTGGATGACACACGGAGGGGTCAATGGGATGGCGGCGATAGGAAGGGAAGCTTTCCCATTTCATCTTATCACTCTGTTCACCCCAGGGAGGGTGTCTATCACCCCACTCCTCTTCAAAGTCTGGGTTTTCACGTCTTGTGCCCCATCTCACCGCCTATCAAACGTGTGGTTGCCTTTGGACCAGAACTGTCTTGGTCCAGGCAGTCACGGATTGCTAGGCAGGCACTTGCACTTTTACGGCTACGGACGAGTGGACGACAACGATGATCTTCAGGACATCTTCTTCAACGATTGTCTTGTTCTATCGCCTATCTTTCACGATTTCTGTCAAGCGGCAATTGACTAACAACTAGTGATCCCCAATCCTCCCGCCTCTACCGCCCTTTCGCCGCCCACTGTTTGGCCCATCCCAAAGCCTCAACACTTCATGATAGCCTCACTTTTCGCGGAACAAATTCGCCTCCCACGTCAACCAGCGGGGCCATCCCCGGAACAGCTTCCACTCGCCAATTGAATGAACGATCCCAAAAGGCATTCATAAGGCCAAGATGTCCCAAGTCCGACTTCTTGACATGTTGACACATACATAGGTAGCCTCCAAGCAGGTACACTGACACACGCTGCTGGACACTGCTGGAGTAGCTGTGGTACTTTGTACATAACACTTGCCCAATCCTAACCCAGGCGCAATTCTTGGGTTTCTTGGCTGTCCCAGCCTTTGAAATGGAATTGAGTTGGGCTCCTACCTATGACCAGTCACAAAGTCACAAAGTTGGTGACTCGAGGTTCATACATCTTCTGGTCCCCTTCTGGTGGGCCGGTTATACGAACACTTTTATGCATCATATGAAGATTCACATTTTTGCAAGTCTTCAACCAGTTTGGTGTGGGCTTCATCCCGTGCTCACGAAGTTTCGTGGGAGTTCCAGATCTCTTTTGCATCGGCTTGGCAATACAGGACGGAGATTCGTGACTGCTGTTTACGAGGATACTCGCATCAGCACTTTTGGCCGACCGAGTTGGCAACTGAGTCCGTGATGTTTCGAAGGGAAGCAAACGGCCTCTGGAAGATTTGAGAGCATAGCTCACCGCACTTACATCACCGCACTTACATCACCGACTCCTGTCATGAAGCTACAACCCCCAAGTGCTTCTCGATACCTACTTGCCAAGCACAAGATGGGAGTTGCATGTCGAGCCTCAACCACGTCTTTCTTCTTCCTGCCAGACGCTTCCTCAATATCCAACTGATTTATTCACACCGTGTTTCTATCGTGTAGGACAAGCGGGTTCTAGTCTAGGCTCAGGTTATCATCTGCAATTCTTCACACAAGTTCTGTGCTGATACATCAAGATTGGGCTTACCAATACTCCAGAAACTTTCAAATCAGTTCACGAGTTCATTTTGTGTTTTTGCTGAGATCTGAATCTGTGTAATACTCACGAATTCTGGATACACCTTTACTATTCACATGTCTTCACTGACACCCGTCTAGAATACATATACCAACGATCCAAAAACATCCTCGTCAATTCATGATACGCAAGTACAAGTGTCATCCGTTGTCCCAGTAACCATCCCATTGTTGATATCTCCATATCCAGACACAGCCCAGAAAAGGGGTAGTACCCAGCTCCACCACTTCTCTCTTCTCCCTCCCCCAGTTTCCTCATTACTGCCTTCACCATCTCATCATTTTACCTTCTCAGCACCCCCAAACCTCACCAAAACTACCTCTGATTTGACCCCCTCGAACTCTACCCCCCTCTCCTTCCATGGCCAGGAGCATCAGAAAACCCACCTGTCCCGCCATGTGACGCCTCAATCTCACTCTCCACCTGATCCATAGTCGACGTCCTCACCCAACTCGCTCTGCCCAGGGGACTCCTACCCGTTCGCTGTTGCTGATGGCCTGTTCCGCTCGGAGTAGGTGGCATAGGCACAGACAACGACCCTCCTCCTTGTTGCCTTTGTCCGTATCCTTCTTGCCCGTACCCATAATCCTGATAGGGGGTAGGAGAAGCAGCAGGCCGCCCAACGGAGTCAAAGCTGTCACTGCTCGCCAGCCTGCGATGCGGTGGTGACGGCGAGGGGAGTGCCGGTCGTCCATACTCCGGCGCGGAGTCGGTATAAAACCCAGCTCTTCTTAGTTCAGACTCCGAAAACTCATAAACCTGACCAGGAGGCGGTTGTTGTTGTTGCCCCAGGACACGGGTAGGGTTGCCGACCAGGTGTCCAGAGCTAGCCTGCGCAAGCTCGTACTTCCTCCGGTCTTCTTCGCCCATGATACTCTCTACGCGACGGGGCATGTACACTGACATGCTGTTTCCCCCGGTGGTGTGAGCGGAGAAGGTACTATCGAAGGAGTCACGGTATTGGAGCTGATGTTGGTGTTGATACTGATGTTGATACTGCTGGTGGTGTCGCTTGCTAGTGGTAGCGGAGCCGGCTACGGTGGGAAGCATCAACGAGGATCCGCCAGCGTGGGCAAACAAGCTGACGGAAGCCATTGAATCGTCAAAGTGCTGATACAACCCATTCGCAGAGCGCTCGGGCGCAGCGAACTTGCCGACCAGTTTGTCAGGCGGTTGGAGGATGCTCTTGGAGCGGCCGAGGCCGCCGGTGCTAGTGCCGGTGGTGAAGCCCTTGTCTTCCGCCGAGCCGGCGAAGATGCCCTTGCGCTCTTGGGCAGCGGGGATGAAGGATTCGGGCACGATGTTGAGGTCGTCACCCGTTTTCTCGGCGATCTCGATGGCTTCCTGCGCGGTGGTGGTCGAGTCGGCTGCTGCGGCGTCGGCGCGCGGGCCGCCCCATGTGCGCTGGCCGGCGGTGAAGATGCCGTAGATCATGTAGTACCAGTTGAAAAAGGGGTTGAGGACGAACATCATGGGGTAGAGCCAGATCTTGAAGCGGCGGAGCTTGGCGCCGAAGTAGATCATCATCAGCCAGTTGAGTCCCAACGAAATGGCAATGAAGCCGACGGGGAGGTCGTCGATCTTCTTGGTCGTGGTGATCAGGGCAAGGACCATGATGAAGAAGAGCAAAGCCGTGGTGCGGATGGTGTTTTGCATGAAGCGCACCAGGATCAGGATCGGGTACCGCTTCCACAGCCGCCAGTCCGTCAGCATGCAGACTTCGTTGGTGATGAAGCCCAGGAACCACCGGCGCCGCTGTTTGATCAGCGATCCCATCGTCTGGACGGCTTCGGTCTTGCAGAAGGCGGACGTGCACATCTGGATCTGGTGCCGCTTCTTGGCTCCGATCATGAACAGGTGCGTCAGCCAGCGGTCCTCGCCCAAGTGCGATTTGGCGTAGTCGAACAGATCTTCGCAGTTCTCGGCCTTGTCGGCGAAGTAGTACTTTGCCATTCTCCTGAAGGCAGAAAACCGGAGCATGGTCAGGGCGCCCGGCAAGCAAGTGACGGCGCCGCACCCGGACTCGACGGTGCGCTCGAACAGCTGCCCGTGGATGTACTCCATGTCCTGCAGCAGGGTGATCAAGCTGTGTTTCTGCGTGGTCGAGGTGATCACCCCCGTCATGGCCAGCATGTCGCGCCGGTTGCCCGGGCTGAGCTCCATGTCGTAGACGAAATTCTGCAGGCACACCTTGTCGAGGATGCAGTCCGAGTCGATAAACAAAATGAACAGGTTGTCGTTGCGCTTCAGGTACTCGCGGTACACGCGGTCGATCAGCTTGAAGGTCATCTTTTGGCAGTGCCTTTTCCCGCCGTGCGGAAAACGGGAGACGGTGATGCGCGCGTTCTTGTAGGCGACGTCGATCGATTTGGGGTAGGATTCCAAGGTTAAGGGGACGCCCAGTTTCTCGATCGTGTTGAGGTATAGCTCGTCTTCTTGGTCGCCGTCGAAGGAGAGGAAGACGTGGATGCACGAGGGTGGGTAGTCGCAGTCGACGACCGAGTCGATGGCCGTCACGAGCACTTCGGGGTCTTCTTTGTAGCAGGGCATGACGATGACGACTTTGGGCGCGGACACTTCGTCGAGGACTTGCTTGATGCGTTTGGTCCGGCCGAGCTGGTGGGTGACGATTTGGTAGACGCAGAAGAGCCAGGGGATGGTGAGCAGGCCGGCGAAGCTGTAGAAGGCGAACCATTGTAGGAAGCTGACCATGGCTGTTGGCCAGACTTTGACGACTTGGCTGGGAAGTGGGAGGGTGACGATCATGATGGGTAGGAAGATACATCTGGAGGGAGGGGGCAAGTTAGCCATTCAGACATTGATGGCCGTAAGGGCTTGAACACATACATACCTCAGCAACATGAACGCAATCCCTATTATCACCGACAACACTCTAACCGTCCAGTGCTCTGCCTTCACAAATACTTTCCAGAGACAGTACATGAACGCGGCAATCCAGAGAAACCACTCGAGACATGCCGCGAGCATGACCAGGCCCACGATGGCCGTATAGACAATCTGGAAAGAAGCGCGTAGGTTAGCCAAAATATCCAAAAGTTCCCTCCCTCTTCCTACTGCAACACAAGACAGTGATTCGTTACCTCTTCCACCGGCCATTCGTCCTCCCCCAAATAGTTGATCGTCATATCTCTTTGCTTTCTCTTTCTTTCTTTTTCCTCCTCAAAATCGCACTCCAAACTCTGTAAGGCTGCAAACAGCAGCCAAGAGCAGACGAATATATCGTCCAGTGTCCAGTTGTATATATCGTCGGCCAGCTCAAAATCCAAAAACGAAGAAAGTGGTGAACCGTGACAGACAGCCTGCAGAGAAGCCCGGGGGTGTTTCGCCTTCTATACTCCTCTTCTCCTGTTTCTGACCGGCATGGAAGCTGGAAATGGCGTCGTCGCTGGAAATAACGGATTCCCAACAAGCGGTGTCCGTCCCAAAGGCGGAGACGAACGGAAAGATGCAGCAAACGAGAGAGAGACCTTCCTTTTCTTAGAAATCCGTCACTCTCTTTCACAGACTTTCACAGTCTGCCTGACTCCGCCTGAGTCGTCAAGGCCCGCTTGTCTCGGCGGGTGGTTGCAGGGCGAGACAAGACGATACGATACGACGCACGCTTTAGACACGACGTCTGTAGATCCAGCGGCCGGGTAGGAAGGGGAATGTCTCTCTTTCGTGGGGGGCTGGTTGCCGGCTGGGAAAGGATTGCGCACACTATCCGAGAGAGAAAAAAAGACAAAAGCAAGGAGAAGGTTTCAACGAGAAGAAACATATGGGCACGCCATGGGTTATGTGCTTCGTCAACCACGCTAAATGACTGAATGGTTCTTCTCAGTCCCGCCTAAATTAACAACCTGCATCTACACCTGCACCGAATTCATGTTGTACTCCTCTCGACATAGTGTGTACTTCCGGAGACTTGACCTAGTTAAGTGGGCAAGGGTTAGAAAATTAGATATCGTGCATGGCCTGGCAAGGGGTTAAAAGGCGACGAACCAGGGAAAAGAAAAATGCATTCAGCGTCTGCGCATCTGGCTTCGGGAAACGGAGTAAGAGGAAGATGGAGACAGACGACTGTGAGAATCGCGACATCGTTTGTCTCCCATCTTCCCATCTCCTCATCTTCCGACTGCCGGCCCAGCAAAGGGGGCAACACGGAACCGAAAGCTGAATAAATGGAAGCTGACGAGTTGAACTGGGTGAAAAGAGTGAGAAAGTGAAAAACAGAGAGAAAAAGTGCGGTTCTGGCCCGACGGCAACGGGACGTTCAATATCGAGACAAATGAAAAGAGGCTTTTTAGCCGGCGTCACCACCCGCTTCCCGTGTCCATGTCGATGGCGACATAACAGGCCAAACCCACACATTCGAGGCCACGAGGCGGGACACAAATTCTTCTGGGGAAACCGAATGGGGATGGAAATTGTGCTTTGAGAAAAGTATTCCAATAGGTAAAGGCGTCTAGACATACCTAACGGTTGGATTAAGTTCCCGGTGTGAACAATATCAGCTCATGGATTCGTCGATATCCAACGGTAATTTCATTTCCCCCGCCGGCCGTGTAGCAATTTCTTCACCTGAGTACCTAGATTTTTCACCTTCTTCTCCATAAACAAGATCGTGCCTTCCCGCGTCCCGCGCCGCATCCCCATGCTCCAAGAATGGAAGGTACACTTCCCCAACCATAGGCTCTCCCTTCGACTTTCCTCATGAACTCAATCTGCAGGAACAACTTACCTAACCAGGCTCCGAATCCCGGAAACACCAAAATCCCAGAAAGCAGCACATAAATCGAATCAAACTCGACAATGAACACTAGCGTAGGAAACACGACAGACAGCATATGCTCGTATCCACGACCACGACCACGACCGACCACGCCCGCGACCACGGGCGGACATGAGAAGTTGTGTAGTGTAGTGTCGTGTAGTGCACAAACATGATGCCCGATGGTTCAGTTGTGTGACCGTAACCGTTCGTCGCGGGGGCGGCGTCGACTGTTGTGTGTATCCGATTGATACACAAGCATAACGAATCGTCAGAGCATGAAGAAGTGAATGGTGAAGTTCTCGAAACCCACAAGGTCGACGACATTCTAGAAGAAAAAGACTCGAGACGCCCCGAGTTTGGAAAGGGACTGACGGGAGCCTAGGCAAAAGCTTGTTTACCACCCCCTTTGGTACTGAGGCAGTGAGGTAGTGTAGCAGGGAAAGGGAAATACCCGTACCAAACTTTTGAGTAACTTTCAACTTTAACTTTGAACTGTAACTCCATCCTGGTCGCTAACCTTGGTTACCTTACCTACCTACGAACTTTATGGAAAGCGTGGCCTGAGGGCTTCTCACCAGGCAGGCATTCAAGACAGATTAGATACCAGGGAAGATCAAAAATCTATGTCGTATTTTCTTTAGAATTTTCGCTTTTTCTTATCAACGTCAAACATCCCCCTTATTATTTTCTTCCTCTACCGCATCTCTTTTCACTCCCCTTCGTTCTCCAAACTAACTTACCCCTTGCCCAAGTGAAGCAATCAAGATTTACTCGAAAGAAGGTAGGTGGTCTTTTGTACTTCCTCATGGGCGTCGAGCGATTCGGTTGGACTGACCGTTCGATGTGAGCAGCAAAAAACCGACCCCTACTACCCTGCCAATCCCATGCGCGATGCCAATATGCATCCCAGAAAAGCTGGAAGCATATTATAACCCGGATCCAGTGCCAGTCTGAATAACAGTTCCATCGCTAGTGTAAATAGCCGGTACCGCTCGCTTAAAGGGGTTGGTTGTCCGCGTCACCCTTCTTTCCCATCACCCCTTCCACTTCCCCTTCCACCTCCCAACACCTACTCACCCCCATGCTAACCGCCAACGACCATTGCCTACCTAGCCCCTTGTCATCGAGTATACGGTAGCTTGTATAACTCGCTCGGGGTCAGCCGGGCATGGTGCTGCTGGCTTACGCCTGTGCTTGTGCTTGTTTGCTCTCCAAGGGAATGAGGAGTGGAGTCCAGCGAATGCTGGCTGACTGATCTGTTGTGAACTGCTTGAAAAAGCTACACGTGGTTTGTTTGCTTGCTGTTGCTGTGTGAGCTTGTTGCTTGCAAGAGAATCGTCGAACTATGGCGAACGCGACGCGTTCTTTGTCCACGATGGTGTAGTTGGAAGAATAGTACGTATTCTCGCTCAAAGTCCGTGATCAAGTCCTACAACTTCCATTAGCTTTTCTTGTCGCTTGAACTACGATTTCGATCACGAATGTCTTACCAATCAACATCACTAAGCTGTAACTTCCGCACCCTTTGTCCACCCCGCTCCTTATTCAACCTAGGATCGGAGCGGTTATGGTGATGGGCATTGAGTTTCTCATGACCCTCATACTCATCGTTTTCCCGGAGATCATAGTTCAGGACAAGGTTCTTGATGCGCTGCTGCTCTTCCTTCTCCGCCTGTTGCTTCTTCTTCATAGCAATAGCAAAGTGCGAGTCCGAAGGCAGCTCAACGGTGCGGGTCTAAAACACAAGTTAGTATGATAAACAATGATGTAAGGGTTGTGTTACTGCCACATACCTGCTGGCGATTACCCTTCTTCGTCAAAAGAGAGAAGGCCATCTTCTCCCCGGAGGGAGGAGCGTCAGAGGAGGGTCCGGCCTCGTTAGCGGCAGAGGACTCGCCCACAGCCGTACTCTCGCGAGGCTTGAGCTTAATGGGCAAAGGCAGATCAAACTGCTGCTTGCGCTCGAACTTCCTCGAGTCAAGGCTCTCAGCCATCATCTTGGCGAACTCGCGCTCAAACTCGGCCTCCTCCTCGGGATCAACCTCCTCCTTCTGTCTGGTAACGACAATCTCCTCCTCTTCAGATTCGCTGTTGTACCTCGAAGTGTTATCCTGCTGCTCGTTATCCTCAGCCTCGCCACCATCATCATCGTCCGACTCGTCGTCCTCGTCCTCATCTGGGACCATGCCGTCTTCGTCGTCGGACACGTCACTATCGTTGTCCTCCGGCTCGACGACCCTCTCAGCTCCAGATGTCTTCTGGTCCTGGGCCATGGCCAGCTGGAACACCTTGGACGCCTCCTCGAGGTTCGAGGCGAGCTTCCACTGCGGCCGGGTGAGGGAGAAGATATCCTGGACGAGGAACTCGACGTCCATGGGCAGCGGGTTCTTCGTGTAGATGTAGTACTGGAAGAAGGAAAGGAAGAAATCCAGCTTCTTGCCAGCAGCACCCTTGTTGAAGAACATGCCGCAGGTCTCGAGGATGGTGGAGATGAGGCGAATGCGGAAGAAGTCATCGGGCAAATCAAAGGGGTTGATGCGGCCTGGAACGGGCGGGCCGCCGTGACCAAAAGTCATCATCTTGTACATGGTGTCGAAGATGACGGGATGCTCCAGCATTCTGTAGTTATAGAGCTCTCCAAGGTACTTAACCTCGGCGATGCGGCGCTGGTTGAACTTGAAGTCGTTCAACTCAAGGCCGAGGCAGATAGACTCGGTCACTTGATCGATGACTCCAACGACAAACTCGCCATGATACTTGTAGAGAGCGCTCAACAGGATGGCCAAGAGATGGATGTTACCATACTTGACTTTTCCGGGCTTGGAGAAGACCTTGTGCAGGATCGCGACGACCTCCTTCTCTTCCCAGTGCAGCCTGCGGATATGTCTCAAGATCTTGCTGTAGTTTCTCTTGGTGAGATCGCCATAGATCAACTTGCGGATGAAGAGCTCCATAGGCGTTCTCTCCTTCACCTCGATGGCAGGGCGCTGCGGCGGATCAACATAGTAGACAGCGTTCTCAATGAGCATTCTCTCGGCCTGCCCAATGTGCTGGACGGACTTCTTGCGCTGCAGCGTCTCCAAGAAAGAAGCCATGCGCGGAGAAGTCTCAGGATTGCGAAGCAGGTACCGGCCGCAGTTCTCAAGCAGATTGCAAATGATCTCAATGTTCATCCGCGAAAAGTCATCCAAGCTGACCTTGAGACAGTGGAACACAACGTGCTCCGGAACGATGCCAAACTTGGTCAACTCGGCCAGGTAGCGGATGTTGCTCAGTCTGACCTGCCCAAGGAACTCTTTCTCCTTGCGCCGCTGAAGACTACGGAACTCATTGTCAAGGTAGTCAACAAGACCCTTGGGAATATCAGGCATGTATTGACCAAGCGTGGCAACAAGCCTAGCCCAGTTCGGGAGGAGATCGGTACGCCCCTTGGGAACATCGGTCAAAGCCTTGATGAGACGGTTTCGGGACGCCTTCGAATTGAGGAAGCAGAAGTCAATAGCCATCTGGTCAATGGCGTCCTTGCTGATGAGCTCAGGCAGACGCACAAGCAAGGCGTCAACCTGGGCGCCAATTGTCTTGTTGGCAATGGCAATGGACTGGTCATCGGCAGCAGCCTCGGCGGCCTTGGCAGCTTCCGCCGCTTCAGCAGGGTCAATCTTTCTGCCAACCTGTTCATCGTCTGCCTTCTTCTTCTTGACCTCTTCAAGCAGAATTCCAGGGACCTTGCCCTTCAGATCGACCAAGTTTTCGTAGAAGCGACGCTCTTCTTCGTCCTCCCATATTCCAGGCCCTTCGCCCTGTCCACGGAGGTATTCACCAGCCTTGACCAGGCCAATCGTGCCGTTCGCAGAGTTGCCCTCATCAGTATCCTTCAACTCGGGCATCTCGGCGCCAATGATGTCGGCAATAACCTGCGCGTTGGCCACGAGACGTTCCTGTGCCTTAACCTGCTTCTCGAAGTTTGACTGGCGATCCTCGAAGACCTCTCCCGACTTCACATAGGCCTCCGCATTCTTGCGCGACTGGTTGAAGATGGCCTTTTGGTCCCGAACAAGGTGGCCCTTGACGTCCTCGAAGTAGCGCTTGAGGATATTCTTGAAGCGCTCCTGCAACTCAGGGGACGCAAAGGGGCCATCCTGATCCGTAACAGCACCTTCTTCCTTGTCTTCGGATCCGTCATTTTCAGTTTCCTCGGCGCCCTTGGTAGCGCCATCCTCTTCCACGGTTTTACGGCCATCTTGTCCCGCAGCCTTGATACCCAAGACATCCCAACTGAAAGCCTTGACGAAAATAACGAGCAGGGGGAGGTTGGCGTGGTCTCGATCGTGATTCAAGAGGTCCTTCAGAACTTCGAGCGGAAAGGGCTCAGCACCGCCTCCCTTGCCCGGCGAACGGGGCTTCGGCTCGGCTCTGGTTCCCGTGGTCGGTCTCGTAGCGTCGTCGGGGCGAGCAATATCGTCAAGGGTTCGCAGGACATCGACAAGCCAGAGCTCGGTCACGACTCGGAGAAGAACGCGCTGCCGAACCAAGCGGTCTTTTTCTTCCTTCTCTCTCGCCTCGGGGGTAAGCGTCTTGAGGAAACTCTTATCGGGAGTGGCCATGCCCTTGCCCAGAAGCCATCCCAAGTGTTCGGTAAAGTCGGCGGGTCCGAATCGCTGGTGCAATGCGCTGACGATCTCGACGCCGGCTTCGATGTCCCCGGGAGACTTGAGCTTGCAGAGGCCCTCGTAGCATGCTGAGATGATTTCGGAAAGGTACTTGGAGAGGCTGACGGTGCGGATCTCCTGGAGGAAGGTGCTCTGGGTGGCGGCGGAGATGGTGGTTCGGAGACGCTTGATAAAAGCAGTGTTTTTCTTTAGAGTAGAGTCGAGGGACTTGCTAACAGGAAAGAGATCTGGAAGGTGAAGAGTGTGAGCATTGGTCGACTGGATATCGGGCGAAACAGGATTTCGTATTGGAGAGGATCGTTTCGTACCTTTCTCGCCGTTCCAAGCCCTCGAGTTCAGCGCCCGCAGCTCACCTACAAAGTGTTAGCCCCAGGCCGAAGAGCCAACAGACAAGGTAAACAAAGCGAGGACCGGGAGGACTGCAACTCACGCCGTCTTTGGCGATCCATACTGGGCGATGATAGAGAGAATAATCAATGGTATGAATATTATAAGTTGCCAGAGCAGTGGCATGCACTGGTGGATATGCTAAGGGTTGAGAAATCGGTAGCGGCAATCCCCATCAGCAATGGTAGACATCGGTGACGTGATACGGCAGGGGAGCAACGGAGCAGGCCACTGAAGGCTCTCGGACTTCGGACGAGCTCAAAACGAGCGAGGACGACGGATGACCGAGAGACCGGCGGTGGTGTTGGTGCTTGTTTCGGCCAGAGTTGCGGTTTTCCGTCAAGGTGTCTGCAGTATCGTTCGATCACGGTGGAAGGGGAACGCGGTTGTCGATAAACGATAAGAAATGGAGTTGCCGTCAGGACGGTTGGTTCCAGGTTGTCTGTGGGTGGAGGAAAAAGTGTTGCGGCTCGCTTCACGGGCATTCCCAGTGCTAACTTGACGGCCTCCCCACCACCCTACAGGCCGATATCTGAGTCAATTCGCCAGTGATGATTCCCGCCGCGTCAGGGGACGCCCCCGCCATTCATTGGGTGCCTTGACGCGTTTTAGCGCCTGTGCCCCGCGACCACATCGGGTGCCTTAACAGCTCCCCACAGGTCAAGGTACCGCCGACTCCCCGACTGGAGCCATTGACAATCCAAGATTGACGGGGATGGCCGGGGATTCATCGCCATAGGGCAGACAGTCAGGGGGATGGAAGGATGGAAGATCTAGAATTTTGCCTGACAGGGCAGGGCAGGGCAGCGTGTTGTTTGTTTTGTTTGCCGGTTGATCTTATCGTTGACCCCTTTTCTAATCTGATCGAGAGACTCCGTATATTACTGTTTGGCTTCCCTGAGCTCCCTTCCATCTCTGCCCCTGATGATGGCTGGGGGACAGAAAATAACACAACCACATCTTCACACATGAGTATAGTTTGGACATAGATGTAAAATCTGGATCGTTCATATTGCAACGCTGATATATTTCTTTCCGCTGGGTATCAAAGGATTTCCTTTTGTTTTCCGTTTTCCCTTCTTTGCCGCCTACTCTTTCTTCACATCTCATCCCAACCAAAACGTTTACCAAGATGTCTTCTTTCATCCACCCAACGACATCAAAACTTCGCACCGATTCCTTCTCTTACCCTCATAAGCCCTCCTACCAACTTTCGCTCTGTCGGACTCATGACATCCATAGCACAACTAAGAGTGAAACCCAATATTTAGTCTGTGTCAAAACGCGAACGTGAGAGATCATTCAGGTCGCTCCTCGACCGCCAGCTTGAAAAGCCAAAACGCTAGGTGGTATTTGATATACGATAGAGATAAAACAGAAAGGACACGGACAGATAGATAGATAAACCCAGAGACGCAAGGATATAGTAATACTAAAACAGGAACAACAAAAAAAAAGTCGGAACAAACTTATCGCGCGTGCAAAAACTCAAAGTGGTATCTTTATAGGTGGTATCTTTCCCGTATGCGCGGCCGCCATCCTGTCACAAAACCATCATCCCACATGATGGCCTTTTTAGTCCTCTCTCATCTGACGTGAAATAAGATGCAAGAGATTACTTTTTTTGCAAATCCCATTTTCCCCATCAATTTGTGGAGGCCCGGGCTCCCGCAAAGGCGAGACGGTCTCGTGATTTTACCCACCCCGGTAAAAACAGCGCGCCATCATCTCGTTTCGCAAAAGGCAAACGAAGCCAGTGAAAACCCCCATCCTTCATTGCCCCCGAGAGCCAGGATCGGAAAAGAAATGCAACAAGAGACAAGAGGAAAAATGACAAGAACGCAGCCGACCAAATGCAGAAGAGCAACTACCGGGGTATTGTACGCCGTTGGGTATATCCAGCCGTAGGGGTATTTCTTTTTTTCCTCGCAAGTGACGAAACGATCCGTAAGTCTAAAATCTCGATAGCGGAATGAACTTAACGAAATGGCCCAGAAAGAGGGCCGGGGTATCCTGAATTGGTAGAATGAGACGTAGAAGGGCGCCCGCTATCGCCAGAATGGCGGGTGCCGTGGCGTGGAGTAGAATCTCCAGCCATCGGGATGGCCAGCTTGTGAATAAGGCCATTGGGTTCGAAAACACGCGAAGTGCCCCAAGGGTTGTTGTCGTCATCCGGGAGGTTAACACCGCTGTCGTTCCAGGGGTTACGATCAGCGTTGAAGCTCCGGGATGATTCGATCGAAATCAACGAAGTCTTGGAGACATTGGCGGAACCCTTGAAGAACGAGTTGGTCGCAGAGTGAGAGCTGTTCTTTCTGCGGTCCAAGAAGGAAAGAGACATGCTTCCGGGCTTGCGGAGGCGGTCAAAAATGTTGCTGCGCTCACGGACAAGGTCTTCGCCGAACGTAGGCGTCGCAGGCGCATCCGTAGCAACAGGGGCAGCCACATGCTGAAGAATCTTGGAGTCGAAATACTGAAGCGCCTCTTCGAACGTATCAGATCTGGGGCGGGGGATGGCACCCTTGATGACAACCGGTTCAATACCGGCCGTAGCAAATTGGCTATGGAGGAAGTCCATAGCGTCGCGCAGGCCGCCAGCATTGTTGCGGGTAAAGGCCCACAGCAAAGTGACCGTGGGAGCGGCATCGGCTGCGCGGTCCTCGGTGTTCTCGTGCACAGAGACTTGGACCTCATGCTGAGACTTCAGCTTCGGAACAATATCCTGAAGGAATTCAGGGGACTGGAGGAACTTGACCAAAGGTTCAGAGTGCTCCAGAACCACCTCATGCTTATCCGGAACCATGCCCTATAACAGTACCGTTAGTCACAATTCGATGGGTTTTCCGAGATGACTAGGGGATTTAAACTTACCAAGAACTCGTCAGCGCACATGGGGACCTGCCACTGAGGTCCCTGAACAGTCACCTCATCACTAGCCTGTTCAGTGCTGGGGAAACTGATCTTGCAGTTGTACTTCTTTTCCAGCACTTCGATTTCGGGCAGGCGGGCCAAAAGCTGACGGTGATACAGACGATCAACATTGACGGTTTGGGTAGTGATCTCGGAGTCCTGTTTGGGAGTCAGTTACTGAATTGGTATGCCATAAAGAGTTGTAGACACGTACCTCACGGTCGACCATCTCTAGAATCTCGGTCTTTACGAGCTCGAGATTCTGGGCGTTGCGGGCCGGAGTCCGGCAAATCACATTGTCAACACGGCTGTCATCATCATCGCGGCCCATTCCTCCTGGATTGAGCGTTAGCAGAATTCATCAAACTTTAACAAAAATGAAGCAGACTTACCACGATCCATGGCATTCGAGAACTTGACAAACACGGAGTGCTTCTTCATGATGCGCTGGATGTGCTGGCCACCGATACCAATAATACGCTTATGGTACTGGTCCGGGACGTGGAAAGAAATGGACGCGGGCATCTCTTGCTCCACCAAAGTCAAACCCTCCTTCATCGAGGTGTAGTTGTGTGCCAGGACGTCAATGTTGAAGTTGTACTCGCCGAAGTTGTCGAACACGATCTGGACGTTGCAATGGCTCATGATCTTGTTAATTTTGCCGTTCTTCTTGCCGCTCACAAATTCCTTGTGCTCATTGGCGAGTTCAATCTTGACACGAATCTGATGCTGGACTGTGGTCACGAACTTGATGTCCGACAGGACCTGGAGAGCCTCCTTGACGGCCTCATCAGAGCCGGTAAGCGTAAAGGCGACCTTATCGAAGGCGATATCGGCATCGGAGTTGGCGCAAACATCGCTGAGCAAGGCCCGGATCTCCTGAGCGCTGGGAAGCAGGCGAGGATCCGGCTGGTTGATCCACCAGGATGCATGGTAAAATTGGCCAGCCTAGAAAAAGGGGTTAGTTTCGATGCTAATCCAGAAATACGTTTAAAGTGAGCAAAAGCTTACCAATGACATGAGCTCGCGGATGGCTCGCTCGACATGGAGGTTCTCGGGGCCCTGAAAACGAATCGTGCCTTGTCTGGAGGCAAGTGGAGGGAGCATGATGAAGACACTGTTGGTCTCCATAATCTTGCGCACCTTGTCCATCCGACCCAGCAGAATGCTGTCAATCTTGGGCATAGCGATCGTAACATCCTTGACAAAGAGTCTGATAGTGGTCAGGATTTGATGGATCCGAGTTTTGGCCTGCGAAATGGCCTCGGGGGTCTCGCCAGTGATAAAAACCTCGTCAGGGTTACGGCGCAGGGCACCAGGCGGGCAGTATCCATAGGCGTGGGAGAAGCACGGAGGGAAGTAGATAGCAGTGTTGGTGGCAGACTCGATGTGCTTGATGTTCTTCCGGTTTCGGCCACACAGCAGCGGTTGCACGCTCAGATCGATCTGGACAGCATCAACGATTCTCCCAAGCTGCCATATTGTTAGCAAGCATTCGATGTCACGAGACAGTTTCTGGAAGTGCCTACAAGTTGGTCGATCTTTATGAGCACCCGGGACTTGGCGTGCTCAGCAGAGATGGTGTCACCGTAGATGGCCACCCTCCAACGCTGGTCTCTGCGCATGGACAAGCCTCCATTCAGTCCGTCCTCAAGGGGAGTGAGCTTGGGGCCCAGAAGAAAGATATCAACACCACAGAACTTGGAGACCTCATCCAGGAAGGCGGTTACGGACGGTTTCAGGCGACCCTCTGTGAGATCGGCAACCAAGTGGCCGTCAACATCAACGTGGGTGCAGCGCTGTTGGACATACAAATTTAGCGAAATGGGTCACAAAGAGACATATGGGACACGTGGATAACCCACCATCAGAGAGGGCGTCTCGTTCAAGATGGTTTCCCGAGTCTTGTAAACACAATCGGCAGTGCCTGACAGAGTCACGGTGACGACCTGGTTGCGGCCATTCTTGGGAGTGGTCGCGTTGACGTGGGCCTCGATGGGCATGGGGTTATTGGTGAAGTCCTCGCAACGGCGGCGCAGGTTCTCGACATTCTGGGTGTGCACGGGAAGCTGCCACACAGGAACGTCATCGGGGGCATCCTCGGGATGTGTCCATCTCAGAACGGCATCCGTGGTCGAGTGGAGGATGTCCT